GCAAACGAAAAAAGTCACTATAGAACCTAACAGAAGAAACATTTCCAGTTACATGTGAAGCCCAAACGCACCAATAGCTACCGCATGGAATGCAGGTGATGCTTGGGATCATCATGGGGGTCCAACCCAAGATTTGCACGACTCTGACTTTGAATGTTACAGTCATTGTGGCATTGAATTCCAGGGTGGAAACATCAGTTTAATTGTTTTAGTGACCAGAAAACAAATTTTAATATGCGTCGGCTTACCCAAAATGAAAGGTTACGTGCCCTTGGCATGCTACAGATCGGCACAACACAGGCGGTTGTGGCGCGGACGATGAATGTTTCTCAGTCTGTCATAAGCAGGCTATGGTCCAGATACCGTGATACACAATCTGTACAGGACAGACCACGCTCAGGTCGACCAAGGGCGACAACTCAAGCCCAGGATCGATTTATCCGTACCTTGGCCTTGAGAAATCGTGTCATCACAGCAAATCAGATCAGCGCTCGTCTTCAAACAGACACTGGTGTGAGAGTGAGTGGCCAGACGATTCGGAATCGACTGCATAGGGGTCACCTTCGCGCCCGACGTCCTCGCGTGATCCCTTGTTTGAGAGATCATCACATTCAGGCAAGACGTCGTTGGTGTAGGGATCGTCAACACTGGGATAATCGACGCTGGAGCAATGTGATGTTTTCAGATGAGTCAAGGTTCACTGTTGATTTTTTGGACAGACGTAGGAGGGTGTGGCGTCGTCGAAACGAGCGCTTCCAAGACGTTAACGTCATCAGACATGATCGATTTGGGGGTGGTTCTGTTATGGTGTGGGGAGGCATCACTGTTGCTGGAAGAACGGCTTTACATGTTGTTGCAGGGCGCGTTACAGGCCAGTACTACCGGGACAACATCTTGGCAGTCCATGTTGTGCCATTCGCACGACGTCATGGCCGCCGTTTCATCTTCCAGGATGACAACGCAAGATGTCACAGGGCCAGGATCGTTACAGGTTACCTCCAACAACAGAACATCACCACATTACCTTGGCCAGCACTGGAATGGGACAATCTGGACCAAAATGACCTTAGACGTCTCATTAGGAGTATACCACGTCGGATCAATGCTTGTTTGGCAAACAGAGGAGGATTTACCCGTTACTGACTTGGTTGTGATGCTGTGGTAACTTTGCTGTTTGACCCCGGGTATCATTTTACCCTTATAATGGTCAGTCTGTGCCTTACTTAGTCTAACGATCATTTGGAATAAATCGATGAATGTGAACTTCATTTCATTTTGTCATTTGTTTCTTCGTCAGTTTCATTAGGTGACTTTAATAACACTTAAAAATCAAATATCCCCTACTTTTTTTGAATAGTATATATTCGGAGTTTCATCGCTCTCAATTCATTAAAACCAAAGTTATTGTGCCCCAAAGCATCAACCAATCAGATTGCTTATCTCTGCTTAACCGAAAGGGGACATGTTCATCATAGAAATCCATCAAGGCATTCACCTACACGAAGTTTGAACATTCTACCTCAATTTGAAGGAGAGTTATTGTTTTCCAAAGTCTCGACCAATCAAATTGCTTATCGCCCTGCTTACCCTCAGCAGAAAATGTTCATTAACGAACTTAGTCAAGGTATTGATGTAATAAAGCTATCGTGTTCCAAAGCATCAACCAATCAAATTGCCTATCTCTGCTTACCCTAAGCAGAAAATGCTCATCTTCGAACTCCATCAGGGCATTGACCTAATAAACAACTACACCAAGTTTTAACAATCTAGCTCAATTAGAAGGAGAGTTACTGTGTTCGAAAGTCTCGTCCAATCAAATTGCTTATTACTCTGCTTGCCCTGAGCAGAAAATGCTCATTATCGAACTTAGTCAAGGTATTGCACACTGATCCGCCGCGACAATCACTGATAAGGATGACATCGATGCGACTTAATGAGCTACAAATATTAACTTTTTTCTTTCGACAAATTAAATTCTAAAACATTTTTTTTTTATGTATTAGATAAATAAATAAAGACGTTTGAAGTATTTGTAGGTCAAAATTATTTCCTATTTTACTTATTTTAGTGTAAATGGGTATTAAAATGTGTAAAGGGCGCCATTCTGCTCGAATCAGTAACGTCTTATGTGAACAATGCAGCGCACCATTGAACCCATGATTGACGCCGCGTGACGTCATATGTTGAAGGCAGTCATCTTTTACAGAGATATTAGAATACTTTCGTAATACTCTGTGAAACAGATTGAAGATATTGATGTAATGAAACAATACGCCAAGTTTCATCACTCCCACTTAATAAGAACTAAAGTTATCGTGTAAAGCACCAACCAATCAAATTGCTTACCTCTGTTTACCCTAAGCAGAAAATGCTCATCTTCGAACTCCATCAAGGCATTGACCTAACAAACACATACACCAAGTTTGAACATTCTAGCTCAATTAGAAAGAGAGTTACTGTGTCCCAAAAAGTGTGACGGACAGGCAGACAGACAGACGAACTCATTTTAAGTCCCTTGCCTTCTTCGAAAAAAGGGCCTGCGACATGCATCACATTAGCAAGGACAGTTCACAATTTGTAAAATACATTACATGATGCAGTACCCGGCCATGCACTTATGATACGTGTGAATTATGAGAAAAAATTATAAAATTTGCAACCAGGGGAAAATTTGTATTCAAATTATAACAAGCCAACAGTGAGGCTGATGTCCCCCGCCGAAATAGGAAAATAATTAGAGGACACATATAAAAATCAAATTGCGTATCGCTCTGCTTACCCTGAGCAGAAAATGCTCATTATCAAACTTAGTCAAGGTATTACTGTAATGAAACTATACACCAAGTTTCATCAATCTCACTTAATTAGAACTAAAGTTATCGTGTCCCAAAGCATCAACCAATCAAATTGCTTATCTCTGCTTACCCTAAGCGGAAAATGCTCATCTTCGAACTCCATCAAGGCATTGACCTAATCAACACATACACCAAGTTTGAACATTCTAGCTCAATTAGGAAGAGAGTTATCGTGCCCCAAAGTATCAACCAATCAAATTGCTTATCTCTGCTTACCCTAAGCGGAAAATGCTCATCTTCGAACTCCATCAAGGCATTGACCTAATAAACACATACACCAAGTTTGAACATTCTAGCTCAATTAAAAGTTATCGTGTCCCAAAGCATCAACCAATCAAATTGCTTATCTCTGCTTACCCTAAGCGGAAAATGCTCATCTTCGAACTCCATCAAGGCATTGACCTAATCAACACATACACCAAGTTTGAACATTCTAGCCCAATTAGGAAGAGAGTTATCGTGTCCCAAAGCATCAACCAATCAAATTGCTTATCTCTGCTTACCCTAAGCGGAAAATGCTCATCTTCGAACTCCATCAAGGCATTGACCTAATAAACACATACACCAAGTTTGAACATTCTAGCTCAATTAGGAAGAGAGTTATTGTGTCCCAAAAAGTGTGACGGACAGACAGACGGACAGACAGACGGACGAACCCATTTTAATAGTCCCCTGCTTTCTTCGAAAGGCGGGGGACAATGAAGCAGCCCAAATGTGTCATAATCAGCAACTGTCAGGCAAGATACGCCCACATTTTGCAATAGATCGATAGAGAACAAGATAAACAAAAAGAGATTTTTCGTACAGGCAAGGACCATAATTCAGGAAGTTACGATCCAATGTGCGTGAATATCAAAAGACACCAAGATCTTTGGGTTATAAACATGTATTTCAAGTTTCATCAAAATCAGATCAAAATTATGACTTCTAGAGGGTCCACAACCTTGATATACCATATATTTACACTATTTGCGTACGAGGGGTGGCTATTTTGGTCCCATTTTCACTCGAACTCAGCCGTCATTAGGGTGTAATGGTGATATATTCAAACATTTGTTTCAATCCGGTAGAGGGACCGCAAGCTAAAAACGCGATTTTTCGTACAATCAAGGGTAATAATTCAGGAAATTACGATCCGATATGCGCAAATATTGAAAGGAACCAAGATCTCTGGGTTATAAACATGTATTACAGGTTTCATCAAAATCAGATCAAAATTATGACCTCTAGAGGGTCCACAACCTTGATATATACCATGTATTTACACTATTTGCGAACCAGGGTCGGCCATTTTGTCTGGCAGTTTGGGTCCGATTTTCAGCCATCATTAGGGTGTAACGGCGATATGTTCAAACATTTTTTTTAAATCGGATAAAAATTATTACCTTTAGAGGGACCACAAGCTAAAAACATGATTTTTCGAACAATCAAGGGCCATAATTCAGGAAGTTACGATCCGATATGCCCAAATATCGAAAGAAACCAGGATCTTTGGGTTATAAACATGTATTCCAAGTTTCATCAAAATCGGATCAAAATTATGACCTTATAGAAGGTCCACAATCTTGACATATCATATTTTTTTTTACACTATTTGCGTACGAGGGACGGCCATTTTGCCCGGCAGTTTTGGTCCGATTTTCACGAAATTCGAACTCAAGCGTCAGTACAGTGTAACAGTGATATATTAAAATGTTTTTTTTTTAAATCGGATAATAATTGTGACCTCTAGAGGGACCACAAGCTAAAAACGAGATTTTTCGTACAATCAGGGGCCATAATTCATGGGTTATAACATGCATTTCAAGTTTCATCAAATTCAGATGAAAATTGTGAACTGTTGAGCATCCAGGAACTAAAAATGTGATTTTTCGTACAATCAGGACCAGTGGCCATAATCCATGAAGTTATAGTCCGATATATGCCAATATCAAAAGGAACCAAGATCTTTGGGAGATAGACCTATAATTTAGTTTTGTCAAAATCAAATACCTGTAGTGTCCACAAACAAATTGTGGACGGCGGACAGGAGCGACGACAATATACGTCCACATGAAAATGTGGGGGTATAAAAATGTGGTATATAAAGCCCACTCAACTCCCCCCTCAAACAGCATAAACAACACAATAACCTTTCAGCAGAAATTCAATGTTTAATATTTATTTAGTGGATGTTAAATTTTTAAAGTTTCAATTGTTACACTAATACTTTGGTGGAGATAGGAGGATGGTACAAAAGTAATTTATCACCCAATAATACATTCTACAGTAGATATCGCTTGTGTGATATATTTCATAATCTACTGCTAACTTAGGAGATATCGCTTTACATGAATTTGATTGGTCAGTTGAAAAGGAACATTTTATTTTCAAAGAACAGTTCATTTCTTATTAAAAGTAACTTTTTTTTTTATTAAAAATGAACTATTGTTATTCAATTGACCGTGATGGAAACACTGGGTCAATATAAAGGACTTTGCAATGGTTGAATTGCTGTCAAAAAATGATGTATCACTACGCCGTAATGTTCAGTAAAAGTGAAATCTACAGCAAAGAATTATATTTATCTATTTGTGCATGTAAGAAGGGATTGGGTGATAAATAAAATCTCCTACTCGTCTTTTTTGATATAAAAAAATATCAACACTCGTTGATAAAGTAAAAAAAAACTCCGCAGAGACTCGTTTTTGGTTACTTTATCAACTTGTAGGTAGGAGATTCTCTATTTCCACAAATGTTTTCATAAGAATCTGAACAATAACTGACCAGCCACACTAGATGTACACTGTAATATTTTGGATATTTAATTTCAAGACAAAAAAGGTTCAAGTGAACATGTTTGTTATATAAGTTTGGAAAATGAAAAGGCAAAATTATACGGTCCTTGACTACCATTACATGTTTCTCAAGAAATTGAATTTACTAAAGGACATAAATAGGTACTTGCATAGAATATTTTATATTAAGATCACAGGGGAATAATATATTCTTAAATAATGATTTTTATGGGGGTATCACTCTAATGATTAACACTTTTTTTTCAATTTCTTCTAAAAAAATATATAGTATACTATATATATCTGTTAATACAAAAATAAATATATTATACACCAGTGCATTGTTCAATGTAAACTTACAAGGTGTGGCATAGTCTTAATAAGATCAGATCATATTTTTACTACTTCTTAGCACAGTAGTCATTAAAGGCACCAATAAATAACAAGTTCTAAGCTTATTTTGAAATGAGACAAAGACTAATATGGTACAAATTATGCACCATTAACAAAATGTCAATCACTAACAACAACTAAATCTATTAAGAAAATACCAATATATTAAATAGATTAAAATAAAAATAAATGCATCTGTACAATGTGATTAAAATGATTATTGCATACCCAAATAAATGCACCAGATCTCCAAATTATGACTGTACATAATAAATAAAATATTTTCATAATAGAACAAAAAGGAAAGATATAAGTATATATATAAAGGAAAGAAAGGCGCCTAAGCAGCAATTACATTCAATTTAATCAGAATTTTCGTGGGTTTGCTTATTGATGAAAGCAGTACAATTGTTTTATAGTATTTTATACAGAGAGCGTGTAAACTTATAATGTTAGCAAAAAGAACGATTTCACAATGCGACATTCCAATTAAAGATAGATTAGTTAAGAGTTGGTCATTCTTGCTATAATAATTCAAAAATAGATGATGAAAAATGAAAATATTGAAAATTTCAGTCAAATTACTTCATTCTCAGCCAAGTTATCATTGTTTGTAGTTTTGACAAGATGTGTGCACAGTGGTAACCAGGGCACTGGTATAATCGGGACTTAGCCTCGCTTTCCCATTTTTAAATTAAATTTTTAAATGGCAAACCGTTTTATTCTATTCTTTAAGTGGCATTTAGTAATTGAACAGTAACACAAAAACACTATTTATGGAATAACAATTACTGGTTTATTAACATGCAACGTTTCGACGATGATACTCTTGTCTTTATCAAACAAATCTTGAGTATCCGATACCATCAAGAGTTGATTATGGTCTGAATAAGTTAATTAATGTATAATTAATAATTTAGATAACATTTTAGGCCTAAAGAAAGACCTGCAATAGGCAGATTTAGCTCTTGCATAATGTATGTTTAATATGCCATTTTACAGAATACATGGTAGGTATTTTCCATATTACTACTACCTGATATATTTTGATGCCAAGCAACAAAACATATATGCTCAACAGCAGGTAAGTTGTATGGGCAGTCCATACAGGTCTTACTAAGTTATCAAGGGCCATAACTCAGTCATCATAAGAAATTGTTGAAAATCAGGACCTCATCACTTTAGCCACTAGATGCATCCTCAAGCAATTGTGGACAACAGACGGACATGCCAGGTTGACGACAACATAAAATATAATATGCGGTCAAATAAAAACTTAACAAAACCCTGTAATTAGATCAAAATAAAAGCATGTTCAATTATTCTATAATATGGTACACCCTGGTCGAATATTTGAGTGTGAGGTGTCAAGGTCAGTATCATAATCAAATAGATATGGCTCGGTTGTTGCTGGATCATTAGAGCAAGTGATGTTAGTATACTCGAACTCATTATCGCCATCAACTTCATCCTGACCATTATCAGTCTCATAAGTCTGCTTCATAGATTCATTTTGGAATATTGATGGACTTTTGGAAACTATTGGAGAAAGATTTGAGGGACCAGTACTTAAGAATGTTGTTTTATCCGAGAAAACAGTAACCTGTTTAGTTGCTGTAAAACTATTGTTCATGTTTTTGTTTGCTGATACTATAGGAGATAACTCTGGCCTTCTACCAGATAGAATGTCCAAGCGCATGTCGCGCGGTGTGCTGGCCACTATTTTTTCAAACCTGTCACGGTCAAACCTCCTTCTTTTGTTAGCTGATTCTGTTTCTAAAAAATCAGTTGTCTTTCTTTTCTTATTAGATGCATCAGAACTGGTTTTTTCACTAGTGACACTGTCCAATATGCTCTTCATTTTTAGGGTTGACAAGGGAGTCTTTGACTTAGGTGATGTTTTTTCAGACTTAGTATTGTTACTGTTAGCCTGTTTTTCTACAGATTCTGCTACAAATGTTGTTAAGTTGATTATGTCATTAGTTGTTTTTCTATCTGTTTGTGATGATGCTATCACGCTGAAAGTAGGATTTGTAAGCTTTGTAGAGTCTACTACTGAAATTTTAGTTGCCCTTTTCTTTGTTATTGATTTTGGAGTAGATCTTTTTGAGGAAGGTGAAGTTTTTTTCGGCGATGGCTTGGGTGGACTTTTCTTGATAGTTTGCTTTTTGGGAGATGGAGAACGTTTTGTAGAAGATGGTTTAGAAGTTTTCTTTGAGGATGATATAGGTGTTGATGCTTTTTTGGTTTCAGATACTTTACCAGAGCTTCTTTGAGAAGGTGTTTTGGGTGAACTCTTGAAAGACCCAGAGAGTCTGGTAGTAGATTTTCCTTTAGAAGAACGGTGTATGCTCCTTTTGCTGGACAAAGACTCATTTAGTATGTTGTTTGATGAATCTATAGAATTGTAACAGATGCTATCATCCATTTCTAATGGCATTAATGAAACTTCTAAAAATTTTGACGGTTTACCTCCTTTCTCTGATGGTGTCTTTTTAGTAACCGTTTGTTGTTTTTTACTTGGTGAAGGAGATTTAACAGATGAACCTTTCTTAATTGGTGATTTTTGTGAAGGAGATTTACTAGGTGAACGCCTTTTGATTGGAGATGGTCTTTTCTTGTTTGATGAAGGAGATTTACTAGGTGAACGTTTGCGTTTCTTGTCACTTTTGCCCATGGATGATAAGGATCTCATTGGCCTTTTACTTGGTGTTTTTCGTGTACGTCTTGGTGAAAAAGCGGACTCATCATCTTCACTATTTTCTTGGGACTGGATTATTTTTGATGCTGACTTCGCTGCTTTTTGAACTGGACTCTTTTTAGCTTTTGAACGACTTCTTCTCACTATATTGGTTTCTTCCTTTTGTGGACTTTTCTTTTTGGGGGGACTCTTTTTACCCTGTGCTCTTTTGTGTGAAACTACTTTTCTACGATTGGCTATATCTGGTTTTGGTAAAGCAAAAGCAGAGTCATAGTCAGAGTACTTTCTTGCTCTAATAGCAGCCATAGATTCTCGCCTGGACTGAGTTGAAAGGCCACTAAGCAGATTCTTTCCGGATTTTTGATAGATGGAAGATCTTCTAGCTCTTGTTTTAACGCCAGTTGGAGAAATAAAAACTTCTCCTGGCTTCTTGAAAACACTTGACTCATTACCAGACTTGGATACGGTTGTTTTATTGCTGTACACAGATGATCTGAAAATTGAAAAGGACATGTGTATGTTTAATCGTAAACTTAAAGCAGTAAATATTAAAAATTTGTCAGCTAACTAAAGCGGTGGACACACTAGCCGAATGATTCGGCCGAATCGTTCGGCGTCGAAATTCGCCTAGTGTCCCCACTGTCATTCGGCCGAATGATTCGCCTGAATCAAACAGGTTTGATATATTCGGCCGAATTATATTCGCCTGGTGTGTCCGCTTCGCCGAAGCATTCGGCCGAATATAGAATTCATTAGCCAATCACCACTCATATCGGGAAGTCACGTGATACGGTGAAGACATAGACGCCGCCATGTTTAATCATATGACGTGAAAGGTGATGCAATCGGCAGGTTGAATCCACCCTAGTGTGTCCACCCATTCGGCCGAATAAAATTCGGCGCCGATTGATTCGGCCGAACGATTCGGCTAATGTGTCCACTGCTTAAATAATTTAGCTTTGTTTACGGACCTAATGGACACTGGGCATAGCCCAATTTTGGCACAACCCACTGCTACTATATTATTATTAGTAATAATAATGCTTACTATGTGTGAACATTTATTTCAATTTGCTCACTGGTTTTCTCATAAGCTTATTTGGTCTCAAAATGACCAAAGGCTAAGGTAAGATAATGAGATCATGAATTCATGTAGTTTAGATTCATTCATAAACTTTCTGTATTTATAAAATTTATACCTGCGTGTCTTTGATGCTTTTGGTGATATGCTTTTTGGACTTTCGAAGAGACCAGCATGACCTCTTACCCATCCTGGTGATAAACTTGTAAATGATGAATCATCAAGCTGAAGAAAAGGTTGGCTTAATGGTGGTGATCTGAAAAGAAAAATTACATTACATAAGTATTTAGAGTAACAGTATTTTATATTAGATTTGACAGTACTGGCAACTTATTTAACCAATACCAGCAACTAGTTGAACAAATGGCTGTTTGTTTCAGGTTTCAGAGTGATTTTGGTGTGTGTGTGTGGATTTGTGTGTGTGTATGTGTATGGAATATTAATGTCAATTAACATGTTTAATTAACTGAATATGAATCACTATTTATTAATTAAATGGAATTCCAAAGACTCAGACCCCAGTCTAGGTCAGTGATAAGCTGATAACCCCGAAGCAAACAGCACCCTCTAATTTGAACAACAGGTCGGTCACTGTCAAAATCTCTACTAATCTACTGTACAAATTCAAAACTATAAATAATTTATAACTTCTTCCTGGTGCCACAGTAAACACAATCTCAAAAAGTTTTTAAAAATACTATTGAGAACTTCTGTCCTGTCACTTTTTCATTTCATGAATTTGGAAGTAGAAAAGGAGAGGGGGGAATATATCAATAATCATGAAATTTTAAATATTGTGTAAAATATATTAATTAAGCCACCAAATCAAATTTTAAACCAAACAAGCCAACAGTGAGGCTGATGTCCCCCGCCGAAATAAAAAACAAAACAAAAAAAACAGATGATACATATATTAATTAATTACACATTTATCTTTTTCAAAAGTATTGAATAATCAAACTGACTCCTACATGTATGTATGCTTAGTCTAAGCATAAAATGTTCACTATCAAACTCAGGTTTTGAAGTATCTGGTAGTGAGTGAAACAATACACTAAGTTTCACCACTCTCCATCAGTTAGAATCAAGGTTATCTTGTCCCAGAGCATCCACCAAAGAAATTGCTTAGCTCTGCTTACATGTAGCTTTAAAGGAAATATTAATCATGGAACTCAGTCAAGACGTATTCATCTAATGAACATCTATACCTCAATTAAAAGCAGAATTGTTATATTCCAAAATCTTGACCAATCAAATTGCTTATCACTACTTAGCCTAAGCTGAAAATTCTCATCATCAAACTTAGTCAATGTATAATGAATCTATACTCAAGAGTTTCATTCATTGCTCTCACCCAATTAGAACCAAAGTTATCGTTTTCCAATGTCTCAACTAATCAAATTGTTCATCTTTGCTTAGCCTTAGTGTAAAATGCGCATGAACGAACTATGTCAAGGCATTCATGTAATAGACACCTACACCAATTTGAATATTCTACCTCAATTAGAAGGAGAGTTATTGTGTTCCCAAGTCTCGAACAATCAGATTGAAGTCTCTATTTGCCTAAGCAGAAAATGCTCAGCATCGAACCTTGTGTGAACATTCTAGATCAATTAGAATGAGAGTTATTGTGTTCCAAAGTCTCGACCAATCAAATTGCTTATCTCTCTGCATACCCTTAGCAGAAAATGCTCAGAATCAAAGTTTGTTACGGTATTGATGTAATAAAACTATACACCAAATTTCATCACTCTCACTTAATTAGAACTAAAGTTATTGTGTCCCGAGGCATCAACCAATCAAGTTGCTTATCTCTGCTTACCCTAAGCAGAAAATGCTCATCTTCGAACTCCAGTAAGGCATTGGTCAATTAGAAGGAGGGTTATATTGTGTCCCAAAAAGCGTGACAGACAAACTGACAAACCCATTTTAATAGTCCCCTGCTTTCTAGTCAGAATGTAAATGGGAAGAAGCTTACAATATAAACATAAAATGAGTTCTTAATGCACAATCTCCAAATTGTGAAATCCAATAGGGTTTTTTCTTCTATTTATTACAATAAGCAGGGCTGCCGACAACCAGTATCGCAGCGCAATTTGCGATACATATTTTGTCCGTTGCTAATCAAAAATTAAAATCTAACGTTTTTGATTCGCAGTAACTGCGAATCAATAATATGCCTGTCATTTTGGATATTGACACAAAGATTTATCCACATTTCTCAACACTTTCAACGCGTATAAAATATCAAATAAATTTTATAAACAAAACGGAATTCTCCGTGTGACATTTTCTTCTCGAACTACCCAGACTCAATTCATGATACTATATAATACAGGGACATAACTCTATGAATCGGGACTATTAAACCGGAAATAGGGAATCAAGTAGTACCACTCACGTTGCGAGACATGTCAATTTCGAGTAATTATATCAGTATTCAATTTGAAAAAAAATAAATTCAGTGTATCCCCCACGTATTGTAAATAAAATATAAAAAATAAATACGTGTAAACGTATTGTAAAGTGAGAAATCAAAGTAAGAATTCCCGTAAACTATTATTGTTTATATCGCGTGCGTCTAGTTAATCGAAATTATTCGTAAAATACCGCGTGCTTCCGATTGAACAAAAATAATAACACACGATAAAAAGCAGACGAAATTGTTTTCTAACGAAGAAATAAGAAGCCACTGCCAAGAATTGGCTTCAGACATAAGGCCTAACAAAAGTCTACGTTCATTCAGAAATGTTCACAGCTAGCTGTAGAAGTGCTAACATTCTAAAAAAATCTTAAGAATGAAATCTAATCATTTGCTATCAATTAAAATTAAAATAATCTTGTTATTTAGGTGTTTTATGTTGATTTGAAACTGAAAAACTGCTAATCAATTTTTAAAGTTGCTAATCAAATTTGGCAAAATTGGACTTTTTGATTAGCAGTGCTGCTAATCATCTGTGAAAAATTACCGACAGCCCTGACAATAAGTTAAGTATAGTAAAGCAAGTTTCTCAAACTTCTTTCCAAAACATGAATCACAAATTCACAAGAATCCATCAATTTTAGCATAAACGGTGGTGGTATAGTTTTGCGATTTGTGTATGAAAATTTCCAAATTTCCATAGAGTTCCTCCATCTTATTCTTAGGCCCAAATGAACAATATCACAAAGTTTTAAAATTCAATTAGGCCACAGGGTAGGCTACTTTCTTCATAAGTTATTGAACAATCCCTGGCCCACAAATATTTTTAATAAACCATATCCATATCAAGGTATTTATCCTGTATTACATTCTCAAGATTTAAATTATGAATTTGATTCTGAACTTAAATGTAGAGATACATGCAAGGAACTAAGATATTTTTTATCAAAGAATTTTAATTTTGATAGAATTTTTCGAGAGATGGATAGAGAACAAGCTAAAAGGAAAGTGATTTTTCCTACAATCAAGGGCCATAATTCAGGAAATTACAATTCGATATGCGCAAATATCGAAAGGAACTCTGATCTTTGGGTTATAAACTTACATTTCAAGTTTCAACAAAATCGGATAAAAATTGTGACCTCTATAGGGTCCACAACCTTGATATATACCATATTTTTACGCTATTTGAGAACGAAGGGTGGCCATTTTGTCCGTCAGTTTTGGGCCGATTTTCACGAAATTCGAACTCAGCCGTCCTTAGGGTGTAACGGTGATATATATTAATACGTTTTTTTTAAATCGGATAAAAATTATGACCTCTATAATAGGGTCCAAAAGCTAAAAACGAGATTTTTCGTACAATCAGGGGCCATAAGTCAGGAAGTCACGGTCCGATATGTGCGAATATCGAAAGGAAACGAGATCTTTGGGTTATAAACTTACATATCAAGTTTCAACAAAATCGAATAAAAATTTTGACCTCTATAGGGTCCACAAGCTACAAATGTGATTTTTTGTACAAACAGGGGCCATAATCCATGAAGTTTCGATCCGATACATGCCAATATCGAAAGTAACCAAGATTTTTTGGAGGTAAACCTATATTTCAAGTTTCGTCAAAATCGGATAAGATTGAATTGGGACCTGTAGAGTGTCCACAAACAAATTGTGAACGGACGGTCAGGGGCGACGACAATATACGTCCACATGAAAATGTGGGCGTATAAAAATGAACAACCCTGTCCTTTGAAAGTTTAAACAGATAAACAATAATAGTATAGCTATATAAAATGTAAATCTATCAAAGTTTAAGAATTAATTGTATTTGACAATCATCACAATGTTTGAAGTCACTTAAATTCCATTAACATCAAAAGTTATGTGATGAATAAATCACCATACTGGCATACTTACAAAGTTGAAAATTCCTCATAAAATAATTCTCTAGAATTTCCTCTGGTGCTATTATTTACAGTGACAGTTTGAATGCTAGTCATCGACTGCCTGCTTGTACTTGTCCTTGTAACTGTGCTAGATTGCCGCATTTTCACTGAAATACAAATTAAGTCAATCCGATTAAAACAGATCCTATTTCGTTTTGTTTTTTACAGTTCAAATGTTACGGTATATAAATCATTAATTAGATTTATTCACATACCTACCAACCCCATAATCAACCCTTTTTATTATCTGTTTTATACCAATAGCGAGAACTGTCGGCTAAAACATGCGCAATGCTAGAAGTAATCAAGGTGGTCAACAAGCCATAGAGGCCTAATGGTAGACCGAAGAAAAGGTATGAAAGGTATAGGTATTTACTTTAAACTTTAATGCAAAATGATTAAAAATTAAATGTAGTTACTAAGTTAGTATCTGGCAGTCTGCAGTGTGCTTGAACTTTCTACTGACTCTAAGTAAGGATTAAACATCTTGGTCTATATTATTACATTGTATCTAAGGAGACCTTAGTTTGCATTGATTTTCGTAAAATGATTTAATGAGCTACTGCATCCGAATGGCATTTAGTTGGTTTCTCTAACACAATATCATCCAAAGTCTTCGAAAATGAAAACACAAATCATTTGTCAATTTAAATCAACATTTGTGATCTTATTAAGAAAAGATGGGCTTCTGATATCCAATATTTAAGACAAATTAAACATTTTACCATTGGTACACGAATCGTGTTTAATATAATGCATTTCAGCGCCATTTGTAACAAGGGACTCGAAGAACTAGGCTAGACATATTGACATTATTTGAATATTTCACAAATCATGTCAAATGGTGACGCCATGTTCTTATCTGGAGAGCATGCACAATAGACTAAATACTATCGGTGTGGGCTGGAATAACCAGACGCTAGAGATTGCCATTCGATTCAGACATTGGCCTGGCATATATTTCACCGAACATAACTGATTTGAAATTACATGTAGTACATCATGTAATATATACGGAAACGATTGAATGTAAATCAGAACAGTTACACTTATATGCCTTGTGACCCATATGTGTCAATTTCTAGGTCCCAAATATGGTAGCACATCATTTCGGTCCCGCGTCAGTTCGGACTCAACACAAACGTTGTTTCGGACTCAGTTTGACGACGTTTCGGACTCAGTTTGACAACCTTTCGGACTTGGTATGGTGACTTTACGGACTCGGTATGGCGACTTTTCGGACTCGGACTGGCGACGTTTCGGACTCAATAACGGACTCAATAACGGACTCAATAACAGCTGAAAAATTCTATGTATGTATTTGTAATAACTGTTCATTCTTTCATTTTAGATGAGGCCGAAGACAGACCATTCACAATAATAAAGAAATTAAACAGTGTTAGTTGTGTTTTATTTATCCCATACAGACCTTACACACTTGAACTTTTATTTGTTTCGTTTTAGGTGAGGCTGAAGACAGAACATTCAAAATAATAAAGAAATTAAACATTGTTAGTTGTGTTTTATTATACAGAACTTGAAGTAAAACCAATATTACTTGATCGGTGAATACTGTATTTAATTAATCTGAGTAAGTTTAGATTATTGACGATAATTGATCAATTGATCGGCGATTCTTAAAGCCGTTAAGAAACGATTGAGAAATAAAAACACTGCTACCTTCCTTTTGTTGATTAGTGAAACCAAGCCGAGATTATTTAATCTCTATGGATGCGTTTTCCATTGGACACATGGGTTACCTCACGCCTCTTCCCTATAGAAGATTGGTGTGTATTTTACTATTTATGAAGCTAGTGAGCATGAACAACGACGTTGAGGGCTGCATAACAGGCTTAATTCGCCAGGGGTCCGGTGCCATTTTATTTACTTAATTGTGAGTTATTTTCAGAGGCAAAAAAGATACCCCTCAACATTACCATGATGTCGGAGGGCTCGCTGAGACGGCACCAGAGAAGCCGGTGTCGGCATATAGAGGGCCGACTATTTCAACTATGGGATGAATATAACCACCAAGATATTAGTACGAGTAGACTATTAAAAAAAACAACAGCCATTTGTACGGCCCACCTGCCCCCCAAAAAAATGAAACTGATAAAATAAATAAAATAAATGTATGTTTTATAAAATAAATGAATACCCGACTGAAGCTATTATTTCAACAAATAAATTATAAATCGCTGTATGCTATGTTAATGTATGAATTTAAATGTATGTTTTACAATAAATGAATACCCGACTGAGGCTATTATTTCATCAAATAAATATGCCCGTTGTTATAAATCGCTGTTCTTGTTTTATGCTATGTTAATAAATAAAATATGTACTTTATAAAGTAAATTGACGTCAGTGACAGTGTTCTATAATTCTATGTTCTATACCTGAGTCCGAAACGTCACCTACCCGAGTCCGAAACGTCATCTATCCGAGTCCGAAACGTCACCTACCCAAGTCTGAAATGTCAAGGACATATTTTTGGGAGTCCGAAATGATGCGGGACCGAAATGACATGTAATCCCAAATATTGGCGATTTAGCTCCTTTAAGATTTAAGGTCTCAATACCACTCTTGTTGTAACTGAATAATAATAAATGTCCCAATCTTTTTCTGGTCAACAAATTGTACTATTTTACAATATTCCAATTAATTGATGATATAAATTTCATTTTAACACACCTAATTTAAAAAATTGGAAAAATTCAACTAAATCAAATGATTTGAAAAGCCTGACGTAAAGCTTTTCAAATAAACTTACTTTATTTGGATTAAAAAATATTTTTGAACACTCTGGACAAGAAAATAGGATTTAAATGGATAATTTACACAACAGGTAGGCCTACTGCGGTAGGACACTAACACATCTAGTTAAGTATGTCACTACTTACTTAGAATAAGGCTATTTTTTATTTTCTGGAGCTGTCAAGCCAGCAAGAATGTTATTGTCCCTTTAAACCGACATAATATAGGGCCTATTACTATAGACATAGTATAAACTTTTAAAGGTATAAAACCAAAAGGTATCTGTCGATAATCTGACATCCTATTTCTAGCTTCCCCTAGACTCGGCTAGAGTAGATCTCATCAAAATCAAATGTGACCAAACTCCAAAGTAAGTGGATTTTACTACTTGTAGGCCTACAACAGACCTAAAGAAAGTATATTAAATTTGTAAATTGTTGTATGCTTACAATTACACTTTGCTTGGAGTCATTGCATTGTGGGCACCAGCATCTCATGCCATAAGATAAGCCTTGGACTTAGAATTTATAATGATTATGAAGATCATTAGCCTAGTCCAAGAAATCAAATCCAAAAAACGCACCCGACAGCCTATCCTACGCCCTACAGCCAGGTGTGTAAAACTCAGATTTACTATCTAAAAATAGATCATGGGTCTGTCCACCCTACTCATCATTCGTGTGGGGAATCGAGGTCAAGTCCTTAATTCAACTGGTGGTAGACCGGTAGATTGATGATGAACACTGGTTGGTGGTAACAACGCCTGCGCCACGGTAGTAATACGATTACTCGGATTACGAACGACACTTTGCATGGATTTCAGATGATTAACTTTATATAAGATATCCTACTCACCAGAGAATTGCAATCAAAACAACATTTATGGTCTAGTGATCAAACACAGATTTTTAACGGTTCTTACCCAACTTGCTGATCAAACGTAGCGCGGTACTATTATTTAGTAACCTTTGACCCATTCGCCCCATATTTGGTATTGAGACCCCCATCGTAGCCCATTCAGCCAATCAGAGCTAAGATATGGTAAGCGGGGTCAGAATTCAAACCCATTCATTTTGTATTTATACGTCCTCATCAAAACAAAGACATAAAAATTGTTTTATACTTTGTTTGACTGAAAACAACTTATTTGATTATGCAAATATTCAATAAAAGTGGTGAAAGCTCGTCGACTTGTATTATATTTTGTATCTCAGGTAAATATAATTTAAATACGTTAATATAACTTGAGAACTTTTTCTTTAAGCGCAGTGATAACGGGTAATTATTCGTACATTTTCATAAGTTGTAACGTCTTCGCGCGGATAGGGTTTACGAACGAAAATATTGAATTGATCAAAACATTTAATTGTGTGAACAAAGCTTCTAAATGAAGGTGAGCTTATTTATATAATCACTTTGATTTCATATCCAAGACTACGCCAGCAAAAAGAATTGAGATCTACATACTACATGTATGCCAATCAATATTTTAGGATGTTTTATTTTACTTTTAAATGACAATGTCGAACCAGTGCTAAGACTGGAATAGGGCCCACCGGCGCAGTCGAAGATAAACAAACAATGCAATGCATTGCCAATGTCGTAACTTGAGGAAGTCAACCGTTTCTGATTTTGCCAGAGGACCAGTGGCAGTGGACATAGGGCCTATAGGCCTACATATTTATTACAATTTAGGCCTTGCCCTTGGCTAGATTAAGAGTTTTAAAAAATGATGTGTGCATGTAATCATCATGTATGATCATTTAATAACAGTATGTAGGTAGTATGTGGTGAATACCTGATAACTCATCCCAAGTTAGAAGACAGCTCATTCCAAATTCCAAGATTATGAAGATAAAAGACAACTCGTCGGTCATCCCAACTTTAAAAAAAACCACTCATTTCGAAATAGTTTTGTTTGGTCTTCAAAGAAAGCAATTGTTTGTATTAAAACATTTTTAAATACATATAATTAATAACTATTAAACTAGCACTTATATTATATATTTCATTTGTTGGAATGAGTTGTCTTATATTATTATCTCGACCCATGTTTTAATAAAGTTGGGATAAGCTGTCTTTTATTTTGGGATGAGTTGTCTTGTTATGAGTTGTCTGTAAGAAACTTACCGTACCGGTACTGTTGTAGTTGCATATCTAGAATAGATATATTTTAATTAATTAATACGTTGTACGGTAGATCTGACTACGTCTTCTACTCTAGACACATGTGGATATAATTGTTGTCGCCCCTGTCCGTCCGATAGGCCCTGTGAGTTGAAATGATGGTGGTTTAGGGTAGATTTGTGTAAATAATTCATGCTACCAATACAGTCAACACTTGACCAGTGAACTGCATTCCATTTAAGTTTCACCTTGGTCTTGAATTGAAAACATCACCCTATGACTAATCCACACTGTTACATGTAGGTCTAGCAATACAAATGTTATAAATTTTCTAAAACAAAGCTTATTTAAATTTATTTTAAGAATTTGGTTTTCTAGATTCAACATGAATGGTAAGTTTGGAAATATTGTGGTAATCAAAAGGAATGGAAGTGATGGCGCTTGTTTTCCATTAACAGCTACTTCATGCTTATTTGGAAGGTAAAGTATTTTCAACTAAGTAAAAAGTAACACCAGACAACTTATAGTAGTATAGGCCTATTCAAGCTAATTGAATTTGATTAAATCGCAAAACAACATAGGATCATCAGAAATGATTTTGAGTTCGGCGAGCCTTGTTTTAATAAAAGTCTTCTAAAAGGCGCCAATTGTAATGAAGCGATTCAATGAATGAGGCTAAACATACATGTATGTATCCCACAGGAGTATACTACCGGTGTAGACTGGAATAACCAGACGCCAAAAACTGTTGTTCAATTTGCACTCTTTGTGTATTTCATTGTTCAAACGATTAGAATTAGAAATTACAGTAAAAGGTAAAACAGAAATCGTTGAATGTAAATCAGTTTACTGAATATTCAGTATTGTTTTTGAAACCCATTTGTGTCCTTTTCTAGGTGCCAATGAATGTCAATTTAGCTCTGTTAATGTACCGCACTGAACATGTATACAACTAATTTAGTGATCTACTAAGTAGTACTAATAATAATTGTGTGTGTACCCAGGTCTATCTTTATTTAATTTCTAATACTTTATACTTACTATATTAATAAACTTTTCAATGTTTTAGGCATGATAATTGTGACATCAGAATCCAGCTTCCAAGTGTATCAAATGAACACTGTAGAATTGATGTGGATTCCCAAGGGCAGGTAATAAAGCATTTTTATTATTAGGCCTACTACTACTATTGGGGGACGACATCATAAAAAGACATTTTTCAAGATAGTCAATCAGCAGTTAGAATACCCTTGGAATCCCAATTGACTGAAGCCATCACCTTTCCAGCTGAAGGAACTGACTTGGCTTTTTGGGAGGACTGGTGACTCTGGATGCTTCCATTGTTTAGATTGAATTTTGGATTCTGGTTGAAAGTGATCAATCCTGGTCTCACCCATTGTTAGAAATCTGAACAAAGAAATTGTCAGGATCTGTTTCAAAGCGGCGCAGATTGTCATTGGACGTCAGGAATCTGACATGTTTCTGATCCACAGTCAAGAGCTCTGGCAACCATCTTGCAGAAACATTTGACATTTGCGGATAATGTGCTCAACCCTGTCTTGAGTGATGCCCAGGTGCCCACAACATTGACAATATGTCGAGTGGTCAATCCGGGTAATGTTTTCTTGAATGGTTGCCCTTGATGGCCGGTCATCATCAATCAAGACTCTCTCTCTGCTAAATTCTGCAGCCCACTTCCTTACTGTTCAAAAGGAAGGGGCATTATCTCGGCATGTAGCCTATCTGTGTTGGGGTTAGTTTTTTTCAGTTGCAGGTACTTAATGACTGCCCTATAGCCAGTATTTGTCCATTTCTGGTGATTTCAATGGATAGGATCACAAGGTGGTCTGGTACAAAAACAATAATAACACACAGTTGCAGTTCTTTTGTCTATGATTCATTCAATCATTGTACTTGTTGGTGGCAAAAGTTTCTTTCCAATTTATCAAACCTTTTCAGGGTTAGAGCTATTCAGCCAGCCCTCGTAAAACATTTTCGCTTGTCTAGGGTAATAATAGAGCCAAAAGTTTTATGAATTCTTGTACGAATTTCTTAAAGTTAAATGTCCTAACTAGTTGCTATGTTAGTGTACTGTAGTGCTTCTGTGTCTCCACATCAAGGCTTCATGGAACTGACATAATAGTAATATTGTGACATAGTCTAGAACAAGCCATAAAATTCAGTGAGTTTTTCTGGTGGTACATTGTGATCTGTTTAGTTAAAAGTAAATTTATTCACTACAGGTACACATAGTTGTAAAGCAATATCAGATTTACAGGTATACACTATTCAATCTCGCCGGCCATTTTGAATGTCACATAATGTGTCCTACGATTAGTCGCTTAACACAGATCCAAGATGGCGTCTCCAATTCGCATTTCTTCAGAAATTTCATGTATTTAGCCGAATCACTCACTCAATAGTTCCCAATAAATCATCAAATCGACTGTTTTCGAATGAACTTTTGATATCAATATGTGGAAAATGTTTCAAGGATCATTAATATGTAACTTGTGCAACGAATCGATGCATCTAATTGTCGAGAAATAGGCAGCATTTCATTCTAACAAATCCTGCCTTTCAGTAGCCACTGGACAAGAGCTTAGGAATTGATTTAACGCTGATTAATGGCCAGCGAGTTTTACCAGAGATAAACGAAGGGTAAAGTTATCCCTTGGATCGAGATTGACACTAATAACTATATGATGTAATGAAGTTTGGGCTTTGTCTTTTGTTTGTTGTACCAAAAATTTAAAATATATTTGTTGAATAACAAATACTTGCTTTTCATTTCAGATATCTTTGGTCAACCTGAGTAAAGAAAATCCAACCCTTGTCAATGGTAGTATTTGTAAGACATCATGTGCTGTTTCCCACAAGGATATCTTTACAGTTGTTGATAGATCTTTTAGATTTGAATTCTCACCAAACTCAAAATTGTCTCCAGCTAAACAGTCTCCTAAAATGGCAAAGACACCCCAAAAATCACCAGGATGCTCACCCAAAAAATCTCCAGGAAAGAAGACACCAACTAAGATTTTGACTCCTAAGGTAATTTTATTCCAGAAATTGATCAACCTAGTTTTGGCTGTACCACATGATATTGGCACACTGAAAATTAAGCAAAACCATCATATATATTATGAATCTGGACTTGTGTACCACATAATACTTTCATATCACATAGTTAAGCTTTTTCTAACCAGTGCTATTTGCAGAACACTTTGAATTTTATTTTTTAATTTTCTATTCTGCAAAAGTTTTTATAATGGAAAAATGTGACAGCAACTTAACACAACATTATTCTATTATTAACAAGTCATTGCGATTTAATTTTGTTTTTCAGACAAAGCCGCCGACACAGACGACAACACCTTTACAAGGGAAGAAATCGCCTAAACCTCTTACACCTAAATCATTGAACATACCCTTGAGCACGCCTATATCATCTAAAGAACTAGGAAATCGGAGATCTTCAAGTGCCTCAACACCCAAAGGAAGTCCTAAATCTATTTCTCCTCGATCATTATCTGCAAAGCCTAGCCCAAGATCTTCCTCATCAACACCAGTAAGAACATCAGAAAAATCTCCTAAACAAAAATCACCCAAGCCAATGACACCTAATAAAATTATATCTAGTAAAGCCAGTCCACGTTCACCCGCATTATCGGGTAAAAAATCGATTCCCTCGAGCCCAAAAGCCTCACCGGGAAAAGCCCCAAAGTCTCCAAAATATGCTGGTAAATCAAGATTCTCAGTTGAATCTGTCAACACTTCTTTATTTGTGGATCCAACGCCAGAAAAAAGATCTATATCACGATCGGTTTCACCTAAAGCAACCAGCCCAAAATCTCCTAAACCAGCCACTCCAAAGTCTGCTTCAAAGTCATTGTCACCTAAATCAAAACCGATTTCAACTTCCCCATCAACTCCAAAATCAAGAAAGTCAGTTTCACCTAAAACAACACCAGCTGCATCAACACCTAAATCAAGAAAGTCAGTTTCACCCAAAGCAGCAGCTCCATCTACACCTAAATCAAGAAAGTCAGTTTCACCCAAAGCAGCAGCTCCTTCTACACCTAAATCAAGAAAGTCAGTTTCACCTAAAGCAGCGACTCCTAATTCACCTAAATTTGGCACTCCAAAAGCGACTACACCCAAGACTGCTGGTAAAAAAGGTTTGTACTTTCCCTTTTTAATATTGTATAAAGAATGGCATACACTATCACTGCATTATTAAATTATAAGTTAAGCTTAAACATGCATTATGCAAGAGCAAAATCTGCTTATTACAAGTCTTTCTTTAGGCCTGAAATGTTATCTAAATTATCAATTAGACATTAATTAACTTATCCAGACCATAATAAACTCTCGATGTCAAGGCTAGCCTTCGATGTTGGCTGGATTAGATTCCTATATGCCGCTAACGGCTGTTGATAATTAAATCAATAAAAGTGGATAATCGAGACTAAGCTGTTTATAATAATGATTTTAGTAATGATGACCGAGACTATGCCAAAATTTCACCCGCTTCTTTCTATGCTCATAGTGGATCAATTTGGCTGAAATTTTCAGCAAATTACCTTTACACTATCTAGTTTTTAACTATTATAGCGAGAACTGCCATCTCGTTATCTTATCTCCCATAATGTATCTTTAAACAGTGAGATTCTGTGCTTGAGGCAGGATAACTGTTTTCTAGAAACTGAATAATATGACATTACTTTACTTAGGGAAACATTGTTATTTTCTTCTTTGATTTGAAATTGATGTTCAAGATAAACACCATAAAGAATTATACATTATTAATTAGTGTCCAACAAGAACTCCGACCAAAGAAATATTACTGTTGAAATCCGTAAACGTTTTAAAATTGAATTTATTTACAATTATTTTCTTGTGTTTATTTTCAGGATCAGGAACAAAAAGAAAGTCTGTATATGAAAGTGGACCTCCTTCAAAAAGAAAGCGAGTATCATTTGGTCCAAACCTGAGCCCAGAACAATTTGATAAAGCCTTGCCTCCATCAACACCAATAGCCAAAGGAGCAACACCTAGAAGAAAATCTGAGCCTTTAAGAATGCAAACGCCAGTGTCTCTTTTGAAACGTAGATCTATAGCTGTATTTAATAAGTCGCCTATATCGGAAGAGAGTCCACATAATGCCCCCAAATCACCAAGTGCTTCTCAAAAAAGAGCACAGTCTAAGTCACCTGCAAGGAGATCAAAATCGCCTAAAAATACACCTCAAAGATCGGGTTCCAAATCTCCAACAAGTGGCACTTCAGTTGGAAGACCATCAAGATCACCTGTTAAAAGAAAAGGAAAATCGCCAGTAAAGAGTCCAGTTAATAGCCCAGTTAAAACACCAACCAAAAGCCCAACAAAAAAGAGTTCACGAAGTCCAAGAATATCGAGGAATCGAGAAGAATATTCAGTGGGAAGTCCTGTAATGGCACTGTCAACAAGTCCTGCAAAAATACCAGGAAAGAGTCATACAGGAACACCTACCAGGACTCCTGTAAAAATAGCTTCAAAGAGCCCTGCAAGAACTGTCAAAAGTCCAGCAAATTCACCCGCCAAGAGTCCAGCAAAGTCACCCGCCAAGAGTCCAGCAAAGTCACCCGCCAAGAGTCCAGCAAAGTCACCCGCCAAGAGTCCAGCAAAGTCACCCGCCAAGAGTCCAGCAATAACCCCAACCAAGAGTCCAACAAGAACCCCAGCCAAGAGTCCAGCAAGAACCCCAGCCAAGAGTCCAGCAAGAACCCCAGCCAAGAGTCCAACAAGAACCCCAGCCAAGAGTCCTGCAAGATCCCCAGCCAAGAGTCCAGCAAAGACCCCAGCCAAGAGTCCAGCAAGAACCCCAGCCAAGAGTCCTACAAGAACACCACCCAAGAGTCCAGCAATAACACCAGCAAAAAAATCTAATGTTAAGACCCCCAAAAGTTTAAGTAAATCACCCGGTAGAATTTTAGTAACAGTACCTGATAATTCTCAATCAAGCACTCCAGGGCGAGTTATAACCAAAAGTCCTGCTACAGCACAAATTGCAGCTCCACGTAGAACACCAGCAAAAAGCCCAGGTACAACTTTTAGTAAAAGTCCTGGAAGAATTCCTGCTAAAAGTCCAGGTAGAAGTGCTAATAAATCTATCTCAGAAGATAGTGTAACTGCAGCAACTGTGGATGTGACCAATGCAAAGACTCCTTCAAGATCTCCAGCAAGAACATCTATATCTTCACCAAAAGACAACTCCCCAGAATTTCTATTTGCCTCTAGGTCTAAAAAGCCTGTTGCTATTGTTACACCACAAAGGTCAAGATCAGCATCTCCTGTAAATACGAAGAAAGTATCACCTAAAATTACCTCACCAAAAACTAGAGTAAACCGTAAATCAACTGATATGTATGAATTTCATTCAGGTGATGAAAGTAGTGAAGAACTTTTTTCGTCCCCTAAAGGTAGAAGAAGCTCCATCAAGAAGACTCCAAGATCCACGAAGAAGAGTCCTGTTAAAGTAGGTAGAAGAAGCCCTGTACTTTCTCCTGTTGCCATGACTAAAATGTTGAAAACACCCAATTCATTTTACTCTAAAGGAAGATCAAGTCTCACAGGAATACAGAGATTAATGAAGTCACCAAATTCTGCCAACAAAAATGCAAATAATGTATTGGATTCAAGTTTTACTGGAATAGCTGACCTAATGAAATCACCAAGAATTTCTTCACCCAATCAAACAGGTACTAAACCGAAATCATCCAGAAAAAGTACTGGGTCAGCGGTTGTAGAAATGTTCCAAACTACACCCAAATCCTCTCGTAAAAGTACAGGATCAATGACCCCTAAATCAGCCAAGACTTCACCCAAATCAAGAAGTACTACAAAATCAGACAAGCAGTCGCCACAATCAAAGAAGACTACACCTAAATCTGCTAAGACTACACCCAAGAAGACCACACCATCATCTGCAAAGACAAGACCCAGAAGTTTAGGAGATGGCAAACAAATTAACCTGACTGTCACTCCACCAAGTTCCAGAAGATCAACCTCTCCGTTGAACAAATCTAGCAAGAAATCAAGTGGAAAAAAGTTGCAGAGAAAGTCAACTCATTCATCCCCAGAAATTGTTAATGTAAAACGTCATCGAATGTTTTCCAGTCCTGTTGACAAACTTGCCACTCCACCGACCAGTTTGAAAAAGATAGTTGCACTGAAAGCTATTCACAAAAAGTTAGCTAAACCTCGACTGTCTAACATTATGAAAAAGACCCCTGGTAGAAAGAGTATTGGTGCTAAAAATCCAACCCCATCAAAGAAATTATGGTCAGATATTTTAAAGAGTGGAATAAGTGTGACTGGTATTGTGAAGAAAGTACCTGCGGCTAAACCTATTTCTACTAAAATTATGAAGAAGTCGACACCGAAGGGAAAATCAATCAATGTAAGTATCATATTATAAGACCAATTAAAGACTGTTAATATTTTACTATGAATCTTTCATCTACTCAGCCATTTTAGTATTTCATGTATTATGAATTTATTTGTGAACAAACAAAGCGACTTGTTACTTTAACAATTTTGCTCTCAATGAAATCTTTACATAAATTTATGTTTCCATTGAATGTCCTAAAGATCATGGAATTGGTCTTTTATTTATTACTTTTTTTAATTCACATTTATTTCAGAAATCAAAGGTTGGAAAGACTCCGAAGACACCTAGAGCTGTTGCACGAGCCTTAGCCCCATCAACAGGTCATATTGAATCTCCAATGACATTGATTGTTGGGAAAAGAGTTACAAAGAGAGCGAAAACACCTATCCCCTTGCCTAAAAAGGGTAGGAAGGTCTCTATTGGAGTAAGTTGACGACTTTAAATTATGATTTATTTGTACTAAAAACATCCGAATTTGGATAATAAATTGCAGTTATTTCAAAAGAAGTGTGTACTTTTAAGTTGATCATCATAATGATAACAAATAACAAATTGATATCGAATACACTATACAAGGTTTATAATTTGGAATATGTATTAATTAACCCTTTGTTTATTTATCTTTTATTTTAGAAATCAAGAAAATCACTGGGTAACACAAGCTATTCTGGAATAGAAGATTTATTTGCTTCTCCATCACCCAACAGTAGGAAATCTATTACGTCTGCTGTGGCTTCACCTAGACTCTTGACAGGCACGCCTCATGCTCTTTATGCCGATTTACCAGATACTCCTAATGGTCCAGGTGAAATGATTGTTTCTCCACTAAACTCCAGAAAACCATCAGGAAGAAAGAGTATACATAGCCCTAACATGGTTGGTGTCAAGGGCCTATTTAAAAAATCTAAAACTCCAGCTAAAATCAATCTTGAGGGAGTTAAACGCATAATGACATCTCCAAGACAGAAAAACCAAAGTGTTGAAGATTTTGGAGGAATTAAGCGAATAATGGCAACACCTAAACAGAGGGTTAAAAAAAATACTGCATCCAGCCCATCTGGTGTTGATAAGTTATTCACTTCAACTCCAAGAAGTGCTAAAAAAAACACACCTAAGAGAGCCACCCCAGCTAAGACTTTACCCCAAAAAGAACTGAAATCCCCCAAAGCAGCGAGTCCTAAAAAAACAATTGTTGCAAAATCACCAAAAGTCACACCTAAAAAAGCTTCTCCTGTAAAGACAGTTGTTGCAAAATCACCAAAAGTTACTACTAAAAAAGCTTCTCCTGTAAAGACAGATGTTGCAAAATCACCAAAAGTCACACCTAAAAAAGCTTCTCCTGTAAAGCAGACAGCAGTAAGAAGTACCAGAAAAACACCAGCCAAATTAACTACACCCAGTAAAACTAAGGCTAGTAAAATGGTAGAAGTTATTGAAGAAATACTTCCAGAAGCTGTTGTCATTGTTTCTCCTGTTAAACTGTCTCCCAAACAACCTCCGGCACCTGCAAGAGGTGGCCGAAAAACTACCAGAAGCATTAAAAAATTAAAAACTCCTAGTCCCAAAAAGGCAAGTATTGATTCTGCATTTGATGTAATTTATTGTCTCCCGCCTTTCAAAGAAAGCAGGGGACTATTAAAATGGGTTCGTTTGTCTGTCCGTCACACTTTTTGAGACACAATAACTCTTTCTAATTCAGTAATTGAGCTAGAATGTTCAAACTTGGTGTATGCATTTATTAGGTCAATGCCTTGATGGAGTTCGAAGATGAACATTTTCTGCTTAGGGTAAGCAAAGATAAGTAATTTGATTGGTTGATGCCTTGGGACACGATAACTTTAGTTCTAATTAAGTGAAAGTGATGAAACTTGGTGTATAGTTTCATTACATCAATACCTTGACTAAGTTTGATGATGAGCATTTCATTGGTCAAGACTTTGGAACACAATAACTCTCATAATAATTAAGTTAGAATGTTCACACTTGGCATAGGTGAATACCTTGATGGAGTTTGAAGAAGATAATTTTCTGCTTAGAGTAAGCAGAGATAAGCAATTTGATTGGTTGATGCTTTGGGACACGATAACTTTAGTTCTAGTTAAGAGAGAGTGAGGACACTTGGTGTATAGCTTTTTTTTACATCAATACCTTCACTAAGTTCGATAATGAACATTTTCTGCTGAGGGTAAGCAGAGCGATAAGCAATCTGATTGGTTGATGCTTTGGGACACGATAACTTTGGTTAATATGAAGTGAGAGCGATGAAACTCTGAATATAGATTTATTATATCATTACTTTGGCTAAGTTCGATTGTGAGAATTTTCTGCTTAGGCTAAGGAGCGATAAACACTTTGATTGGTCAAGACTTTGGAACATAACAACTCTGCTTTTAATTGAGGTAGAATGTTTAAACGATGTAGATGTTCATTAGGTGAATGTCTTGACTGAGTTCAATAACATTTCGAGCTGAAGCTAAGCAGAGCTAATCAATTTCATTGGTCGATGCTTTGGGACAAGATAATCTTGATTCTTTCTCATAGAGAGTGATGAAACTTAGTGATTAGTTTGATTGCTCGATACTTTTGAAAAAAAATAAATGTGCAATTAATTAATATGTGTCATCTATTTATTTTGGGATTTCGGTGGGGAACATCATCCTCACTGTTGGCTTGTTTTATTCAAGTTGAGAGTTTACTCTAATTTATATTACATAGTTTGATATATGATGAGAGCAAATAGTTTCACAAAACATTCAGACTGGTCTGCTCTGTTTCTAAATCTCAATTACATCTCTTACTACTCATAGTGACCAAGGATCAAAAATATGAATTCAGCCACTGTAAAGGCGTTTTGTGCATTAGAAATCGGAATAACTTTGACAAATAAACTTTTAGTGTTATTATTTTTATGGTCATAAACGACAATATGTCAAGCATGACGGTTCTGTCTTTCAAATGAACTTGATTAGAATTGACACCTTGGTTTTGGTATGGGATGCTAATATTTTATTGTCAAATTAATGGAACAAATTCTACATGTATACATAATATTACAGCATAAAGTCACATAACATTCGTAATTCATGTACAAATTATGAATGTTTCAAAACAGTTGCAAGTGTAAGTAAAAATGATTCGCTGTCAATATTGCTGATCGAGGCATGTTAGTTTAATAACATGCTGCAAGAAATAGATACAGTTTTCACACATTTGGGCTAAAGTAAAAGTATGTAGCACACAAGAATTATGAGAATTTTAGGGGTGAAAAAAAATACCAACCAACTGTACAAAACCCGCTTGTTTGAATTTTCACCTCAATTGTCTTTTTGTACAGTATTAACTTGACAAACACAAATTCATTAAAATTCAAATCACATTTCTTTCTGTTGATATTCAAAACACTGGATTTTTAATGCCACACTTTTAAGTCAAATATAGTTTGGTGATGATTGCATAAGGCTTTAGTATAGTACACAATGTTTTAATAGATTTAAATTATTTATTTGCAGGGTCGTGGAACAAAGGGTAAACGTACAGTACAACAACCCACTGATGTTATTGTCATAGCAACACCAGAGCCTCCAAAGTAAGTAACAAACAATTGAATATACCATGTGGTCCCTGAGGCTTGTTTGTAACTTCAACACTTGATTCATACCGGCAATAAAATGGCCACACATCTAAATGCTTTGATCTTTAATAACCTCTGTCCATGTAACTCAATAGAATATTGTGAGTTCTGACAAGTACACAAGTGTTAATCCTAACTATTTTAAACTCTGAATGGTCAACATGCCTTAAAGTGCTGTATATTGCATAATATGATTCTTAAAACGTAGGACGTTAAACCCCATTTCATTTCTTTAAAGTTGGGGAATAATTATTAGCTTCAGGTTTAGGCATTAAAAAATAGAATCTTGTATATAATAACTATCTTTGCATTGTTTAATGATTATTTTAATTTTTTAGGAGAGGTGGCAGAAAACGTAAAGCAGAAGAAAGTGTCTCACCAGTAAACAAAAGAGTTAAAATACAGACACCTGTCAAATCAGGTAACACTACAGATATTTTATAACATTTACAGTACAGCTCATCTTTCTTACGTAAAACTCAATGATAAGTTTACTTTGATCTAGAATTTTAAATTTATTTGTCAAAAAACCAGTTGTCGATGTGATTATTTATGGAATCATCTGCGACACTTTACCTTTATCAAGAGCATTTTTATAGTTCTACGCTCATATGGAAATGTGGACATATATTGCCGTCACCTCCATCTGTTAGTCTGTCCATCCTTCGTCCACAATTTCTTGTGAACGCTTTAGCACCAAAAATTATCATCCGATTGTTTTAAAATTGATACAGTAAACTTCACATGAGTCGGAGGATCTAAGTGGACTGACCAATTTTATCCGAGTTAAACATACATTATGCAAGAGCTAAATCTGCCTATTGTAGGTCTTTCTTTAGGCCTGAAATGTTATATAAACTATTAATTAGACATTAATTAATATATCCAGACCATAGGCATAATCAACTCTCAATGTCAACGCTAGCCTGCAATATTTGTTGGATTATGATCTGATTGGCTGCATAACTGGATAATCGAGACTATGATTTTTTTCGTACCGACAATGATGATCGAGGCTATGCGGAACTTTCGATCGCTTATTTCTCGGTTCATCATAGTGGATCCATTTGACTGAAATTTTCGGCAAATTGCCTTTACATTATCTAGTTTTTAACTATGATAGTGAGAACTGCCAACTCCTTATCTAATATCCCATAATGTATCTTTAAGCAAAGATCTGAGTTAGCCGAAGACCGAAATTCAATCTTAGCTCGATTAGAAATAAACTGCAAGAGCCGAGTAATAATTGATTCAAAGGCACATTTCAAGCTTTTGTTCGTGTGTGCGAGTAGATAACTTCCGTTTTGGTGCTAGTAGATAACTTCCGTTTTGTCGCCATCTTTGAAAAAAGTCCAAAATTTTCCTGGAAAGAGTCTTTTAGTAAAATGAAAAAGCCTGTCAAATTTTAACAATTTCTGTAAATTACTTCCAGAGTTAAGGCCCTTGTTTCAGTTTGTAGAACCTTGTAAACCCTCAATCGGCAAAAATTATAATCTGAACTGTATGAAATTGTCTTGTTTATGCCTCCAATTACCTACCTACAGAGCGGCAGAGAATCGAACCAAAGGGACTCGTTGCCTGTCCATCTATATACTGTTCATGTTAATACTATTGACCACTTACTATTTTAGCCCTCAATTTTATATACCTGCCCAACCTTCTTCTTGCTAGTCTTACTTAATATTTTTTTTCTATTTTCAGCTGTTAAAGGTAAGGGTTCCACAGTCAAGTCAAAACTATCACCTAGAAAGGCAACATCCAGACGAGGTAGACTTGTTGAAGAACCTTCAGTGGAAGTTTCTCAGCCAGCTTCTCCTGCAAAACCTGTCACGAAAAAGGGAAGATCCACAAGAGGAAAGCCCATAGCGAGCCCAAAAGCACTGATCCCTAAAAAAGCTTCTACATCTAAAAAGGCAACCCCACAAAAGGCTAAAAAAGGAAGAAGAGTGGAAGAATCTGAACCAGAGGCTGAGGCAGTTGTAGCACCAACACCTAGAAAGATAGAAACCCCTAAAAAAGCTGCCACTCCTAAAAAGGCAGCATCTCCTAAGGCTAAAAAGGGACGTTCAACAAGAGGAAGAAGGGTTGAAGAATCTGAATCAGAGACTGTGGCAGTTGTAGTACCAACACCTAAAAAGATACCAACCCCGAAAAAAGCATCTCCTAAAAAAGCAACGCCACAGAAGGCACGAAAGGGACGATATACAAGAGGAAGAGGCACAGAAGAATCTGATGCTGAGGTAGTTGTTAGTCCAATCAAGCCAAGACGAGGTAAGGCTGCTGCCAAGCTATCTAAAGCCCAAACTCCAAAGAAAACAAATACTACAAGACGAGCTCCAGAAATAGTAGTTACGCCAGAGTCAAAGCCTGTTGAAGAGAAGGTATCTAGTCCAGCTAAACCAGTTGGCAAAAGAGGAAGAACGGCACGTGCAGCACCAAAATCTCCAGTGAAAGCAAAAACACCTGCTAAATCAAAGAAAGCTAAAACAGAAGTAAAACCCAAAACTCCTGTCAAAGTTAAAACACCAAAAAAAATCAGAAGTACGCGAGGAAAGAAAGTAGCAACTCCAGAACCTGTGGTGACGGGTACAAAAAGAAAAGCTGAAGAACCTGTTTCATCTCCAGCGAAGAAAGCAAAAGTTCCATCACCAAAACAACTACCCTCCCGAGCAAAAGGAAAGCAGTTGAAAGGAAAGAAAAGTCCAGTGAAAGAAGTTACTGAACCCGAAGTTACTGCTAGTAAGTCAACTAAGAAAACTGCTGGAAGACGATTGATTAAAGCTAGTCCAACAAAACCTAAAACTGTCACTCCTCTTAAAACCAGAAGAGGTCCACAAAAGGCTGAAACCAGTCCAGTCAAACCTTCACCTGTAAAAGCAAAATCACCTGCCCAAAAAGCATCAAAACAGAAATCTAAGAAGACAGCTACTCCAGTAAAAAAGGCAGCAAAAACAGTCAAAGCCAAGAAGGTCACTCCAGTGAAGAGAGTTACGAGAAACCGAAAGTAAACAGCTCAAATTCATCACCACTTGTCTTCTTCATAATTAACTGCATTTATATTTTATAAATTTGTATAAAGTAATTGTATATTTTGAATATTTTATTATCGATATTATTAACTTCATCAATATTATTAATATATAAATTGCATCTTATTTTAAAAAAAAGATTTTTTAAGAATTAATTTTTAAACATAAACCTCTTTTTTTAAACTTTGAACATTCTATATCATCATATCATTCATAATATTCTTGCCATATCACGCTTTCCACATCTGATTTGAAACATACTCTTTTCTCTAATAAAATACGCAATTTTTGATAGATTTTAGGCATTAGGAAATTTATTTTGTATTTTTAATATTTATCTATGTATATGCTTTTGTCCAATGTTTTTTTTCTTCTTCTTTGTGCATAGTGCTATTTCTACTTGACTTAATTCTTGGTATAGCATTTGATTAAGTTATTTTCCTTACTTTTTGTATTTTGGGTATTCTTAAAATTAAATCTTTAAAAAATTGGATTGAGAAGAACACATTTCTGTTCTTTAGTCAGTTCATTTTAGATTTTTAAACTGCCAAGGAAAATAGGCTTGACTTGTTAATAAGTAAAACTGTTATTATTTATCATTATTTAGCAACTAGGGTAGTTTCGTGTATGTCTTTATCATTAGAATAAGACAATAAATTTTTTATTGTCTTTATATACATGTAGTCTGCACTATCATCTGTAAATAATTTCATCTCATTTATTGCAAACAAATGAACTTGTTAAATTGACTCATGTCGTTTTGTTATTTTTTTCGTCATTAATAATCACATACTATATTGAATGACACACTCATGGAAGGTTTTACTTGTAAGAAATATATTGAATTTTATACCTCATTGTTTCAGCTGAACTGAAGTGTACTGTTTGAATCATTATTGAACACATTTGTAATTAAATTTTGAAACACAAAATAGAGAATTAAATGATCATTTCCAGGATTCAAGCAAAATAAATTTAGAAATTCACCTTTCCTGCAATGTGTTGTTTCTTGTCATTTAACTGATTTTGGGGAAAAGTGCTCAATGGCGTTTTACAATAAACATATAATGGTGTGTTGTGCAATATTTGACTTTTACCGGTATTTCTAATTTATGAAATATAAGAACATGATTTCTTATCTTTATCTACATAAGTCTCTGGAGGAGCCATTTGTCAATCCATTGAGTTTCTCAATATTTATGCGCCTATGGATCTTTCTGTCTTCATTAGCCCAGTCGTTGCAGATGTAAAAAATCAGTGTAGGGAATTCAAATTCATTTACTGTCTATTGATCAATGAAAGAGATGGATAGAGAATAAGCTAAATACAAAAGTTACTTTTGGTACAATCAGGGGCAATAATCCAGAAAGTTATGGCCTGAAATGTGCAAATATCAAAAGGGACAGAGATCTTTGGGATAAAAAGATATGTTTTAAGTTTCATCAAAATCAGATAAAAATTGTGACCTCTAGAGGGTCCACAACCTTCGTATTACACAATTTGTGTACAAAGAGCGTCCATTTTGTCAGGCAGTTTTATTTCTATTTTCCCGAAATATGAATTCAGCCTTAATTATGGTGGAATGGTGATGTATTGAAACGGTTTTTATACGCCCACATTGAAATGTGGTTGTTGGTCCGGGGTCCATACTTCCTTGTGGACGCTCTAGAGGCTAAAGTTAATATCCGATTGACTTTAAATTTACATACTGTGTTTAAGGCCATGAGACAAAGAAGCCTATTGATTTTCAGCGATATCCGATAATTACTGCCAGATTTATGGCCCTTGATCACTTCAAAAAATCTTGTGAACACTCTAGACTCTAGAGGTCAAAGTTAATATCCGATTGACTTGAAATTTATACACAGTGTTTAAGCTCATGAGACGAAGAAGCCTAATGATTTTCAACGATTTTCGATAATTACTGCCAGAGTTATTACCCTTGATCACTTCAAAAGATTTTGTGGATGCTCTACAGGCTAAAGTTAAGTTCGATTGACTTTAAATTTATACACAGTGTTTGAGGACATGAGACGAAGAATCATTGATTTTCAACGATTTCCCATAATTACTGCCAAAGTTATGGCCCTTGATCACTTTGAAAAATCTTGTGACGCTCTAGAGGCAAAAGTTATCCGATTGACTTCAGATTGATACACAGAGTTTAAGATCTTGATACGAACAAGTAAATTTTTATGACTTGAACGGCTAAATCCATGATATTAAAAGTTTTGTATACTAAACGTTACCAAACCAAATGAATTCTAATGGTTTTCTGATAATTACTTCATGAGTTGTTACTCTTAATCAGATTTTACTGTATTATAAATGTTTCATTACTGAAAAAAGTAAAAATATGCGACAACACTTGTTGACTGTCCGGACGATTTAGCTGCTATGGGTGTATGTTTCATTGTCTGGCAACCTATCTTTAAAACCGGAAAAAAATTGTGACCTCTAGAGAATCCGCAAGCTAAAAATTTGATTTTTCGAACAATCAGGGGCCATAATCCAGGAAGTTAAGTTCGGGTATCCGCGATTATCAAAAGGAACCAAGATTTTAGTGTGCAACTTGTGACCTCTACAGGGACCACAAGCTAAAAACGTAATTTTTTGTTCAATCAAGGGCCATAATTCAGGAAGTTACGATCCGATATGCGCGAATATCGAAATAAACCAATATCTTTGGGTTATAAACATGTATTTCAAGTTTCATCAAAATCGGATCAAAATTGGGTCCACAACCTTGATTTACCATATGTTGACACTATTTGCATACGAGGGGCGGCCATTTTGTCCGGCAGTTTTGGCCCGATTCTCACGAAAATCGAACTCAACAAACATTACGGTGTAACAGTGATATATTCGAACATTTTTTTTAAATCAAATAATAATTCTGACCTCTAGAGGGACCACAAGCTAAAACGCAATTTTGCGTACAATCAGAGGCCATAATTCAGGAAGTTACGATCTGATATGCGCGAATATTGAAAAGAACCAAGATCTTTGGGTTATAAACCTGCATTTCAAGTTTCATCAAAATTGTGACCTCTAGAGGGTCCACAACTTTGATATACCAGATGTTTACACTATTTGTGTACGAGGGGCGGCCATGTTGTCCGATAGTTTTGGTCTGATTTTCATGAAATTCGAATTCAACCATCCTTAGGGTGTAACGGTGATATATTCGAACGTTTTTTTTAAATCAGATAATAATTGTGACCTCTAGAGGGACCACAGGCTAATACGCGATTTTTCGTACAATCAGGGGCCATAATTCAGGAAGTTATGATACAATATGTACGAAAATAGAAAGGAACCAAGATATTTGGGTTATAAACATGCATTTCAAGTTTCATCAAAATCAGATGAAAATTGTGACCTCCAGAGGGTCCACAACCCTGATACACAATATTGTGACACTATTTGAGAACGAGGGGCGGCCATTTTGTCCGTCAGCTTTGGTTCGATTTTTACGAAATTCGAACTCAACCATTCTTAGGGTGTAACGGTGATATATATTGTAACGTGTTTTTAAATCGGATAAAAATTGTGACCTTTATGGGGTCCACAAGCTAAAAACGCGATTTTTCGTAAAATCAGGGGCCATAATTCAGGAAGTTATGGTCCGATATGCGCAAATATCGAAAGGAACCGAGATCTGTGGATTATAAACATATGTTTCAAGTTTAAACCAAATCGGATAAAAATTGTGACCTCTACAGTGTTCACATTCTAAAAACGTGATTTTTCGTACAATCGGGGGCCATAATCCATGAAGTTAGAGTCCGATACATGCCAATATGGAAAGGAACCGAGATCTTAGGGTGATAAACCTATATTTCAAGTTTCATTGAAATCGGATAAAAATTGTCACCTGCAGAGTGTTCACAAACAATTGTGGACGGACTGATGAACAGGGGCGACGACAATGTACGTCCACATGAATATGTGGGCGTATAAAAATATAAAACATCACAATACGTGTAGGTTTAGAGTCACACTCAACAGAGTTTGGAATGGCCATATACTGATTTCCGTGATTGGTGCATGCCATTCATTCATTGCAGTGACATAGAGAGAGAGAGAGAAATGGGGTTTAACGTCCACTCCACTCGACACAAACTAGGTCATTTCGGGACTAACATATGGCTTAATTTTATTTACATAATTCGCTTGCGCGTACGGGTCTTTAGCAGTGAGAGGAAACCGGAGGACCCGGAGAAAACCCACGAGGTTGGACAGGCGACCCTACTCCTTGCCACGTACAACCGGGGATTTGAAACCACGCCGGCTGACTCAATGACAGACTTTATGATACAGCGCGCGCACGCTAACCATTCAGCCATCCAACCCCCCCATTGCAGTGAAATAAAAATTGAACATACATGTATATATTTTTGATCTTATATCCCATAAAGATAGATTTTGGTTGTTGTATCTGTTATAAACTTGTCTATTACGTTGGTCAGACATTAAATTCTTTCACTGGTGTTTGTCGATTCAAGTGGGTTCAAATCAGCAGAGCTGAAAATGTTTAGTCAATTTGGACAAGTTTGTTCGTATATTGTAAACAATGACACGCAATTAATTCATTTTGCTGTCACAGGTCACATGGTTTTGATGAGTCATTACACCATAGGCTTATGCATGCCATATCGGTTTTCACTGAACCTGGGGCCACTCTAGTATTTTAGTTGATAGCCTAGTGTCCTGACAAAAGGCAAACAAAAAAATTCCTATAATTTAAAAGTAAGGTGCCCTCTGTGGTAAGCCAGATTGCAGAAATTGGTGTCACATAAATTTTAAACTAATATTAAAGGAGTCAACCCTTCCCCACAAACAAATTTGGCAGTTCAATACCCCACAAAGCAGAACTTATAAGGTGTATTTGGTCTGGTGTGAAAAGAACAAAGTGACATGATAAATCTACAGAATCACAGCTTGAGCTGAAAATAAATTTATTTCTATTTTATAATGGTATAACAAAAGTTAACTAATAGTTACATAACAAAGTTATCAGCAGTCAACAATACAGTAACAACACAATTACAGGAGAGTCAGGGTTTTTGTTGTTTTTGGTTTTTTTTGGGGGGGGGGGGGTATAAGTGAAACTTTATATAATTAAAGACAGTAACCATGAAGGGGTAAATAGCACAGTAGTTCCTCCTCTTTGCATTACTTGTTTATCACTTCTGTTCTACCTAGTACAACCCAGGTTTTCATAAAATGCAGCCAGGTATGGGGCTGCCAATGGTCATCGACAATCATTAATAATTACTGCATGCAACCATTTAATTGCGATTTTAGATACCGTTTCCCCCACTTTTTATTACAAGAATTTCAATTTGTGACTATCAAGAAAATCTGATTCTGATAATGACCTATGGTCATGTGTTATAATATCTAAAGTAGTAAATGTCCATGAACAGACATCTGTTTACATTGACAGCAATAGATATCCTCTTGAAACTCAAGTTGGGTAACTTATCGACTTTGTGAGTAGGATTGTTTTGTATTTGTTATATGTTGTGAGGTCCTTATCCCTAAATTTTAATATAAATTTCTGTACCTATTGGATGTTCCATATTATCATACATGATCACATTTGTTGATTACAGCTTTGACCAATATGCTCATCTAGAATGTTTCAGGTTCAATTTGTCTTTTTAACTAAAACCCCAACAAACTATTTTGATATTTATAATATGAAGTGCCGTGATTTTGATTCCCCACATGTATGTTACAAGGAGAGGGTCGCCTGTCCAACCTTGTAGGTTTTCTCTGGGACCTCCAGTTTCCTCCCACTGCTAAAGACCCCTACACGCAAGCAAATTATTGAAATAAAATTGAACCATGTGTTGGTCCCAAAATGACCTAGTTTGTGTTGAGTGGAGGTTAAACCAAGAGATGGATAGACAACAAGCTAAAAACAAAAATGATTTTTTGAACAATCAGGGGCCATAATCCAGAAAATTATGGTCTGAAATGCACAAATATCAAAAGGGACTGAGATCTTTGGAATATAAAGATATGTTTTAAGTTTTATCAAAATCGGATAAAATTGTGACCTCTAGAGGGTCCTTAACCTTTGTATTACATATTTATACACAATTTCCATACAAAGAACGGCCATTTTGTCGGTCAGTTTAATTTCGATTTCCCCGAAATTCCAATTCAACCTTCATTATGGTGGAATGGTGATATATCTAAATGGTTTTTAGAAAATTGTGACCTCTAGAGAATCCACAAGCTAAAAATGCGATTTTTCGACAAATCAGGGGCCAGAATCCAGGAAGTTACATTCGGATATGTGTGATTATCAAAAGGAACCAAGATCTTTATGATAAAAACACATATTTAAAGTTTCATCCAAATCGGATAAAAACTGTAGCCTCTAGAGGGCCCACAACCTTGATATACCATATTTTTACACTATTTGCGTACAAAAGGCCGCCATATGTTCATCAGTTTTTTCTGATTTTCTTGAAATTCAAACTCAACCATCATTAGTGTATAAATGTTATATATTCACACATTTTTTTAAATTGGATAATAATTGTGACCTGTAGAGGGACAACAAGCTAAAAACGTGATTTTTCTTAGAGTCAAAATTAAGGGCCATAATTCAGGTAGTTATGATCCGATATGCGCAAATATCAAAAGGAACCAAGATCTTTGGGTTATAAACATGCATTGCAAGTTTCATCAAAATCCAATCAAAATTGTGACCTCTAGAGTGTCCACAAGCTAAAAACGTGATTTTTTGTACAAACAGGGGCCACAATCCATGAAGTTATGGTCCGATACATGCCAATATCAAAAGGAACCGAGATCTGTGGGAGATAAACCTATATTTCAAGTTTCTTCAAAATCGGATAAAAATTGTGACCTGTAGAGTGTCCACAAACAAATTGTGGATGGACGAATCAGGGACGTCCGGACAGACAGAGGGGAATGACAATATACGTCCACATGAAGATGTGGGCGTATAAAAACAGGTCATGTTGTCCATTTGAAGTGAAACAGGATTATCTGAGAACCAGAATACATTTTTTAAATGGCCTTATCCAAACTATCAATCTTCATCAGTTAGTTTGGCAAATCCACATTCCTTATATTCTTTGGAGAGAGAGAGAAATGGGGTTTAACGTCCACTCCACTCGACACAAACTAGGTCATTTCGGGACTAACATATGGTTTAATTTTATTTCAATAATTCGCTGGCGCGTAGGGGTCTTTAGCAGTGGGAGGAAACCGGAGGACCAGGAGAAAACCCACGAGGTTGGACAGGCGACCCTACTCCTTGTCACGTACAACCAGGGATTCGAAACCACGCCAGTCAACTCAATGACAGACTTTATGATACAGAGCGCGCACGCTAACCATTCAGCCATCCAACCCCCCTATATTCTTTGGTTAATCTTCATCAGTTAGTTTGCCAAATCCACATTCCATATTCTATAGTTAATTATAATTTCTTGTTTATGTTTTTTCTTAGTCGATTATTTTTATTCTAGTTTTAATTGTTATTTACAATAAAATAATTAAAATATTTGTACATGTTACAATTTTATCTAAAACATTTGCCATTCTAAATTAGCAGTTGAGAAGTATATATATATTTCAAATGATACCACTTGATATACATGGAAATAAATTAAAAGATAGGCTACCAGTAAACCAGCCTTTTCATAATACTAGTCATATTAAAGTTAATTAATTTGCAAGAAATGTGCCATTTAATATTGATCTTGAAAATTATAAACTATGTGCTTCAATTTTGTATGAAATTGACCTCATGAAAACTATCCATATTGTAAAAGATTATTTCAATACATTTATCAAATTTTTGGTAAAAATTTCCCAACATGCCAGATCTAAAGAATGTAAATTATAAATAAATATATATTAAAGTACATTGTACTGGATTAAGCTCTCTTGATATTGGACTATACATGTTAAGGTACTCAGATTGAGCTCTCTTGATATCACATAAATTCTTAGATACAATTAATAATCATGGAACAATACAGTAAAACTGTATATGGCATCTCAAACACGGCAGATGTTCTGTGCCGTTAACAAATTTCTCGTTACACTCTGGAAGGTAATCAACCGACTATAAATTAATCACACAAATATTAAATGTGGGTATAATGTACATGTAGAAATTGAAGCTGCATTTAATATATACACACAATTCTCAAGCATGTTAGCAATATGACAAGATTTAATAAATTTGTCATGACAGGTACATTTTGGTTTACCATATAGAATGACAGGAAAGATAAGATCTTTGTATGATCTACTTCTTCTACCGGGTATCATTTCAGACAGCACACATAATACTTATGTTCATTTAAATACAAATTAAATTAAAGAACGATACATGAATAATGGTCATAGGAACTTTATTTCTTAAAAATTTAGGTCATTATCACGTTAATATCACTATTTAACTTTTCAAAACCAATATAAAGGAATTGGCACTGATACAATTTTTATAATACACTGATGTTACCCTAAAGCTTTTAATCTTATTCATATATAAAGCCCAGAAAGAGTAATTTACTTTAAAATAGTTATAATTTTGTGGGTTACTAACCCTGATACACAATATTGTGACACTATTTGAGAACGAGGGGCGGCCATTTTGTCCGTCAGCTTTGGTTCGATTTTTACGAAATTCGAACTCAACCATTCTTAGGGTGTAACGGTGATATATATTGTAACGTGTTTTTAAATCGGATAAAAATTGTGACCTTTATGGGGTCCACAAGCTAAAAACGCGATTTTTCGTAAAATCAGGGGCCATAATTCAGGAAGTTATGGTCCGATATGCGCAAATATCGAAAGGAACCGAGATCTGTGGATTATAAACATATGTTTCAAGTTTAAACCAAATCGGATAAAAATTGTGACCTCTACAGTGTTCACATTCTAAAAACGTGATTTTTCGTACAATCGGGGGCCATAATCCATGAAGTTAGAGTCCGATACATGCCAATATGGAAAGGAACCGAGATCTTAGGGTGATAAACCTATATTTCAAGTTTCATTGAAATCGGATAAAAATTGTCACCTGCAGAGTGTTCACAAACAATTGTGGACGGACTGATGAACAGGGGCGACGACAATGTACGTCCACATGAATATGTGGGCGTATAAAAATATAAAACATCACAATACGTGTAGGTTTAGAGTCACACTCAACAGAGTTTGGAATGGCCATATACTGATTTCCGTGATTGGTGCATGCCATTCATTCATTGCAGTGACATAGAGAGAGAGAGAGAAATGGGGTTTAACGTCCACTCCACTCGACACAAACTAGGTCATTTCGGGACTAACATATGGCTTAATTTTATTTACATAATTCGCTTGCGCGTACGGGTCTTTAGCAGTGAGAGGAAACCGGAGGACCCGGAGAAAACCCACGAGGTTGGACAGGCGACCCTACTCCTTGCCACGTACAACCGGGGATTTGAAACCACGCCGGCTGACTCAATGACAGACTTTATGATACAGCGCGCGCACGCTAACCATTCAGCCATCCAACCCCCCCATTGCAGTGAAATAAAAATTGAACATACATGTATATATTTTGGATCTTATATCCCATAAAGATAGATTTTGGTTGTTGTATCTGTTATAAACTTGTCTATTACGTTGGTCAGACATTAAATTCTTTCACTGGTGTTTGTCGATTCAAGTGGGTTCAAATCAGCAGAGCTGAAAATGTTTAGTCAATTTGGACAAGTTTGTTCGTATATTGTAAACAATGACACGCAATTAATTCATTTTGCTGTCACAGGTCACATGGTTTTGATGAGTCATTACACCATAGGCTTATGCATGCCATATCGGTTTTCACTGAACCTGGGGCCACTCTAGTATTTTAGTTGATAGCCTAGTGTCCTGACAAAAGGCAAACAAAAAAATTCCTATAATTTAAAAGTAAGGTGCCCTCTGTGGTAAGCCAGATTGCAGAAATTGGTGTCACATAAATTTTAAACTAATATTAAAGGAGTCAACCCTTCCCCACAAACAAATTTGGCAGTTCAATACCCCACAAAGCAGAACTTATAAGGTGTATTTGGTCTGGTGTGAAAAGAACAAAGTGACATGATAAATCTACAGAATCACAGCTTGAGCTGAAAATAAATTTATTTCTATTTTATAATGGTATAACAAAAGTTAACTAATAGTTACATAACAAAGTTATCAGCAGTCAACAATACAGTAACAACACAATTACAGGAGAGTCAGGGTTTTTGTTGTTTTTGGTTTTTTTTTGGGGGGGGGGGGTATAAGTGAAACTTTATATAATTAAAGACAGTAACCATGAAGGGGTAAATAGCACAGTAGTTCCTCCTCTTTGCATTACTTGTTTATCACTTCTGTTCTACCTAGTACAACCCAGGTTTTCATAAAATGCAGCCAGGTATGGGGCTGCCAATGGTCATCGACAATCATTAATAATTACTGCATGCAACCATTTAATTGCGATTTTAGATACCGTTTCCCCCACTTTTTATTACAAGAATTTCAATTTGTGACTATCAAGAAAATCTGATTCTGATAATGACCTATGGTCATGTGTTATAATATCTAAAGTAGTAAATGTCCATGAACAGACATCTGTTTACATTGACAGCAATAGATATCCTCTTGAAACTCAAGTTGGGTAACTTATCGACTTTGTGAGTAGGATTGTTTTGTATTTGTTATATGTTGTGAGGTCCTTATCCCTAAATTTTAATATAAATTTCTGTACCTATTGGATGTTCCATATTATCATACATGATCACATTTGTTGATTACAGCTTTGACCAATATGCTCATCTAGAATGTTTCAGGTTCAATTTGTCTTTTTAACTAAAACCCCAACAAACTATTTTGATATTTATAATATGAAGTGCCGTGATTTTGATTCCCCACATGTATGTTACAAGGAGAGGGTCGCCTGTCCAACCTTGTAGGTTTTCTCTGGGACCTCCAGTTTCCTCCCACTGCTAAAGACCCCTACACGCAAGCAAATTATTGAAATAAAATTGAACCATGTGTTGGTCCCAAAATGACCTAGTTTGTGTTGAGTGGAGGTTAAACCAAGAGATGGATAGACAACAAGCTAAAAACAAAAATGATTTTTTGAACAATCAGGGGCCATAATCCAGAAAATTATGGTCTGAAATGCACAAATATCAAAAGGGACTGAGATCTTTGGAATATAAAGATATGTTTTAAGTTTTATCAAAATCGGATAAAATTGTGACCTCTAGAGGGTCCTTAACCTTTGTATTACATATTTATACACAATTTCCATACAAAGAACGGCCATTTTGTCGGTCAGTTTAATTTCGATTTCCCCGAAATTCCAATTCAACCTTCATTATGGTGGAATGGTGATATATCTAAATGGTTTTTAGAAAATTGTGACCTCTAGAGAATCCACAAGCTAAAAATGCGATTTTTCGACAAATCAGGGGCCAGAATCCAGGAAGTTACATTCGGATATGTGTGATTATCAAAAGGAACCAAGATCTTTATGATAAAAACACATATTTAAAGTTTCATCCAAATCGGATAAAAACTGTAGCCTCTAGAGGGCCCACAACCTTGATATACCATATTTTTACACTATTTGCGTACAAAAGGCCGCCATATGTTCATCAGTTTTTTCTGATTTTCTTGAAATTCAAACTCAACCATCATTAGTGTATAAATGTTATATATTCACACATTTTTTTAAATTGGATAATAATTGTGACCTGTAGAGGGACAACAAGCTAAAAACGTGATTTTTCTTAGAGTCAAAATTAAGGGCCATAATTCAGGTAGTTATGATCCGATATGCGCAAATATCAAAAGGAACCAAGATCTTTGGGTTATAAACATGCATTGCAAGTTTCATCAAAATCCAATCAAAATTGTGACCTCTAGAGTGTCCACAAGCTAAAAACGTGATTTTTTGTACAAACAGGGGCCACAATCCATGAAGTTATGGTCCGATACATGCCAATATCAAAAGGAACCGAGATCTGTGGGAGATAAACCTATATTTCAAGTTTCTTCAAAATCGGATAAAAATTGTGACCTGTAGAGTGTCCACAAACAAATTGTGGATGGACGAATCAGGGACGTCCGGACAGACAGAGGGGAATGACAATATACGTCCACATGAAGATGTGGGCGTATAAAAACAGGTCATGTTGTCCATTTGAAGTGAAACAGGATTATCTGAGAACCAGAATACATTTTTTAAATGGCCTTATCCAAACTATCAATCTTCATCAGTTAGTTTGGCAAATCCACATTCCTTATATTCTTTGGAGAGAGAGAGAAATGGGGTTTAACGTCCACTCCACTCGACACAAACTAGGTCATTTCGGGACTAACATATGGTTTAATTTTATTTCAATAATTCGCTGGCGCGTAGGGGTCTTTAGCAGTGGGAGGAAACCGGAGGACCAGGAGAAAACCCACGAGGTTGGACAGGCGACCCTACTCCTTGTCACGTACAACCAGGGATTCGAAACCACGCCAGTCAACTCAATGACAGACTTTATGATACAGAGCGCGCACGCTAACCATTCAGCCATCCAACCCCCCTATATTCTTTGGTTAATCTTCATCAGTTAGTTTGCCAAATCCACATTCCATATTCTATAGTTAATTATAATTTCTTGTTTATGTTTTTTCTTAGTCGATTATTTTTATTCTAGTTTTAATTGTTATTTACAATAAAATAATTAAAATATTTGTACATGTTACAATTTTATCTAAAACATTTGCCATTCTAAATTAGCAGTTGAGAAGTATATATATATTTCAAATGATACCACTTGATATACATGGAAATAAATTAAAAGATAGGCTACCAGTAAACCAGCCTTTTCATAATACTAGTCATATTAAAGTTAATTAATTTGCAAGAAATGTGCCATTTAATATTGATCTTGAAAATTATAAACTATGTGCTTCAATTTTGTATGAAATTGACCTCATGAAAACTATCCATATTGTAAAAGATTATTTCAATACATTTATCAAATTTTTGGTAAAAATTTCCCAACATGCCAGATCTAAAGAATGTAAATTATAAATAAATATATATTAAAGTACATTGTACTGGATTAAGCTCTCTTGATATTGGACTATACATGTTAAGGTACTCAGATTGAGCTCTCTTGATATCACATAAATTCTTAGATACAATTAATAATCATGGAACAATACAGTAAAACTGTATATGGCATCTCAAACACGGCAGATGTTCTGTGCCGTTAACAAATTTCTCGTTACACTCTGGAAGGTAATCAACCGACTATAAATTAATCACACAAATATTAAATGTGGGTATAATGTACATGTAGAAATTGAAGCTGCATTTAATATATACACACAATTCTCAAGCATGTTAGCAATATGACAAGATTTAATAAATTTGTCATGACAGGTACATTTTGGTTTACCATATAGAATGACAGGAAAGATAAGATCTTTGTATGATCTACTTCTTCTACCGGGTATCATTTCAGACAGCACACATAATACTTATGTTCATTTAAATACAAATTAAATTAAAGAACGATACATGAATAATGGTCATAGGAACTTTATTTCTTAAAAATTTAGGTCATTATCACGTTAATATCACTATTTAACTTTTCAAAACCAATATAAAGGAATTGGCACTGATACAATTTTTATAATACACTGATGTTACCCTAAAGCTTTTAATCTTATTCATATATAAAGCCCAGAAAGAGTAATTTACTTTAAAATAGTTATAATTTTGTGGGTTACTAAAGCAGGTGAACTTCAAATATAAAATGAGTTAACAATAGAAACACTGAAGTAGGATGTTATCTTTTTCACCACACTTTAAAATCCAAGAAACTGTTCTCAGACTTCTTTCACCATTCATAGTTTTGTTAAGGGCTTGGTAAGCATAGTTTTTGATCCAGTGTTTGAATTTGGATTTAATATCAATGGATGAGTTTGGAAATAAGAAATTAACTTCTCTACAGATGGGAATATCTGAAAAGACAAAATAAAAAATTCTAAGAGCACACCGCATTAACGTGGTACATTCTTGATGGTCTTATTGCCCTTTAAAGAAGCTATACATAAACCTCTAGTACAATATAACTGATTAGAAATTACAATAAAAATTTTAAATATTGAATGTAAATCTGTTTATATTGCATCAATATATATATTCTTCAACCACCTTTAATCCCTTAAAAGCTTTAGCTCCTTTAATAAACTGCATATATCCGAAGAATCAAAATTTGAAGCCATAGGTTTGGGATGGGAAACTTTAATCAGTGAAAGTTCAGTAGGTCCAGTGGCATATCTACGGTATGGCAGGTAGGGCACATGCCCTGGGTGCCACTGAAAGGTACTGACTGAAAGACCATTTTCCTGCGTAAGCTAGCAGTTTGTATTTGAGAGCCTCCAAGGCATGGGTTCCATGTCAGCCGTATATGCTGGTCGGGACCGAGGGCTTTTGAAAATGACCAAAACTGGATCAGACCCGTAGGTCATTTTGCGTGCCAGAAAAGTAAGATTTTGTGCTAAATCATAAAATCCCCAGACACGACGAAACTCTGCGTGTGTCGTGATGTAAACTGTCGGGTATGATAAAATTAACAGTGTTCAGTAGTCCACGAATGGAAACCACTGCCAATTAATTATCCTTGTGTTATTGCTCTAATCACAATCAACGGAGGATTAACATCAAATAGATTAAAAGCTTAATATTTAATCAATTAAATTAGCCGTGTTTTGCTTTATAATATATATAGTACTGTGTGATCATTCTTACAACTCTGTGATCTTGCTCTTCTGAGTGTAGAAAGAGAAGTAAGGAAAGTGCAATTGTAATTTCCATGCATGTGGTGCCATATTGTGTGGGTTCAAAGATTAATGAAATGGATGTCAGATTCCAGTGCTTGCCATAGGCACTATTTTCAGCAGATACGTGTTTTGTTATTATCGTAGCAACGGTACTGGACAGATAAGACTCAGTCTCAATTATCCATTCTTTTGTTAAATCTTTAAATCTTGTGGACGTTCTAATCTGTTACAATCTCTGCCATCCGATGGTGTAGAGAGTTAATTATGGGCTTGTCATGTTAATACATGTCTAATAAAAACCTGTAATAAGCAGATTTAGCTCTTACATAATGCATCTTTAATAGATTTCTTTTGTGTCTAATGCCAACTTTAAGTTTATTTCCAACATGAAATCAAATCAAGATACTAACCAATCCATTTCGTTTAAGACTTGAATCTTTTCCCAACCCAAACTGGTGATCATCTTCTTGTCTTCGAATAGGAAAGTTATAAGTCCTACCTCCATAATATACCATTAGCGTGTAAGGATGAACTAATCCTCCACGTAAACTTTTTCTAACTAAATACATCCCATTCTGAAAAATAAACAAAATGATGCATTCAGCTCATGGATGTAGAATAGAACCAGTGAGAACTTTGTGCAAGATAGTCTGCCAGGCAATGAAACAAACGCCAACATCAGCTAAGTTGTCTAAGATATCCATAAATTTTGTCGCATTGTAAATCTTTAAGTAAACAAAACCACAATCTGTATATTTTAAGTAGTGCATTGACCAGATCCTATGACATAATCAAGGACAATAACTCAAGTAATTAGCAAAAATTATTGTAATTGTTATTGATCTCTGTAACTGAATCGAAGATTTTTAACTTACTTTTGTGATTAAACAACATTAATTAAAGAAGATTATTGAGATTAAATAGGATTCCAGGTTTCAACAATACAAATAAATGTTGAGCAGATCGAATCATAACTTAACTTTAGAAGCAATTACCGGTAACAGAAATTATTGGTAAAAGAAATAATTGGTAAAAGAAATTATTGAAATGCTAAAAGGCTTCTTCGTTTCACTAATTTGAATAAAGTATATTTCAAACAGATCAAACTTCCATATGTTTTGATGGGGGACCTTTAGATTGGATGTTGTCAAAAGTCCTTCAGACTTGACGTTGTTAATCATAAAGTCCTTCAGACCTTGGTTATTATAGCTCATGTCTTACTTGCACTATATAATATATGAGATAAAATTTATTGTATAAGCCGAACATATATACTTACTACTTTCTCTTCTTTAAGTCTAAGTTCTGCTAGCCCCCTGTCGCTTTCACTGTGATACCAATTATAGCTATATAAAGCTTCCTATAATATAAACCAACAAATGCTGTCATGCAAAATAGGGTACATTGTGGGGCTAAACCAAATATCCTGAGACGCAATCCAGAAAGTCAACAACCATTCCTTTTCCATCCCTTATTTGTATTTGGGGTTTGGGCTCTATATTAGCCCTAAACGAACTGTGTAGCACGGCAGCAAAATATTGAGATACTGCATCAGTATTTGGTTATATTTAGTTTCAAAACTATCAGATTTCACCTGTACATGTTCAAATATTTCAATAAAAAGATGTACACATTCTTTTAGATAGTGTCATTTCATTACTATAAGCATGCTTGTTCCTTGTTCAAATTTATCATGTTTCAATGTCTTGTCTTTACCAATAAAACTGCTTATCTCTGTTTCGACTAAGCAGGAAAAGCTCATCAGCGAACTTAGTCAAGGTATTGATGTAATGAAACTTTGTGTTCTAAATTCCTAGTCAGTCAAATTGCTTATCTGTGTTTAGTCTAAACAGAAAATACTCATCATGGAACTCAGTCTAGACATTCACATAACATACATCTACGTTTGAACATTCTACCTCGATTCAATGCAAAGCTATTGTGTTCCAAAGTTTTGACCAATGAAATTGCTTATTTCTTCTAGCCTAAGCATACAATGTTCATCATCGACTGCAGTCAATTAGGCATTTACAAAATAATAATAATAATAATAATAATCTTCTATTTATGTAGCATGATAATACTAAAACAGAAGTTTCTATTGCACTTTCAAGTTTTCTCTATTGAACTATGGAAACGCTTCTGTAAACAAGAACATGTTTAGCTGAGGTTTAAATGCATTTGAGGAGTCAATGGTTCTAATGTATGGTAATTTCATAAGAGGGGGCAGAGAATGAGAAAAATCTTTTTGCAATTTCAAGATTCACCGATGGTTGATACAGAAATTGTTTATCTGTGGATCTAAGAGTTCTTTGGGATTTATATGGAGTGATCAGATCTTTGAAATATTTTGGTGATTGATCATTTAAGGCCTTGCAAATCAACAGAACAACTACACCAAGTTTGAACCTTCTAGCTCAATTAAAAGCGGAGTTTTTGTGTTCCATAAGGTGTGACAGACTGCCAGACAAGATAAAACAGACCCATTTTAATAGTCTCCTGCTTTCTTCAAAAGGAGTGGGGAAACAAACAAACAAAATACATGTATATGAAATTCTCTATATACCAGTAAACAAAGATAAGTGTAATAGCAGTGTGAATTGACAAAGATTTAAGATTAGTTAAGTAGCAACTAGGTCTAGGTAACTTCAAGAATTTTACTCTTTTAGAACTAGTTGACTCTTTCAAGAGGCCTAATAAGCCCAATATTTTAAAAATACCAACCAGTTCATCATCTTGACCATTTGATGTGGCACCTTGACTTTCTACAATGAAAAAAAACCCCAATACACATTATAATTGAGGCCCTGATCTTGCAATAAAAGTAGCAGTAACATTATTGTTATTAATTCATGAAGCAAATAAACTTTGCATGGATTAGAAATACACCACATTACAGTCAGCTTACTGTTGCTTACCAGTGTCACTCTCTTAATAGAGCACCTCACAATTTTTTATTCAATCATTATTCCCTTGTCAGTCATACATTGAACATAGAGTTGTTTATTCATGCATTTTTTATAAATTGTACAAATAGTTCTTAATTTAATGAATTATCTTCAATATAAACAAGAACTGGGGTTTGATTAGTGCATGTATATGTGACAGTCAATGTCTACAATCAGGCAATGTGTACAATGCCTGAAATATACCAGTCAATGTGTACATTGCCGGGTTAGGTTTAGGTTTAGGGTTAGGGTAAGGGTTGGGGTGGGGGTTAGGGTTAGGGTTACAAAGGCATTGTACACATTGCCTGATTGTAGACATTGACTGTAACATATATAAGCATTAGGGGTTGTCATACATCAACTTCTAGTAACACTCCCCATCATGTAGGGTCCAGTCTTTCCAGTTTTGCAAAATGCTTTCAAGGACTTTGTCCTGTTCACAAGATCTCAAATGGAGAGACAACCAGAGGTGTTATTTTGTACTGGGGACTAGGTTGTTCCATACTGTCCTATCCTGAACTAGATTGTTCTATCTTGGAGACTAGATTGTTTTAACCTGGGACTATGTTGTTCTAGACTGTACTACCCTAAACTAATTTGTTGTATCTTGGGGACATGCTGTATGATTCTGAGGACTACACTGTTCTACTCCCAGGACTAAACTGTCCTATCCTGGAACTAGATAGTTTTGGGGACTAGACTGTCCTATCCTGGGAATAGGTTGTTATATACATGGAAATAGAATGTTTATCATGGAACTAGATTTTTCTATTCTGGGGACTACATTGTCCTATCCTGGGGACCAGATTATCCTATTGTTGCACTAGATTGTTCTTTGTTCTACCCTCATAACCAGCACTGTTCTATCATGGGAACCAGATTGTTCAGTCTTGTGAATAGATTGTCCTATCCTGGAACTAGATTGTTCTACCATGGGAACTAGATTGTCCCATCATGGGAACCAGTTTAACTTATCTAGTCTATCGCATGTTGGCTTCAATCTGCAGATCCCAACACCCCCATCATAGCGAGATCCTGGTCTACCTGTTTGTCTTTGACCAGGTACTGGTGGTAAAGAACCTCTGGATATTTTTCTTATTGTGTCTGAAGTTTTCCTCTGGACATCTTGAGAATTTTTCCTCTGGACATCTTGAGAATTTTTCCTCTGGACATCTTTAGAATTTTTCCTCTGGCCAACATCAGAAGTTTTTCTTTGTGAATCTGATGTTTTTCTGTTGGGGGTTGGTGGTAATTGATCTGGGACTGTAATTCATACATGTATTAAATGTCTTTTTACCAGATGATGAATTAATTATGAATTTAATAACCAATCCAAGCATTATAAAGCTATTAGTAGAGTAAGCAAGGGTTTTCTTAGTTTTTAGTTGAAGTTTAGATGATTATTACATTAGCATTTATATTGGACTGGAAAATATTGGATTGTAAGATTCAAATGTACATCAATACTTACTGACTGGGACGGGTGGTAAAGATGGGCGCCTGGCTTGACTTGTTGGTGGAATCGGGGGTGCAAGAATATCAGGAGCTTGTTCAGGTTCTAAAAAATTATTTTAACTGTCATTAAGTTATACTATGCAATGCAGGAGTACCGGAAACAAAAGAGTGTTGTGGTGTGGGGTAGAATAATAAATAAATATAGCATCCTTTAAAATCCCACTAGTGTTTCCAAACATTATTCGTAGCTGCAGTGGCTCACTGAGTAGGGTTCTGGCCCACTAACCAGGAGGTCTGAGGTTAGATAAAGGGTGGAAATACTGTAGAAAGTAATGAAATGAAATGAAATGAAATGGGGTTAAACGTCCTACTGTTCTGCTCCTAAACTGGGCTAATGAAGACGGGCATATGCCATACAGTGTGCTATGAGGGAAATTTGCCCGGGCAGTGGCGCTACGGCCTACTCTTATATCGAATTCAAACTACCAAGGGATCTTTTACGTGCACACCAATATGTACACGGGCCTCGGTTTTTCGTCCATCCGAACGACTAGACAGCTGTCCTTGTCAGGTCCTCCGTCCTGCATCACTGACAAGGGGAAACCATGCCGGAAAATCTGGATGAACTTTCTCGGCCAATGCAGGGATCGAACACCCGACCTCCAGGCTAGCGAGCCAGCGTCTTACCCACTTAGCCAATAAAGTAATAACTTGCCCAATATGGATATTTGACCACATCTGTGGACAATAGAGAGGAAATGGCATAAGAAACTGAAGTGAACAAGGCAACAGTGAGGCTAATAGCCATCGATTTAAACCCAAAGTAAATAGAGGATATTTATTAATTACTATCTCATTTATCATTTACTTATCACTTTGCATAACCCAAGCAGAAAATGTACACCAAGTTTCATCACTCTCACGCAAATAGGAGTATAGTTATCATGATCCAATGTATTGACAAATAAAACTGCTTATCCCTGCTGAGCCTAAGTACACCAAGTTTGAACATTCTAGCTCAATCAGAAGTTATTTTGTTTCCCAAACAATGTGACAGACAGGCAGAAGGACAGACGGACCCATTTTAACAATTGGAAAGTATTTTTATATTTTTAATTATGGAACAAAGCTAGGTAGAAACATGCTTTTATTACTTCAAAACTTCATACTTTTAACTTCCTTTTATACAGCTTACCCAATAAATTAATATACAAATTACAAAAAGTTCAAAACACCACTGCATGACTTATTACCCTCACATAAAGGCATGATCATATTACTCCCATACTTAAACAACGTCATCCGCTATCGTATTCAATTTAAGATTCTTTTAACTGCCTATAAATGTTTCCATGGCTTAGCCCCATCTTATTTATGTCATCTACTTGAAAAACAAACAAATGCTTGTAGTCTCTGTGGTTCAAATGACATCTATCGTCTCAAATCAGGTTGTGCTAGAAGGGTTACATGTGGTGAAAGATCATTTTCATTTTTAGGCACAAACCTGTGGTGGAATGATTTAAATCCCTCTGGTTCTGATACTGATATTCATTCCAGCTCCTCAGTACAATCATTAAAATGTGCTCTTAAAACTTATTTATTCAAAAAAGCTTTTATTTAGATATATACTCTTCATTCAAAAAAACTGCAGAAATGCACTGGTGTTTTTATTAGAGGTAACCAGTGTATGTTAATAACAGGCCAATTGCCTGACGGCCCCATTTCACTTGCAAAGAGATACACCGTCAAAAGTGAATATGGACGTTTTTGATTTTTGTCTTAAAGATACATTATGGGAGATTCAATAACGAGTTGGCAGTTTTACTATATTAGTTAAAAACTAGATAATGTAAAGGCAATTTGCTGAAACTTTCATTCAAAGTGATCCACTATGAACCGAGAACAAAGCGATCGAATTTCCGCCTAGCCTTGATCATCATTACTAAAGTCTGTACGATAAACAGCATAGTCTCAATTATCCATTTAATCGTTAAATCGTGAAGGAAAGTTATGCAGTAAATCGGCTCACAATCCACTAAAGATCGCAGGCTAGCGATGCCATCTAGAGTTGATTATGGTCTGGATAGGTTAATTAATGTCTAATTAATAATTTCAGGCCTAAAGAAAGACCTGCGATAGACAGATTTAGCTCTTGCATAATGTATGTTTAATAATGAGTAATTGCGCCACCAATCCTCAGACATTCAGCAATTCGTCGTGGCATGCTCCTAATCAACCTTCCAATCACGATTTGGGGCAATCTGACCCACTCCTCTCGCAGTGCCACGGACAATTCTCGCAGTGTTTTCGGTTGACGTTAACGTCAACGAACACGTGTCCTGATCAAATTAAACGTAACACACTAAAGCAAAGATACGCTAAACAGTAAATCTTATCAAGAACTGATAGAAAAGCAAACATGGATAGGATAAACCAGAAAGCGGCAGTTTTCATCAACCCTTCCTTGAAGTGTCAAATTTGACAATGAACCCCTCCCACGTGTATGGACCTATTGGGTGTCCCACATGCAGCTCAGTGGTTCTAATAATAATAATAATGCTATCCTCTTTAGAACATATTTAGTGACACAGGGGTTCGAGGAGAAGGACATCCAGGCTAACTATCAAACAACCACTAAAGAAATAATTATTCCTTTGGGGTTGGGTGGCCAAATGGTTTAACGTATGCACTTTAGATCATAATGCCTGTCAATGAGTCAAGTGGAGTGGTTTCGATTCCCCGCTTGTACATGAAACCTTCTAGGTTTTCTCTGGGCCCTCTGGTTTCCTCCCACGACTAAAGACCTGTACGCGCAAGCGAATTATTGAATTAAAATTGAACCATAGTAGTCACGAAATGACATACGTCTCGAAATGTCCATGCGTTAAGACCATCCTGATTGAACCCACAAATATTTCATGCAAATTAAACAAATGTGTACACAGACTTAGTGAAAAAGAAAGAAATGGGGTTTAATGTCCACTCAAGATTGTAATATTGAGGAAATCGGAGTACCGGGTATCACAAATCCAATATTGTATTTCTACATACCTTCAGGTTCGATGTACACTTGCTTAAAAATAAAATTATCAATTGAATTCATCAATAAACTTATTCATTTCTTAATTCATAACCAACAATTAATGTCAAAATATACATTTTGCCTATATAGGTCACCTTTACTTTATTTCAAACTAAAATTTATTAATATAAGGAACATCTTGTCTTTAAAAAATAAAGTGGTATATTTAATAACACCATCATATTTAAAAAAGTATAAATATGTTAGAAAAACATACTTCTTGAACTACAGGTGGTTGAAACTTTATATAACCTCCTTCTAAAAACATGGAAATAAGTACCAGTAAATTAAAATTATAAAAAAACAATGAAATTCAGGCAAACAATTTTACTATTTCCAGTTACTGTAACCGACTACGTATACAGAAATAAGTACCAGTAAATTACCAGCGGCTGCCAGGCAGGATACGCCAACATTTTCGAGAGATGGATAGAGAACAAGCTAAAATGGAAGTGAATTTCCTACAATCAAGGCCCATAATTCAGAAAATAACGATTCGATAAGCGCAAATATCAAAAGGAGCCAAGATATTTGTGTTATAAACTTACATTTCAAGTTTCAACAAAATCGGATAAAAATTGTGACCTCTATAGGGTCCACAACCTTGATATACCATATTTTTACGCTATTTGAGAACGAAGGGCGGCCATTTTGTCTGTCAGTTTTGGGCAGATTTTCACGAAATTCGAACTCAACCATCCTTAGGGTGTAACGGTGATATAATAATACGATTTTTTAAATCGGATAAAAATTATGACCTCTATAGGGCCCACAAGCTAAAAACGCGATTTTTTGTACAATCAGGGGCCATAATTCAGGAAGTTACGGTCCAGTATACGCGAATATCAAAAGGAACCGAGATCTTTGGGTTATAAACTTACATTTCAAGTTTCAACAAAATCGGATAAAAATTGTGACCTCTATAGGGTCCACAACCTTGATATACCATATTTTTACACTATTTGAGAACGAAGGGCGGCCATTTTGTCTGTCAGTTTTGGGCCGATTTTCACGAAATTCGAACTCAGTCGTCCTTAGGGTATAACGGTGATATAATGATACGTTTTTTTTAAATCGGATAAAAATTATGACCTCTATAGGGTCCAAAAGCTAAAAACGTGATTTTTCGTGCAATCAGGGGCCATAATTCAGGAAGTTACGTTACGATATGTGCGAATATCGAAAGGAACTAAAATCTTTGGGTTATTAGCATACATTTCAAGTTAGAACCAAATCGGATAAAAATTGTGGCCTCTACAGTGTTCACAAGCTAAAAACGTGATTTTTCGTACAATCAGGGGCCATAATCCATGAAGTTACAGTCCGATACATGCCAATATCGAAAGGAACCGAGATCTTAGGGTGATAAACCTATATTTCAAGTTTCATTGAAATCGGATAAAAATTGTGACCCGTAGACTGTTCACAAACAATCATGGACAGACGTCGACAATATACGTCCACATGAAAATGTGGGCGTATAAAAATTAAGGAAACATAACATGAAATTCAGGCAAGCAATTTTTACTATTTCCAGTTACTGTCACCAATTATGTATGCAGAAATAAATACCAGTAATTTTAAATTAAAGAAAACATTCTTTGTGCCATAACATGAAATTCAGGCAAACAAGAGAGTCTAGTACCCAGAACAAAATTTGCAGCGGATGTTAAACCCCATTTTTTTCTCTGTCACTGTCTCTGTCTCTGTGTCTCTGTGTCTCTCTCTCTCTACATCTATGAACAAACCAACAGCTTAGCCTACATAGAAAACAGTCATCTGCACAAACTCAGTCAAGACGTTCTCCGAAGTTTGAACTTTCTACCTCATTTAGAAGCAGAGTTCTAATCTAATGTCTCGACCAATGAAATTGCTTTCCTCTGCTCAGCCCAAGAAGAATATGATCATCATGGAACTAATCCAAGGCTTGCACTTAATGAACAACTATGTCAATTAGTAGCTGAATTATTGTGTCCAAAAAGGCGTGAGGGATGAACAGACGGACGTAGAGACAGACAAGACAACTTTGACAAGAGAAGAAAAACAGAAATATACTCATTTTAATTTTGTAATCTATGTCATGGAGAAAGTAGGTAGATTTTTCAATCCTCTAACTGACAGTCTTGAAAGATCTGAACCAAAACAATCAATTGTTAACTTACCTTGTTCTGGCAGCTGAAACAATTTTTAAAATGACAATTAATAAAAGAGTATTATCATTTACCTGTAAAATTCAAATAGACACAAAAAATCTTCAAATAGTTTTCGTGGTTCACTATGATGCAGTGTCTGAATTTTGATAGGGTTCATCCTTGTGTTTCTTTTATGACTTAAGAGTCTTGATGCCTCATTGCATTTTCGCTAAAATATCATATTTCTGACAGCTTAATTGCTACGTACTCAGATTGATTATTTAACGCTTAATTAAGAAAACAAAATCTATTGTAAGTTGGTAAACATTGAACAGAATTAAACCATCATTGGACTGATATTCCAACTTCAGATTAATCTTTCACAATATTATACTGTAAAACATGAAATTATTGCGAGCATGAAATTATTGCGAAAATTGCGAGCGAGGCCCTCTCGCAATAATTTCATGTTCGCATTAATTTCGTGAAAATTCGTTAAAATGTCGGCCATATTGAATTATTCCCCCTTCATTACTCTTCACAAGAAAGAGTCCAATAAGTACCAATATTAACTTGGGGCGTAAAGGAAATAAAAATAAATACCAGTATCATATGTGTTTATTATATTTTATAATGTATATATCAATAACAATTATCATCATACATCAAGTTTATTTTATAAGAATGTCCAACAACCCCGCTTTTTTCCAGCCAAGTAAAACTGTGTCTTTTCTTTCTTTAATCTTAAAGAGTCCACCTGGTGTGAAAATGCTTCATTGTTGACAGCTTTAGGTCTACAGTCTTCGTATTATCCTTGGCAATTTGCTCTGCATACCACTCTGTAAACTGGTCCTTCATTATTGTTTTAAAATCACCGTTAACACTTAAATCCATAGGCTGAAGTTCTCCAGTGCACCCCGCAGACACAAACACATGCTCTATTCGGGCATTGGTAAGAGTGTCAATCACCGATTCACACCTATGAGCACGAAATACATCATATATAACTAACGCCCTTTGTCTGACAGGTAAATCCATTTGATCCTTTATTTCATCTATTGAAGGAATAAGCACCTTTTCAACGTATTCCAGCATGCTCTCTTCATTACTCCAATGGTTTTCTGTGTGGGCAATATTCCACAATGTTTTTCCCTTGTATATTAACTGTGGTGGAAGTAAGCAGCCACTGGTGGAGCATCCAAGTAGAGCCGTTATTTCTCTTTTATCTTCCAATCCAATTATTGAAACCTGTCGTGACCCTTGGGCAGCTAATGTCCAGTTTGACACAGGAACCACTTTTAATCCAGTCTGATCGAATTTAAAAATAAGTTCATTCGGAATGTTGTGCTGTTCTTTTATTTCCGTTACAATCCGTAAAAAGTTAGCTTTATGAGAATCAAAATCGTGAGGTAATTTTCGAGCTGCGATCGTTCCTTTGCATTTCATGAAACCTATCCGTTGTAAAAATGACTGAGCCCATGACTTAATAATGTTCAAACTTCCACCGTTTTCAGCTAAATTCCATTTATTCTTTCTTTTCACTATTCCCCTTGCCGTCGCGATTACAATTGCACTATTCACAATACCCCCAGCTTCTCTAATCAACTTGATATGTTTCGACATTTCGTTATCTAAATCTCCAAGTAGGAGGGGCCTACCCCGTTTCTCATTTTCAATAACGGTTAAACTTTCTTGCGGCCTTGGAATTTCCATATTCTGTTGCATATTTTGCAATTTTCGCCCGCAATTCAGGTGTATACATATTGTTTTCGGCCTTCCGTTAACACCGCGTTCAGTTATTGAATCTTTCGATGAGTTAACACTTCAACAATCTCACTATTTGCGGCAGTAATATTGTCACGCTCCTCAACAATGCTTGCATTATTGGGATTTGGCAAGCCGAGAATTTCCTCAGTAAAACAATTCACATTTTGTTTCGTTTTAGTTACAAATTTAAACATCGCCATTTTGAAAGTAATAAAAATGTCGCATGTGATGTGTTTTATAGTTGTTCGTCAGCTTGGAGTTAATCAAGGGATTTAATTTAATAATAATTATTTTAAAATTGAGTTTGATAACAGGTATTTAATTTTCTTTGATCTGTTGAATACAGGCTCAAAGCCATAATCCTCAATAGTTGTTTATTTACTGTTACTAATGATCACCAATCAACCGATGTTTTGAAGAGCCGACTGTCACCTCAAAATTAACAATCAACCACATTTTATAGACAAATTTACTAAAAAAAATTATTTAAATTCGCAATAATTTCATGTGCAATAATTTTTTCCCCACTATAGAAATTCGCAATAATTTCATGTCGCAATTATGTTTCACCACCCCAACTCGCAATAATTTCATGTCGCAATAATTTCATGTTTTACAGTAGTTTGCAAGGGATTCCCATAGCAGTATATTGAGACTTTAAGAAAAGAAATTCCCGACACTCAGATGTGTAGATGATTATCAACTGCCAAATTCACCAAAGAACAATCAGAAATGTGGGCATATAAAAGGACATTCTTTTTACTGACTAATAACTGAAACCTAAGCCAATGTAAACTTGGTGTTCCTAAAATATCTTTGCTTAATAGAAATCAGTATTCAGACTTGCCAAAAGATAAGTTTTAAATCATTTATTTACTTACCTTCTGTTGTTGAGAAATCTGTTTATCATTTATATATATGTCCTGTGGTGGCTAACAAAAATACAAATTGATGCATTTAAAACAAACATGTGAACTAAAGGACAACATTTTGAATTATCCTGTTAGCATTTAAGATCCAAAAATTCAGGAATGTTTAATAGAGTATCTCTTATGACGATGAGAAATTGAATGGTCAGTTTATTTTTGTTGACAATTGATATTTTAGTCATTACCTCATCTTCGTTAGGAATAGGAGGGGGTGGTCGTCTTTTGATTTGTTGTGGTGCTGAAGCATCTGGATCCTCATATACTGCCTGAATGGGTGATGGTGATCTATCTGCAATACATGAAAATATTGTGTCATGGAGAAAATAAGATTTGCTTATTAAGCATATGTGGGTGGTGTAGCTCAATCAGAGACCCAAACATTGTGCAACATTTCAATGTATTCCAACTTCTCAAGTAAATTTTCAATGACTGGTTGTCCATTTACAGAAATTATATTACAGAACCATAATGCATGCTTACAGTGGCTTGCCGACTATAGTACTGGCTCACTGACCTGGATGTCCCATGTTTTATCTGGGTGTTGGGTGAAAAAGTTACTGAGGATTTTTCAGCCTGGTTTTCCTTTTTCAGTGGTGAAGGATTGAGTCACATATAAATTCAGCAGAAGGTTTACCAATGAGTTGTGGCTACAACTTCATAACACACTTTCTTCTGAAACTGAATTTACTGGTGCCTCACATGATTTCTCAAACTAGCCCTTGGTACAATTGATCCAATTACCCATGTGAGTTTGTGCAATAATTCTAACATACATTGTAAAATGTCCTTACTTTTTGGTGTACTTGGACCTTTTGTTTTGCGCGCTCCTTTGTTTTTACCAGTATCTGCGGAAAGAAAGGAAATAAAATGTTTGGCAAATTCATAATATCATACCACAAACTACTGTAGTTTGTTTCCATCATTCAAGATAATCGAACGTTTTTTAAATCGGATAATAATTGCGACCTCTAGAGGGACCACAAGCTAAAAATGTGATTTTCCACACAATCAGGGGTCATAATTCAGGAAGTTACTATCCGATATGCACAAATATCGACAAAAACCAAGATCATTGGGTTATAAACATGCATTTCTAGTTTCATCGAAATAGATGAAAATTGTGACCTCTAGAGTGTCCCCAAGCTAAAAACATGATTTTTCTAAAAAAATCAGGGGCCAGAATCCATGAAGTTATTGTCCGATACATGCCAATATCCCAAGGAACCAAAATTTTTGGGAGATAGATCTATATTTCAAGTTTCGTCAAAATCGGATAAAAATTGTGACCTGTAGAGTGTCCACAAATTGTGTACGGACGTCCGAACGGACGGACAGACAGGAGCAACGTCATAATACATCCACATCAAAATGTGAGAAACTTCCAATCAATAGAATTTAGAAGCAGGTAATGCAAACCAATTACAGACGGTTTGATGGGATCAATTTTGACTAAAAGTCAAAATGGTGCATTTGATATTCAGTTAAGTTGATGTGCAATAAATAATATAATACAATATCAAACCAGCGGCTGCCAGGCAGGATACGCCCACATTTTCGAGAGATGGATAGAGAACAAGCTAACAAGAAAGTGATTTTTCCTAGAATCAAGGGCCATAATTCAGGAAATTACAATTCGATATGCGCATATATCGAAAGGAACTGAACGAACGGTAGCCATTTTGTCTGTCAATTTTGGGCCGATTTTCACGAAAGTCAGTTTCAGTCGTCCCTAGGGTGTAACGGTGATATAATAATACGGTTTTTTAAATCGGATAAAAATTATAAACTCTATAGGGTCCACAAGCTAAAAACGTGATTTTTCGTACAATCAGGGGCCATAATTCAGGAAATTACGGTCCGATATGCGCGAATATCGACAGGAACCGAGATCTTTGGGTTATAGACTTACATTTCAAGTTTCAACAAAATCGGATAACAATTGTGACTTCTATAGGGTCCACAACCTTGATATACCATTTTCTTACGCTATTTGAGAACGAACGGCGGCCATTTTGTCTGTCAATTTTGGGCCGCTTTTCACGAAATTCAAATTCAGTTGTCCCTAGGGTGTAATGGTTAAATATAATAATTTTTTTAAATCGGATAAAAATTATGACTTCTATAGGGTCCACAAGCTAAAAACGTGATTTTTCGTACAATCAGGGGTCATAATTCAGGAAGTTACAGTCCGATATGCACGAATATCGAAAGGAACCAAGATCTTTGGGTTATAAACTTACATTTCAAGTTTCAACAAAATCGGATAAAAATTGTGACCCCTATAGGGTCCACAACCTTGATATACCATATTCTTACGCTATTTGGGAACGAATGGCGGCCATTTTGTCTGTCAATTTTGGGCCGATTTTCACGAAATTCAGTTTCAGTCGTCCCTAGGGTGTAACGGTGATATAATAATACGGTTTTTTAAATCGGATAAAAATTATAAACTCTATAGGGTCCACAAGCTAAAAACGTGATTTTTCTTACAATCAGGGGCCATAATTCAGGAAATTACGGTCCGATATGCACGAATATCGAAAGGAACCAAGATCTTTGGGTTATAAACTTACATTTCAAGTTTCAACAAAATCGGATAAAAATTGTGACCCCTATAGGGTCCACAACCTTGATATACCATATTCTTACGCTATTTGGGAACGAATGGCGGCCATTTTGTCTGTCAATTTTGGGCCGATTTTCACGAAATTTGAACACAGTCATCCTTAGGGTGTAACGGTGATATAATAGAACGTTTTTTTTAAATCGAATAAAAAAATTAAAAATTATGACTTCTATAGGGTCCACAAGCTAAAAACGTGATTTTTCGTACAATCAGGGGCCATAATTCAGGAAGTTACTGTCCGATATGCGCAAATATCGAAAGGAATTGAGATCTTTGGGTTATAAACTTACATTTCAAGTTTCAACAAAATCGGATAAAAATTGTGACCTCTATAGGGTCCACAAGCTAAAAACGTGATAATCCATGAAGTTTCGATCCGATACGTGCCAATATCGAAAGCAGCCGAGATCTTTTGGGGATAAACCTATATTTCAAGTTTCGTCGAAATTGGATAAGAATTGTGACCTGTAGAGAGTCCACAAACAATTGTGGACGGACGGACGGACGGACAGGGGCGACGGCATAATACGTCCACATGAAAATGTGGGCGTATAAAAACCATCGTTTTATCTAACATTTTGTTAGTAAAAATACTAACTTGGATAAAACAATGTTTTTTTTTTATATTGTATTCTGTTAATTATAGTATATTCACATGAAAATGTGGGCGTATAATGAAAATAAGACAACCTGTCTGCGATGTCACCTTCGGTGGAAGTGGACTTAAACATTAAGTACAACAACAACATATTAAGTTACTCAGCAAGGCGTAGTGAGGGAATCACTAAGTGAGACCTTGTGCCACCAAGGGCCATGAGAGGAGGAATGGTCAGTCACAAATCTACTGATAAATTGATTCTTGGATATTGTGTACTGTGCCTATCTCTCCTTACGAACCATTGTCCTTAGAGTGTTATATCGTAGTTATCATGTGCCTGTATGTAAATGAATATATATGAAGTATGAAGAGTACAGAATTCAACCATGAGTTAAATGTTGTTCTTTCATTGTACACAGTCTATAAGAATCACCCTGAATGTAGTATAGGCTGTGTATGTATCCCCCATTATCAATAATAATATGGGCACATTTGATTTAATTCTCGTTTTACTAAGTATTACTTCAGAATGATACCAAATACAAGGCTAGTTTCTAGATCAGGAGTGATATTTTCAAAATGGCTAATTTATTCTGTGATAACTATTCATCCATCAAAAGGTTTATTGAAATATACGTACTTAAGTTATATTTATTGCACGGCCGAAGGCCAAGGGGTTAAACCTGTTAACGAATGAAGCGTGCTATAAATGACTTGTAACATTGACAACTGTTCAACATGCTTATTGTTACTGCACAGAAAACCCACCCCCACTTCTCTATATGATTTCTTCTAAAACTAGTGTAAACCAGCAAAAGTGTGCAACAACATTGAACATGTCTAGTTATTGCATGGTTAAGCTCCACCCAATCTACTAGAGGGAAAAGAATCCGCTTATTCAACAAAAAGAACAAAGGAAGATTTCCCATCCATGTTACAAAACTGAGTTAGAACATGTGACAATTCATGATTCCTTCTGGCCAAATGAACCATTCAAGAAACCTAAGATGGATGACGGACAAGAGATACAGGTGAGAGAATGTACGTCGACATATAATGTAGGTATATAAAAAAGGAATGAGAAATTTGCATATATGTTTGCAACTTACTGGGTGGTGGCAAGGGTCCCTGACCAGGAAGTAATGGTGTTTTTGCTTTAGGCCGTGATGATCTATCTTCTGGTTCTGGTATTTTAGGTGGCTGTCGTCTACCTGGTGGTTTTGTTGGTCCCTCTGTGGGTTCTGGAATGGAATTGTATGCCACACTAAATATGTATTAATCAACTTAATTTCATAATGATGAAAACATAATTTTCAAAGTAACATCAACCGTTTCTAAAACGAAAAAAGAATGAACGAACCAAATGACAAAACTATTAATTGTACCAGAGAAATAAGGAGAATCTATTTGGCATATAATAAATAAGCTAAAAGTTTGACCAAGTATTAGCTTACTGCTTCTTGACAAGTGGTGGTGGCTCAGTGAGCATAGGCGTACAGACCCGATGACAGTTAGGGGGGCAGAACCCGAAATGCCCGAAAAAATTTCGGGTTTACAGAGAGCGCCAGTCTTCCTTGATAGGCGAAGAGAGCGGAGCTTACCTTGCCCCCCACCCCCAATCCTCACCCCCCCTCCTCAACCCCATCAAAAGAAAATTTTGGAATATTTGACGGCTGCAAACACATTTTCCTGCTATTTCAGCACGTGAACAAAGTAACTTCAAAGTGGTCTAATATAGTCTTATTAAGGTGGCTGACTCGAATTCCAATCAATCGTTTACAGTCCACGAAAACGGGACCGTTGGGAGAAAATTTTGAAATTTTAACTGCCGCAAACGCGTTTTCCTGCTATTCCAGCCTGTGAATACAGCATCTTCAATTTGGTCCAATATAGCCTACCTGGCTGACCGGAGTTCCAAACGACCAATCAATCGTCGCTGAGTTCGGGGTTATACCACCGCAAATGCGCTTACTGCTATTCTAGCTCGTGTAAACTCCAAAAGTATCCAATGGTTTTGTAACCAAAATCCCACCCTGAATCCCAACCATCAAATCAGACTGTTGCAGCTGCATTCACAAATAATAATCGATGCCCGAAAAATGTCGTGCAAATTAGAGTGGCTCCAGACAATATGTTTTAATCCATAGTCAACTCAGTACAAATTCGTGGTATTCAATTAAAAGAAAAGTAAAATTAGTGTTATATTAGGGCTTGATAACAGTAAGGGAAGCAAAACTAAAAATGCCTGAAAAAATTTCGGGTTTACAGACAGCGGTGCCAGTTTTCTTCGAGAGGTGAAAAAGTGGAACTGACCTTGTATGGACCCCCCAAGAAAATTTTGGAATATTTGACAGCCGCAAATGCGTTTTCCTGCTATTCCAGCCCGTAAAATTAGTGTTTTATTAGATTTTGGGCACTTTATTTTGCCAAGTAGATTTTTTTTCACTTTACCAGTCTGCCCGAAAAGTCAGCTTGCCCGAAAGTTAGGGAGGCAGCTGCCCCCTCCTGCCCCCCTGGCTCGTACGCCTATGTCAGTGAGTAAGATGCTGGTTCGCTATCTTGGATGTCTCAGGTTCGCTCCTTGTGTTGGCCAAGAAAGTTCCTTAGGATTTTTTAGCTGTCTAGTCATTCTGATGATATCAAAAACTGAGGTTCTGTGTACACATTGGCATGCACGTAAAAGAACCCTTGACAGTTGGAATTCGATACAAGAGTAAACTGTAGCACAGCTGTATGGACAAAATTTTCTGCATAGCGTATGGCCGTATGCCTGTCTTCATTAGCCCAGTCGGTGCAGAAAAGTAGGACGTAAAACACCATTTCATTTTTTGCTTCTTGACAATATGTGCGCAGCTCTAGCAAAATGTTACACGTGTCACAGGCACCTTCCTATATGGCTTGAAACATAAACAGCATCTTGTCAGGCACTCACCAACAACAATGTCAACTGAACAAATCCCCACATAACAAATTTCAAACAATTTATTTTGAATTCTGCACTAATAAAAAGTTTTAAAAGTAAAAATGAGAAGATGAAAATAGCTCATTAAAATTTAAGATTAAACAATTTTGGATTTCATTTCACAAATTGAAAAAATTCTGTTGAGAACTCTGCTCTGTACAAAACACATCCAGAATTTACCATCTGAAATCTTTATTTGTTTCTGCCATACACCCTAAAGAACAACCTCACCAATCTTGATATTAGCTCTGCATTTTCAAATCGAAAAAATTTGAATCTTAATAGGATTCTTCGTTATGATTAAATGAACAATCCCTGCACACTTGAAAACAATCCAAAGACAGAAAACTAATGCTTGATGACGGACTGAATATACGTCCACATAAAGAACTTGTCCTGTATTGCACTACCAAGCCTTAAAAATTAAAATAAAAACGGAAAGATAAATCAGCAAACACATTCGCTGACCCTGAAAAAAATATAATAAGACTTCCAGTAGGTAGAGTGTTCATAAGAAAAATTAGACGGAACAAATGACAATCAACTTTGACGAGAAATTTGTCTGTATCAAATGAGTTCAAATTGAAAATAATTCTTGTACTAATTTTAGGTTTGTAGCATTTTTCTACAATAATATCAAAGCTAAATATTTATGTTAACATCTTGAGATAATTGCATAGGTCTCATGATACATACCAATTTAAAGATTTTTTTTGAAAAAAAAAGTTTAAATCCATGCTCAGTTGTATTTGGATTTTTGGGACCATATATATATATATGATACTCCTTTTATTGAGAGCAAGTCAGATATACAGATACATGCTTTCTACATGATCATACTTTTTACCTAAACATGCTTTTAGTTCTAAATTTCCTAATAATAATTATAGTGTGAACCATGTTATTTATAAAAATCAAATATATGGCATTACCCTATTCCTCCATTTCATATAATACTCTTCTTTCTACATGTCCCTTGCTCTGCACATGATTGGCAGATCAACAAGAGGGGACTAAATCAAAGCAATGTCTAAAGCTAAATACAAAACAAAATTTGAACATGATATTCACATTTATTCGAGTCACCTTATTTCCAAAATGGGTTTCTGATGTTTTCTCTCAACAACTAATTAATTGAAACGGATTTAATTTTCACAGATTTGAAAACTAGCGACAAAATTGATAGTAGCAAATAATATTGACCTACACCTACCTGCTTGTGTTCCTTAAAATTAAAGCAACTTTACAGATATAATTATAATTCACTAAAATAAGAAATGGCTAATCTTATCCTCTTCAGAACAAGGGAATGTAGAATGTGGTCATGCCTATATTTTCTATAACAAAAAATCCCTACCCAGCTTAACTTTTTGTACCGGATCTAAATAATCATCATCAGCATTTGTATCTGGATCAAAAATAAAAAGAAATCATTTAGGCTGTTTTCTTCTTAGTGTACAATTTAAATTATGAATATTTATTTTAAATAAATTTCATATCTTGGCTCTTTTTTTAAAACGATCATATGCCTACCGAAATTAGTTGCAGGTAATCACTGACATCAGTTTACTAAATGGTTGAGCTATCTAATTTAAAGCTGCTGATGGTAGTTTGATGGATTTTTATTGTGAAATTTGAATCTCGCAACATTCTTCATCCTATGCATTCAATGTGAACAAGTCAGTGCCGCCGATAAGTGTTGGATAAATTCTTTTGATGGATCCCTTTTTATTTCAATTGAATACAAGCCTAGAGATTATCCACCATTGATATCTTGGTATTGCTTTCATAAAGATGCATTATGTAAGATTTAGATAAAGAGCTGAACAGTTCTCCATATAATGTTTAAAAATAGATAATGAAGAAGAAATATATTGATATTTTTAGTCAAATTACATTATTCTGAGTGAAGTTTTGATTTTGATTTTCATAGCTACCATTGTTATGATAATAAACAAAATCTTGATTATCTATTTTTATTTTAAATTATTAAATGGCAATCATACTTCAATCCATTAAAAATCATGACCATCTGATGGCCTAGTTAGCTGATTATATGGCTTGTCATGTGAATAAATGTCTAATTAAGAACTAGATGTTTGAAAAATGAATGACAATCAATGACTTCAAAGTCATCTATAATAATAAGGTGAATTTTTTCGACGTGTATGAAGAATTAAACATTACAAAACATTTTGATACAGTAACATTTTGTACTCTCGACATTACGGCATCCACAAATATATGTCTCAATGTTATTATCGAATCTGAACAGTTGTTAAGTAAGTCTGAACCAGGGTTTGTGTAGAGTCTGAATAGGTTGCAGGAATGAAACGTTGTGCTACCGAATTAAAGAAAAAAATCCTTAAAAGGAGAAATCTTCAGAGTCCGAATTATTCACAAAATGAGAGTATCAGATATGATTTTCTACATGACTGTGTGAATTATAGAAAATTGCATAAAACTTTTGTTTATACACTCAATCATCTGAACTAATCAAATTCTTTCTCATATTAGTCCTAACCATATTCTCTTTCACAGTAAAACTAATAATATTATGTCTCTAGAATTACTATTAATCGCGTCAGTTTCATTTCTGCAGCATTCTGCAATTGTTCTTGTAGATTTTAGAGAATGGAGATCAGCTTATAATAAAGGTGCCTCCAGCATATATCTTTTGTAGATTTGGAAATTAAGCGTAGTAACTTACCAAATGGAAAACATTCAAATTAATAGGTTTCTTCTTTACAATAAGATAAACAACCTATTTTGAATGTCAGAAAGGTACTGACACTTCTTAAGGGGCGGCAAATTATCTAAATGCATACCAGGAATATTCAAATATTTATGGACTAGCCTCCTTGGAGGCTAAGATAGCAAATCACAGACCTTCACTTCCCTTAAGTCTATGTACACCAATTCATATTTCAGCAAATAGCGAGGGTAGAATTATGATTTTTCCAATTATGATTTTTTTTTATCCAATGGAGAGTCGAAGGGGAAATAAACATAAAATTGTTACATATAAGTTCACTTAATAAATAGTTATTTGGATAAAGTGCTAAAAGTATAAAAATTGTATTTTAAAATCATAAAATATCAACTGAGCACAGGCACCGAACAAGGCAGTTACAGTATGCAAATTGGGTGGGGGGGAGTGGGGACGTCACTAAAACTTTTGCCCTGTGGAAGCTTGTTAGGGCCCTGGTCTACACATTAAAATGGGGCATATAAAAATAAATAGAATTATTTGATTAAATATAGGCATAAGTAAATGGTTTGTATTAATGGTTTCAAATTTTATTTTTGCAAATATTTTTCAAGCCATCATCAATGATTCTTAGGTTGGGGTCTGTGATATGCCTGTGAATTTCTAGACCTGCTAATCGCTAATTACCCAAATCTACAAAAAATAGACACTTATGTATGGACAAAAAACATCAAACATCAAAATAAAAAATGACATCATGATTATCACACCTTCATCTGTAGTGTCTGCCCGTGATGGCGACTTGCCACGATTTGCTTGGAATTCTAAAAGTGCCACTTTTAATGATGATAATGAAAAGTTACCACTCCCAGGAAGATTTTCTGCTGTATCATTATTTTCTTCATGAACGTTGTAGTGGCCTTCCTGTCAAACAATTTTAGTTAATGAACACAGCAAAAATAATTGAGATTATGTTTTTCAACAATTAATAATTTCAGGTGAAAAGTAATCATATTTAAAGAATTTCTTAATTTTCAACTTTTTAATTGAGGTACAACCTAGAAAACTCTCCAGTGATGTACAGAGGTTTGGTGATACCTCCTTTAATTGTATGCCCCCAAGACTCAAGTATAGTGCCTAGTACTCAGAAAGGTGGGAAAGGAAGACATTTTAAATCTGTAAAAATCTAGAACAAGCCAACAGTGAGGTTGATGTCCCCCGCCGATATCCAAAATAAATAGATGAAACATATACTAAATAACTCCACATTTATCTTTTTGATAAGTATCAAGCAATCAAACTGATTATGGAATCTTAGTCTGAGCAGAAAATGTTTGCGATTGAACTCAGTCATGGTTGATCACGCTCCATCAGTTAGAATCAAAGTTATCTTGTCCCAAAGCATTGACCAATGAAATTTCTTAGCTGTGTATAGCTTTAGCAGAAAATGTTAATCATTGAAATCAGTCAAGAAATTCACCTAATGAACATCTACAGCAAGTTTAAACATTCTACCGCAATTAAAATCAGTGTTGTTATTTTTTAAAAGTCTTGACCAATCAAATTGCTTATCACTATTTAGCCTAAACAGAAAATTCTCATCAAACTTAGTCAAGGTGTTGGTTTAATGAATTTATACTCTGAGTTTCATCACTCGCATCCAATTAGATCCACAAGTTCCAAAGTCTCAACCAATCAAATTAGTGGAAAATATGCATAATTGAACACTGTCTAGGCATTCACCTAATAAACACCTACACGAAGTTTGAACGTCCTACCTCAATTAGAAAGAGAGCTATTGTCTTCGAAAGTCTTGACCAATCAGATTGTAGAGTGTCCACAAACAAATGTGAACGGACACACGGACCCATGGATGCACAGACGCACGGACTAGACGGCAATATACGTCCACATGAAAATGTGGGCGTATAAAAATACACAACGTTTCACCATTCAATTACAATCAAAGTTATCAAGATCCAAAGTCTCAACCAATCAAATTACTTATTGCTCTGCTTACCCTGAGCAGCAAATGCTCATAATCGAACTTAGTCAAGGCATTGATATAATGAAACTATGCACCAAGTTTCATCACTTAATTAGAACCAAAGTTACCATGTCCAAAGCAATAAAATTGCATATCTCTGCTTAGCCTAAGCCGAAAATTTTTATCTTCGAACTCCATCTAGGCATTCACCAAATAAACACCTACACTAAGTTTGAACATTAGGAGAGTTATTGTGTCCCCGAAGGTGTGACAGACAGATGGACCGACCCATTTTAATAGTCCCCTGCTTTCTTTAACTGGTGGGGGAACAATAAATTTTTTATTCCAATTGATTATGGCAGCTTGTATACCAAAGTTAACAGCAATAATTTTAAATTTAAAAAAATGAAACTTTAATTTCATTGTTTGATTGGATACCCCTCTCTCTGCACGCCACTGTTTTTCTCTCTCATTTTCAACCAACATAGCAAGGCAATGACTTATTATACTATTCTAATGATTTGCAAACAAGAAGATATTTAAGACCTACGAAAGGTTTCAGCATGATTAAGAAAGAAAGAGTTCGAGTTGAAATATCAAAGGGAGTCTGATTGAACCACTGGCAAAGATCACAGATTATTATGTTGGGTAGAATTCATAGGCGTACATGCTAGATTACAGTTAGGGGGGGCAGAATCCAAAATGCCTGAATAATTTTTATGTTGCAGACGGCAACGCCGATCTTCTGCTACAGGAGCTTATCCTGTAGGACCCCCCCTCCCCCCAACACGAAAATTTTGGAAAATAAGACGGCCGCAAATGCATTTTCCTGCTATTCCAGCCACTGAATATACAGCAACTTCAAAGTGGTCTAATATAGCCTAATTAAGATGACTGACTCGAATTCCAATCAACAAATCAAACGTTTACAGTCCATGCAGATGAGACCGTTGTGAGAAATTTTTGAAAATTTAAATGCTGCAAATGCGTTTTCCTTCTATTTCAGTCTGTGAATACAGCAACTTCAATGTGGTCAAATATAGCCTACCTTTGGTGGCTGACCTTAACCCCCAACAAACCCTATCAATCGTCGCGTGGTATGATAGCCTCGCCCTCCCGGAGAAAATTTTGAAAATTTAACTACCGAAAATGTGTTTTTCTGCTTCTCTAGCCCGTGAGTTAAGCAAAGTTCCCTAGTGGTTTTGTAACCGAAATCCCACTCTATGCCGACCTGAATTCCAACCATCCAATCAGACTGTTGCAGCTGCATTCACAAATTATAATCGATGCCTGAAAAATGTCGCACAAAGAAGAATGCCTCCAGACAAAATGTTTTAATAGAATTCACAAATACCATCCCAAGTAGTTGGAGGAAGAATCTTTGAATACATGTACAAAAGATTTATCTTACATAATATGCATGCTTTCCGAAGGGTGCAGTTTAAATATGAACAAGCCCACAGATATTGGCAGTTTTACCCCAAATATATTGGCATATATACTTGTTAGCTATGTGTATTTTACTACTATTGATAGGGTTGATGAATATATGGAAATTTATACATTATTGCATGCACTTTTATCAACACATTTACCATTGGTGCTCATATTATTATATACTGCAGGCCACAAGTGATTAAAGACATATCGGATAAACTTAAAAGCGGGAAAATGCTGTATTATTAAACTCACATTTATTGATGGTGGCATATCCTGATGGACATCTAGAAATAATGAATTGTTTCAATGACATTTAGTAATTGAATTCAAATACACAATTCTATGGAATATACAATTTACTATTTATTACGGGGCGAAGTTTCAACTAGGATTCACTATATGGATCGATGTTTCAACTAGGATTCACAATATGAAGTGATTTCTCAACTAAGCTATCCATTGCATGATAAAAACTGGTGAATCTTAGTAATGAATAATAATTGTATTCAACAGAAGTGTGTCTTGTATGTAGAAATAATGAACAGGGTGGATCCAGGAATTTTTGCAGGAGGTGTTTGCCTTAGACAATGTATCTCTGGGTCTTGAAAATTTTTGAGAAATACATGGTCTCTATCATCATTTTATATACATATAGACACTGAGCTTTTTTAAGAGAGAAATCCAACACCCTGTTTGATGTCAATTTTTATTATGAATTAATAGGATGACATTGTGATTCAGTTTCAATGATGCAAAGCATTCATTGTGATATCACATATGCCTATATCATTATCTTGCATCCAACCATATGATAAAACACACACGACCGTGACCCTATCCACATTAAAAGTGTTTTACAAATTTTTATGTTAGCTGAGCACCCCCCACCCCTCTCTGGATCTGCCCCTGATGAAGTAATGATTGATAGAAAATCCTATAATGGGGCCATACTATATACCGGAAAACACCGGAAAACAATCGGAAAACACCGGAAAACAACCGGAAAACACCATTTTATACTGAATACCGGAAAACACCGGAAAAACACTAAATACTGGAAAACACCCTAAATAGGTAACCCGGAGCCTGGTCCTCTGTGTGCGGTTTTGGACCAAGTGAGCGCTGATGAAGGAAGGTAATTACAATGTTCGTTTTACAAATAGCCCCCCCCCCCCAAAAAAAAAATTCCGATTTTTTTTCTCCAAAATTTTGTTGATGCCTATTATGTTTTGAATGTTTTAAAAGACGCAACCAGTCTACCTCCATCATTGACCATATTTTATTTTGTACTTTAATTTTAGTTTTCAGTAAATTTCAGTAGTTTTCAGTAAATTTCAGTAGATTTCAGTATTTCAGTAGATTAAACACAGCCCTCTGAGGCTGAGGGCCCCGTTATATGCCGGTTGCGCCGGTCTCCTGATTCTTACTAGTAAAGATGGCATCAGGGTTGTACGAATTAGTGGAAGGCACGATTAGGCCAACTCCTCCCTAGGTAACAAAAAATCGCATCATAAAACAGCAAGTATCATCAAAAGCGAGTTAATAAATCTCTGAATAGTTTGAGTTGAAGTTCCAGGTTTAACCGCTATGTGACCTAATCACCAAACGAAATGGATGCCACGCAATTCTCGGACAGGCTGTAATCTGAAAAGTGGCTATCCTTTCCAAGAGCTATCCATCCCGTTGGAAGGGCTAAAAATCTACTTGTTTCTGAGCTTACTTTCATTCCAGGGTCAAATATAATCACTTGAACCATAATAATATTCAACATATTCCCTCATATTCCGAGGGCCACACACAGGATTTTTTTCTAGATTACTTTTCGAGCTTTTTTCCCCAACTCGTTGACCAGTTTCCCTTGAGAAAACCCCAACTTTCGCCCAATTGTCCATGAGAAAACTACATATTCTATCTTACTGCATTGACGGGAAGTGGTAAGCTGGACGTCTGTGAAAAGGGTTGATCGATAAATTTTCAAGGCAGCAATTGTTGTTTTTGTTTGTGAAATAGAGGACGCTAGCCGATGAGGCTACTTTCCCCCAGAGGACCTCAGGCAACCAATTTGTTTTATGTACTACTATCGTAATAAAACATTACTACGTTAACCACTTCCTGGTGGCTGAAGACTTACACCGAATGCGTATTCGGAAAAAAAATGTCCCCGAGAAAATGTTTTTTCTGACAATCGATATTCGAGATGTCTTCTGTTGCACAAATTATGCTGCACTGTGTAAGAACTTGCATCCTTTGATCTGAAGATTGTAGATGGAAAAGTATCATTTTCACTATTTCAAAGTAAACCTGCATTTTCGTATATCATCCCGTAATTTGTGATTAATGACAATGACTGTGGAAATAATATGGGTTGAGGAACGGAAGATCTATGTTCTTCACGTGACTGGACAATTCCACCCTGACGATGATCCCTCCCGGAGCGGCGCGGCGCGCTCTCTAAAAAAAATCTCGGGCACAGTTTACTCTTCTAAGTTTTCCGGTAGCTATTTAGTAATGCGGAGTTTGGTCCTCGTGTGTGGTTTTGGACCAGGTGAGCGCTGATGAAATAAGTTCATTAACATACAAGCGAGCGATCGCCTACGGTCAAAGACAAATTTCTTTTCAGATTTTTTTTTAACAATTTCTTCTCCCAAATTTCTCTCAAAAAAAAATTCAATTTTTTTTTTCCAGTATTTTTCTCTGTAAAATTATTTTCTACGGAATGTATTTTGTAAAACCAATTTTTCGGAAAAATTCAATTTTTTTTTTTTTGTGCCAGAAAATTTTTTTTGTCAAAAAAATTTTGGAGAAAAAAAAATTGGAATTTTTTTTTTTTTTTGAGGGGGGGGGGGGGGGCTATTCTCCCGTAAAAAGGCAAAACCTAGTAACTCACTTTTTTTTTTATCAAAATTGAGTTAAGACCAAATTTGTAGTTACTAGGGTATGTGCTTCCTGTTGTACTAGATATTCCAATCTTTTGATTTTGTAAGCAATTACACCCATGACACAACCTAGCAACTTCCTTCATTTGCCTAGTATACCACAGTAAAACCTAGTAACTCTATAGTCAAATCAATGGATGAGCTGGGGTTTAATATTCATTCATTACGTTTTCCTTTGTTTTCTCAAAATATGAAAAAAGTGAGTTACTAGGTTTTGCCTTTTTACGGGAGTATTTGTAAAACGAACATCGTAATGACCTTGACCTTCCTTCATCGGCGCTCACTTGGTCCAAAACCGCACAGAGAGGACCAGGCTCCGGGTTACCTATTAAAGGTGTTTTCCGGTATTTAGGATGTTTTCCGGTATTTAGTGTTTTTCCGGTGTTTTCCGGTATTCAGTATAAAATGGTGTTTTCCGGTATATAGTATTGCCGCTATAATGTTGATCTATCAGAAAAGAAGATCTATGCCTAATTTACTAGTTGAACTCTGATCTCCCTGATTTTTAACAATGTCTTTATTTGAATGATCCTTAGCCCAATTCCAAATACTTTTATAAAGAAGCTTCTACTCCCTTTATAATTAAAATCTTCCATTTGGCACATTGTATGACGTATGCCTGTCTTCATTAACCCAGTTGGAGCAGAACAGTAGGACGTTAAACCACATTTCATTTCATTTCATTTTTCTGATCTGCACCAAGGTGAACCATGCAGCAAAATCCTGATGAACTTTCTCTGCCAACCCTGGGATCAAACATGGGACCGCCATGTTAGCGAGCCAGCGTTTTACTCACCGAGACACTGTGGCTCCCACATATTTTTTAACCAGTAATCAGAAAATTATGTTTTCACAACTTCATATATCCTTATACTAGATATTATCAGAATTTTATACATATTACAGCTTACCAGTATTTACTGGTGTTAAAAAATTGATGTAAATTGACAGTTATATTAGATTATGCTTGGATTTTCAATATGCTGATCATATTATTCAAATTTGATTGCAATTGTGAAAGTATGAAGACTATTTAAGATGCCATATGAGGCCATAGTGAATTGTACAATCAGGCTAACCGTGAAACCAGTATATCCTTGTTTCCAATCATAGAAAAATATATGTATATCTTTATCTTAGATGATCGAAAATTGCTGATTTCGACAGAATAAATCTTGTGGGTACTTGTGGCTGTCCGTTCCAAATGCAAAATGAATTAATGTTGCGCCTTTAAATATCGGAAGTTACAAACATTAAATCCCTATAACTGTAGGCATTTGGACGGATGCCTTTTTAATATGGTCAAGACATGCTGCTTCAATACAAGGGTTGGGCGGATATACAGATTTGATTTAAAAGACCATAAGATCCTACTTCTAGTTCTTGGGTTGTAAGTGTTCAGCCATGCATTTTCATAAACCAGATATTGCTAAGGTATAAACCATCCGGCGATGTTATGACTACAATAACATGACTTTCTGCCTTAAACAATAGTGTAATTCAGCTTTGTTGTATAATATGACGGGGCTATACTTGGAAACATGTCACAGGAACTGGGAAGATAATACTGCCCTATCCCCTTAAGTCTACTTCGATCCTTTATAAACCATCCATATACAAGTAATAAATATTTTCATCTGTGTACGAGTCATTTTCAATCAGTCACAAATCATAGTCTAACAATCTAGCAAAAGACTAACAAATAATTCTATCATGTTCTGCCCATCATTTGTACCTTACTTTGCAATTAGGCAGTAACCTCTGTTAATGTTAAAAAATTTTCTGTAGAGGCCTACTTTAAAATCTATCTGAAACAGTTGGTAGCTATATAGATCAGTACTGAATTAAATTTTGTTTTTTCTGATGGTTTTTTAATTATTTCAAACGGAACAAATTAACAATTGCAACACATCTCAAATGTCAACAGGAAATAAACTAAAGAACTTAAATAGGCTAAAACTATTTGTTAAGGCCAGCTCAATTTTCGTCAAGGTCGCTACGACACATGATTGTTGTGTTGGCCAGATTGTAGCTTAGGGTTAGGGTAAGCATTGCGGCTATGTCCAGGGTGAGGGTTAAGGTTGGGATCAGTTCTAGCCCTGTTTACATCTCGTGACCTTTGACTAAACTTGAAGTTGACCTTATCAAATAGATCTAACCAACATGAATATTATTGAATAAAATGCCTTTAAGTTTCAGTTTCAATCTCCATATGTCCTCAACTGGCATGGATATAGGAGACTAATCATTTAATTATCCTTCCCAGAATCGGAAGGTATAAATAGTTTATCATTGCAACAAAATTGGTTATTAAACAGATTAGAACCAAAGTTATTGTGTTCCAAAGTCTCAACCAATCAAATTGCTTATCTCTGCTTAGCCTTAGTGGAAACTGCGCATGAACGAACTATGTCAAGACATTCACGTAATAGATGCCTACACCAATTTTGAACATTCTACCTCAATTAGAAGGAGAGTTATTGTGTTTCAAAGTCTCGACCAATCAGATTAAAGTCTATACTTGGCTAAGCAGAAAATACTTAGCATCGAACCTTGTTGAAGTATTGATGTAATAAAACTGTACACAAAGTTTCACATATATCACTCAATTAGTAACAGAGTTGTCAAGCTCCAAAGTCTCGACCAATCAAATTGCTTATCGCTTTGCTTACCTTGAGCTGAAAATGCTCTCATAATCAACCTTAGTCAAGGTATTGATGTGATAAAACTATACACCAAGTTTCATCACTCTCACTTAATTAGAACCAAAGTTATCGTGTCCCAAAGCATCAACCAATGAAATTGCTTATCTCTGCTTACCCTAAGCAGAAAATGTTCATCTTTGAACTCCATCAAGGCATTTACCCATCAATACCTACACCAAGTTGAACATTCTACCTCAATTTTAAGGAGAGTTATTGTGTTCCAAAGTCTCAACCCATTAAATTGCTTATTGCTCTGCTTACCCTAAGCAGAAAATCCTCATTATCAAACTTAGTCAAGGTATCGATGTATTGAAACTATACACCAAATTTCATCACTCTCACTTAATTAGAACTCAAGTTATCGTATCCCAAAGCATCAACCAATCAAATTGAATATCTCTGCTTACCTAAAGCTGAAAATGCTCATCTTCGAACTCTATCAAGGCATTGACCTAATAAACACCTACACCAAGTTTGGACATTCTAGTTCAATTAGAAGGGAAGTTATTGTGTCCCAAAAAGTGTGACGGACAGACAGACAGACAGACGATTCTTCGAAATGCAGGGGACGATAAAATTGAAATTTATGTCATTCTATCGGGGATTCAGATTCTGATACCTTTACGGTACATGAAAATAACAACAAGACTATTTTACACGCAAAACATAAATTTATAGAAAATTAGCTGTCCTTGGATGAGATTCGACGCATAAATACTGAAAATATATTGTGCAATACGGTGTGCAAATAGACTAAAGTCTCCCCCCCAAAATATGATCTTAGTAAATTGACTCAAAACTGGGCTTATGTATAGTATAAAGACGAATGTTTTAAGTTGTTTGTATATTGTAATTATATTGGTAATTATTTTTAATAGGCCTGCCTGAGAAATAAAAATGTTACATGTTGCTTTTTTTTTATCACACATTTTTGGCAGATAAAATATTCCAGTTGGCGAAAAAAAAAATTAAACATTTTTGTACATGAAAATTATCATCCATTTTGGAGGAAAAAAAATTGAAAGCCAGTGTGAGCCCTTTTTCTATACCTATCAACAGCCTGTGAAACAGCCTTACTATTATTATCGATAGTGAAATAAACAACTCAGAAATTGAATGTTTTTAATTTGATTGTATTACAGATAGAAATGGGTTATACTTTAGTATTTACATGTAGTTTCTTCCTGGAATTCTGTTTCAATCCACCAAAATTTTGCATTGGAGATGAATTGATATGTTTTTATTCAAAAAATTACCTTGAGCTTGATATTTTGTAAAGGCCTCTATAATGTGCATTAGAGAAGATTTGAGTTTTCGTTAAAACCGTAATGCATATTGGAGACCTGGAGATCATATAGTATCAACTTGTAATTACTCGTCCAGATTTACCTCAGAGATGTATTCTTTTAAAATAATGGTTCTCCATAATTTGCAAAGGAGTTGATTTGCTATAAATTTTGATATTGTTCCTCCAGATTTACCAGGAGGATGAACTTTTGTTTAGAATGTTTGCCAAAATTTACCCACAGAAACATTTTTTCAGATATTTGTTCTCCATAATTTGCAATGGCAATTACTGGAGATGACAAAACTGGAGACAATTTTTACTTTTGGGTGTCCTGACAGTAATTATGTGATTTCTGTGCGCTGTGCTTTGTATTGTGCACACTTAATTATTAACATTAATACATATTTCGTAGCTTCAGATAATTAGTTTCTCAGAACTAATCATATTTTTAATCACTTAAAATTAAGTATTTTGGACTTATTATTTGCTGTTTTTGCCATATCTGTATGGCAATGCACACTTAACAAATTATAGATTGATACTTTACTTTTTGTTAATCTTTCTGTGACAATAAATAGATTTATTTGGAATAGACATTATACAAACATAGCATTGTAAAGCAATTAATATACACCCATCAGCAGCTTTTTTAATGGAAGCAAGAGTGGCATTATTGACGTAATCTAAAAAAAGCAATAACCACTTTTCAGAAATCACTGAGTGCTTACAAAAATTTTGGTCACAAGGGCAATGACTCCATATAATTCATCCGGATGTCATGAAAATCAATCTGAATACTTTTTTTTCAAAAACTCTCGTCTGTACGTAGCCTGTTTACAAGGTTTGGGACAGTAACTTAGCTAAACCTGTGAATTTTGTAGGGTTGCTTCTTGTGACTAACCAAACAATCTCACAAAGTTTATAAAAAAACCTCTCAAAATCCTAGACTTAAAAAGAATTATGGATGGACAGATAGGGGTGAAAACAATATACTCCCACACTGAAAAGGATAATGCATCTTTAAAAAGCTTATCTATAATGTACTCTAATAAGCACTAACTTGGGCTTCTAAAACTACATTAATAATCTAAATCTACATTAATAATCTAAATCTACATATTAATAATCTAAATCTACATATTAATAATCTAAATCTACATTAATAATCTTGTAGATTTAACATACTAACCTATATAGTTTTCATCATCTTCTGAAGAACTTGCTGCATTGTTTTCCCCATTATCTTCATCAACCTATAATCAAATTTCAAAATAACTGAGATATTACCGAGTAGAATTAATTTTCTTTTTACAGTGTATAAACGACAATACATAGATAAATTATTTGATACATTTTCAACCATACAAAAGTGTTAAAAACTATTCTAAAATGCCAGTTCTTGCTGTTAAAAAATTTAGCTTGATTTTTTAGATAAAATGACACGACTGTGGTCATATTGCTGTCACTCTCTCTACCCATACACAATTTATAGTTAAAAAACTAGAAATTACAAGTACGACAGGATGAATAGTATCTTACCTCATCAAAATCATCTCCCCAACTATAAATAGAATCATCATCTGAATCATCATTATACTGTTCTAAAACAATGGAAAAAAAACCACAATAAATAACATAAGAAGACTGCACAACAAAACAGATAGCTGTCAGTATTTCTGATTTTATCTTTAGATTTATCATCCACTCGACACAATTTTTTTTTTCTCTTATCTAGTGATAGTCAATTCCTTTTATAAATTGTCAGATATCCTCTCACAGTCTCATATAACAACTTTTGTTCTTGGAAGGAATTATCAGTGAGCAGAAATTCACCCTGTATCTGTTATCGCTTGTTACTTCAGTCAGTTTTATAGCAGGATAACTCCATATTCCTGAAGCAATGGCGGATTAGCTCTAATCAAACGAAATACTGCAATATGGGATAACTCATGTTATCCTTTTGCTTTCGTCACTTCCATTTCTTCAAATCTTCGATACGCATCTATCGTAGCAATGATCTCTGTGTTAAAATTATATTTGTAACTTGTTTAACCAGTTCTATCACATATGTGATAATGGCTGACATCAATATTGTCCTTTAAAGAAACTAATATACTAAACAGTAAAAAAAAACATCAGTACGATTTCAAAATCAGAGAGGCACTTTAATCAAATCATTCTAGAAAATGACTTACTAAATGAATCAAAGCAATTTTTGGTGAACAGTATGTTGAGACATTAGTGATTAATTCATCACAGTTCCAAGACATTACAAGAAGGTTTTAGTCTGTACACAGTCTATACATTAGTATCTGGTGTGTCCACTGCAAGTGTCAATAACAGCAGCGCAGCATCTGTACATGGAGTGGACCAGATAATTGATGAACGCCATTGGCACCTGGAACCACACTCTCGTAAAAGCCTGGCGCAATCCATCGGCTGTGTTTGGTCTCGGTACGATGTTATTAAGTCTCCTCTGAATTTCATCCCAAAGACTAAGGGCTGGCCAGTGCATAACGTTGACACCGTTCTGCTGTAGAAAGTCCTGAGTAACTCTGGTGGTGTGGGCACGGGCGTTGTCATGCTGGAAGACATTGTTGGGGTCTGAGAGCTTGATCGATGTAGCGCACTGCTGTGATGCCGCCTCCTCTCCCTGGACCAAGATTTTGGAACATCACAGGACCCACTCTCTGGTTCAGGCTGATTCCACCCCAAACCATTATGCTTGGACATCCCTATGAGTCTTGTTCCATGATACATTGGTCAGAATAACACTGGCCCTGTCGACGCCATGTTCTGGTCCTGCCATCTGCAGTTGATACGCAATACCGACTCTCTTCTATGAATAGAACAGTTCTCCATTGCATGTCTCACCAGTTCTTGTGTTATTAGGTAAAGTTGGAGATGTGGTCACAAATATACAATAAAAACATTTGACAAGTTTTATGCAATGTGTCTATTCAGAGTTTCTATTGCTGCTTAGTATATACAACTGTTACAAATATCTATCAGTGCTTCAGATCAAACATACATTATGCAAGAGCAAAATCTGATTATTGCAAGTCTTAATTTAGGCGTCAGATGTTATAGAAATTATAAATTAGATCTTTATTTAAACAACAAGCCCAAAATCAACTCTGTAGACCCACGGATGGCTCGGCTACAGCTCGGATTTAAATAGGATTTCACTCATTGATAAATTGAAATATGGCGCACCCTGATGAGAATACGTCAGTTAGATCGAGGCTAAATGATAGAGTGTACTTAGCGAGGCCGCTGTAGAGCGTTTCCGCATGCCATTGAAAACTTTACTTGATAATCGAGATATGTAGGTGGAGTTAACGCCTGTCAATCAAACGATCGACCAAGGTGATGGCACATTTCACTACCATTTCTAGGCAAATATTACAACGATGATAACTATGTTCAGAATAAAGTAATTTGACTGAAATTTTCAATATATTCTTCTTTCATCATCTACTTTTGAACTGTTATAGCAAGAATGGCCAACTCTCTATAAAAATCTCCCATAATGTATCTTTAAGTGTTTTTAGGAATTGTTTGTAAAAACTAAAGGATATTCAATGACTTTATATGGAAACAAAACTGTAATCCAAGGCTGAAGTACTGGTATATGGGTGAGATATCACCCCCTTTTCATCCACGGCACACATCTCAATCCACTTATATATCTGAGTTACACTGAAAGGTATCTTGGAAGTTGTGTGACCTCAGGGTACAACTAGAAATAAAAATCTCAACTTACTTTTGTTTGTTGCAGTTGGAGGAGGAGCTGTTGCAATCCAGTTTCTAAAACATATAATTGAAACTGTAGTGAGAAATGCCAAATAAACTTCTTGAAGTTATGGACCCAATCTGATTAAAATACAGATCAATATTTCGTTCCATTTTTTTATACTTTCGATGGCCTACACTGCAATAAGATCTGACCAGTTGTACTGGGAGGTCGCGTGAGGGGTTATACAAGCGACTTTTGACCCTATGACATCAGACATTGATTAATCAATCAGCGTTGACATTTCTAGGGGTTTACCCACAGTTCCGTGCAGTGCACGCAAAGAACTCGCCATAACAGATCGTTTCATTGGCTAATTCCTCACATGAACTAGAATGCCTGTTATATAACAACTCTTCCAGATCCTAGTGTTGTGAAAACAAGTAAAACGAAATTTTGAACTATAAAATTAAAAAACGAAACGAAATAGAATCTGTTTAATCAGATTGTTATGGACATAACACTTGAAGATGTTAATACTTAAAGATTCTCAATCTCTGATTTATTTCAAAATAAAATGTTGAATTGGGATGATCTGATGTGCAATTTCCATTTCTGAAGCAACAAACATTAAAGTTTTTATTTTGGTTTATTATGAATGAAATGGGTTTAACAGTTAACTTTAACTTTCTACTTTTCTGCATCAACTGGGAAAATGAAATATAGTCTCCTACGAGGGAAATTTTGCAACAACAACGCCCAATGGCCTAATCTTATATTAAATTCCAACTGTCAGGGGTCTTTTTCGTGCATGCCAGCATGTACAAGAGTCCTTGGCTTTTCGTCTAATCTCAAATAAAGAAGCTGTCCTTGCCAGGCCCTCCGTCCTGCACCACTGACAAGGAGGAACCACACTGGAAAATCCTGGTAAATTGAACCCTGAACCTCCTGGTAAGCGAGCCAGCACCTTACTCCCTAAGCCACCCAGTTCCCTTTGTCTAAAGAAGTATGGCATGTAAACAGATAATATCCCCTCTGCCAAAAACATGCCAATACTTCAAAATTTGATCGACATGAACATTTGTATTAAAGAGTAGATCAAGAAAAATGACAAATAAATATTTGTCTGTTCTAGAGACCTTGCTCATTACGGTAATTGAAATTTAAAAGATAACAATATAATTTACCAACTTACGGTTTTGATAGAGTATTCGTTGGTTTCTTTATACGTATGATATAACTTTTCATTTCCCTACAAAATTATTTAACATATCAATGATAAACATATGTCAATTCTTTGGACATTATAGAGAGAGACAGAGAAATGGGCTTTAACGTTAACTCCACACAAACTAGGTCATTTCAGGACTAGCATATGGTTCAATTTTATTCAATAATTCACTTGCATAGCAGTGGGACGCAAAAACGAAGGAATGACGGACCCAGAGAAAACCCACAAGATTGGACAGGTGATCCTACCCTTGTCACGTACAACCGGGGAATCAAACTCACGGTACTTGACTCAGATGGATGTTATAAATATCAAAATAGTTTGTTGGGGTTTTAGTTAAAAAGACAAAGAGTGGGGATGAGAAATTGCCAACTGATCATATTTATGAACTTATAAGATCATTGTCCTAGTTTTGATCTTGAACCTAAGACATTCCAGATGAGCATATTGGTCAAAGCTGTAATCAACAAATGTGATCACGGTATGATAATATGGAACATCCAATAGGCACAGAAATTTATATTAAGGTATACTTACTGTTTTTTCTTCTTACTGGCAATAAAATTATCCACATCAAATTCAGTCAAACTCTGGAAGAAAAAGTCTATCTATTAATCAATATCCAAAAGACAAATGCCTAAAACTACGATGCTCTTTGGATAGTAATTTAAATGAAAACAAACGGTTGCCATGCAAGATACGCCCACATCTTGCAAAAGATTGGCAGAGAACAAGCAAAAAAAGTGAATTTTCGTACGATCAGGGGCCATAATCCAGGAAGTTACAGTCATATCAAAAGGAATCGAGATCTCTGGAATTTCAGCCTATATTTCAAGCTTCGTCAATATTGGGTAAAACTTGTGACCTGTAGAGTGTCCACAAACAAATGTGAACTGAAATGACATCATGGATTGTTCAACAATTTAAAATATCTGACTGATAATAAGCTTGACAGTTGGAATTCGATATAAGAGTAGGCCATAGTGCCGCTGTCCGGGCAAAATTTCCCTCATAGCACACTGTATGGCGTATGCCCGTCTTCATTAGCCAAGTTCGGAGCAAAACAGTAGGACGTTAAACCCCATTTCATTTCATTTCATTTCCTTACAACCATAATGGAAGCTTGTGAAGAATGCAGAAAAGTTTTTTCCAAACGATTCCATGTCCTGCAACACGCCAGGGAGCCAAATCATCCGACTCTCTTCAGATGTGTCAATTGCAGGAAGGATTTCCGTAGGAAGGAATACCGAACCAAACACAAATGCAAAGGCAACCTTCCTAATGATGAGGGAAACCAGCCCACCATGACAGATACCCTCCAGACAGCCATTCAAGAAACCATCGGGGAGCTCGCCCAAGGGCCACCGAGTACTTCTTTTTCGACTGCCACAGTCGCCGCCCAAGGGCCACCGAGTACCTCCTTCTCGACTACCACAGTCTTCAGCCACTGGGATTTCCTCACATCCCCAAACCAAATCGGAGGGGAATCCTGGACCACCTTAACCACAAGCAGGAGCGACATCTGGAACAATCATAACCAGTACCTAGATTCCCGTTTCCGGATCCCGATCCAACCAAGCCTAGAGGACGCCTTTCTAGAGGACCCCCTCCTCTCCACCCAGCTTTCCGCCAGTGATTTGTTTAATTCTCAATTTTTATCTGGCTTGGGTTTTATTTAAACTTTTCATAAAACTTTACTTTCTTGTTGTCTTTCCTAGTCCTACCACCCCCCTTTGTGGTCTTCCCTAGACCCTCTCCCTTTCCCGTCTCTCCCCATACACACACCCTTTTTATTTTTGCATGCGGTTTTTTCTTGCCCCCTACTCCACTCACTTTTTCTGGGTATACTTATATCTGTAGACCCCGGTCATACACCAACCCTGGTATTTTTTCCTTCCAACCCCGGTACAATACCAAACCCCGGTATTTTTTATTACGGGAAACCCCGGTAAACCCCGCCAAAAATAATCTCAAAATAACCCCGGTAAATTCCGAAACCCCGGTAAAATACCAAACCCTTGTATTGGAAACCCCGGTAAACCCCGGTAAAACTAACAAACCACGCTGAAATCTCACCGGGGTTTCCCCACAGTATATATAGAACCTCACTAAGTGTTATAAATCAGTCTGAAGAGTTCAATTCTGAACGAAACTAGTTACTGCTAAAAGGGATAACTGGTGAAATCGCCCATCTCTATCTACCTATTCAATTTTATTTCAATAATTTCCTTGTGAGCAGGGGTCTTTAGCAGTGAGTGGAAATTGGAGGACCCAGAGAAAACCCACAAGATTGGACAGACGACCCTACTCCTTGTCACATACTCAATATTCCCGAAAGGTAAGCAAAAGTATTAATTCAGATACCATCTTGGCTTTGAGTATCTTAAAAAGATATTATGTAAAAAAGCAAAAAAGATAGTGACATGTAATCCATAGAAATTTAATGATTGATCAATTTTAATAATTTCATTCATTCATCATCTTGATAGTGCAATACATATCAGCTAGCCAGCCACCCAACCTTACCCCTATGAAAACTGGGCATCAACTATGAACATTTATATACTGTAGTAACTTTGCAAACAAAAAGGTCCTGCAACCCATGAGGTACCATAAAGAAAATTATCTTGCATATACTCATATTTGAAAAGAAAGATATTTTATTTATTTAAAAATCTATAGTCCCTTTATCCACCATTCTCTTTCAATTAATTATTTCTGACATTTATTCAAAAAGTACATAAAATATAAAGATGCTTTAATTTTTTACTTACTGCAAGTCTGTTGCCATCTATGGACTGCTTTGTAAACTGATCTTTAAATTCTCCACTTAAATTAGCCTGGAAAGAAAGTTATACCCTATAACAGTGGTTCTCAACCTTTTTTTGCCAACGGCACACCTTGGAACATATGAAAAACTAGCGGCACACCTGGCTAATTACATATGAATTTTGCAAAATAAAAACATGGCAAGTCATAGACGGCATAAAACCGTAGACACAGACTGGTCATAGACACATAGAAATACTCAAACTAAATAAAGAAAATCACAGCTATAAACTGATCAGTAGACACCATTGAATACTCAATTGGGATCACATGGTTTTTCGCATTTTCTTAGTGTGCCGTTCAAAATTTCGCGGCACACTGGTTGAGACTCACTGCCCTATAAAGTGTAGGTTTAACTGGTACAAAATACTGTGGGAGACACTGTAGCTCAATGAGTAAGACGGTGGCTAATTAACCAGGAGGTTCGGTTCGCTCCCAGTGTTGTATAGATTTCCTATGGGTCTAGTTGAAAGAATGGAATGAAAAACTGTACTGGCGTGCACGCATCCTCGGTATCCCCAGTGGTTTCATTCCATTCTACTCCTCTAACCCCTGGGTTAATCTCGGGGGTGAGGGGGGTGGGCAAGTTTTCAAGTTATCCGCCCTAGATGATTGTGCAATTTTTATTGACATATCTCATAAATTGTTAATTGCAAAGCAAGTTCCAAAGGGAGGTAACTCTCACTGGATAAGGTTAGGAGTTAGCCTGAATGAGAGAAGTCTAAATGATTCTAAGTGTGTATTTATTAACAACAAGAGTTTTATTGAGAAACGTTCGTTCGTTTGTTCAAGAACTATATTGTTAATTGTAGACAAGTTATTGTGAATCAAATTGCCAAGTATATAGTTCAATAATAATAAACATAACAGAATGAAACTTTTCAGACAAAGAGTGAATAGTTATAATAATAACAAAAGTCAAACATATAGATGTTATACATACTACAGATTTTGATAATACAAATGAATTAGAAATATATACCGGTACATTATTTACATAAATCATTCAGTAAATGGACATGAATATGGTTATCTACCCTTATAAAAACTAAGGTGAAACGTCTGGCTTGTAAACTGTTTTTTGATTACTACAATCAAGGCTAGGGCAGATAATCTGAAATTGTCGAAACCCTATGGAATAACCCAGGGAATAGTGGAGTAGAACGGAATGAAAACACTGGGGATACCGAGGATGGCGTGCAAATAAATGAACCCTTGAAGATTGGAATTCGGTATATAAGAGTAGGTCATAGCACTGCTGTTCGAGCAAAATTTCCCTCATAGCACACAGCATGGTTTACGCCCGTCTTCATTAGCACAGGGACATTAAACCCCATTTCATTTCATTTCACTAAAATATTGTATTTTGAACATAACAGAGCTACGCTTGCTATTTCATTAGAGAAATTCACTCAGTCATATATATATGGTAATCTGTAATTATGTGTAAATGGTTTCTAGCAACCATTTCCCCCATTCCTGTGCTCCTATCTAAAACATGTATATTTTGAAAGAAATAATGTATTTTAATGGAGGCATGTAGTAACTAAAGAACTATAACAAATACTTATGGAAAAGTATTCTCTAAATATTTTTGATCAAGTACAAGAGCAACTGTGTAGGGAAATTATATATAGACAAAATCAGAAATCAAGTCTCAAGAAAAATAATAAAGCCAAAGGATGTTGACTAAATTTAATAAGGATTCTGAACTGTATAGTATACATTCAAGGAATATGATCTCTATCGCTTTTACAAGATTTTCCAGAAATCTAATATATCACTGGAGAAGTAGTTCTAGAAAGCTAAAATCCACTGGGTTTACACCAAATTTGAAAAAAATCTGTTTAAAACCAGCCTCTATTTTCCTGACAGTGGTGGTGACTTCGAAACGAAAGATCGAAGAATGCTGAAAAAAAGTGATAGGCATAGTCATGACTCCAATGATTCTCAACAATTTTAAAGAAGAACTGTATCGGATTACCAAGCCATGTGTTGATGGACAATATAATGTGGACATATAACCAGCGGCTGCCAGGCAAGATACGCCCACATTTTGCAAGAGATAGATAGAGAACAAGCTAAACAGGAACCAAGATCCTTGGTTTATAAAGATATATTTCAAATTTCATCAAAATCGGATCAAAATTATGACTTCTAGAGGCTCCACAACCTTGATATACCATATATGTACACTATTTGCGTACGAGGGGTGGCCATTTTGTCCGGCAGTTTTGGTCCCATTTTCACGAAATTCAAACTCAGCCGTTATTAGGGTGTAACAGTGATATATTCAAACGTTTTTTTTTTAATCGGATAAAAATTATCTCCTCTAGAAACATGTATTTCAAGTTTCATCTAAAATGGATCAACCTTGATATACCATATATTTAGCCTACACTATTTGCGTAAGATGGACAGCCATTTTGTCATGCGTTTTGGCCCGATTTTAATGAAATTTGAACTTTTTTAAATCGGATAAAAATTGTTACCTCTAGAGGGACCACTCACCACAAGCTATTAATGTGATTTTTTCGTACAAGCTAGGTCCATAATTCAGGAAGTTATGATCCGATATGCCCGAATATCAAAAGGAACCAAGACCTTTGGGTTATAAACATGTATTTCAAGTTTTATCAAAATCGGATCAAAATTATGACCTCTAGAGGGTCCACAACCTTGATATGCAATATGTTTTTACACCATTTGCGTATGAGGGGCAGCCCTTTTGTCTGGCAGTTTTGGTCCCATTTTCACAAAATTTGAACTCAAGCATCATTACAGTGTAACGGTAATATATTCAAACGTTTTTTTCAATCGGATAATAATTGTGACCTCTGGAGAAAATACAGTCATCGTACATTTATGTGATAATTTCATTTCAAAACACAATGTTCTGATTATATGTGATAGCTCAAATGTTCAAAGTTTGTCATTCGAAAAAAGATGGGCTTGAACCAGTGATGGGATTTCAAAAATTTTCTTGTCAGACATTTTTCCCGAAAATAAAGGGGCATAACTCTTACTATTATTTAAACAGGCGTTTTCAAACCACAATTAAGAATCATGTGTCAACAAAATATTCAAATTCATACGTAATAAAATATATGTGCACCTCATTAATTTTTATGTTTAATTCCTGTACGGATTTCAAATTTATGTCAATAATATTCCTACAAAATTATGTGACATTGTAATACCATAGAATTAAAGCATGCCGACTACTTCCGATCCGTACCTGTTTCAAATTCAAATTTTTCGGGTCATAAGTCGATACATTTTTCAGCAGAAGTCTGGCATTCGTCTTATACTCCATTTCGACTTATATATGGAACTGAAGGAAGTAGGATCTTAAATTGGAACTGAAAGCTAGGACTAAGAATCTGTCCACCACTTACATTAACTATATAGTATGTTTAGTGAATATTCAGATTTAGATTTAAATTTTTTATGTGGACCAGGAACTATTCCCCAAGCGCTACTCATTTTGCTGTGGGGTGACACCTACAATCGACATGAAACTTGGCATGCAGGTCCTTGGACTATTGCTCATAGTTTGACAGGCTTGGCTTTTTGATAGGATGTCACAATTCAAAGATGACCACGATGACATCAGTCACTTCCTGGTCCATAGTGCAGTGATACTTGTTTGATAGGATGTCACAATTCAAAGATGACCACGATGACATCAGTCACTTCCTGGTCCATAGTACAGTGATACTTGTTTTATAGTCTTAATAACCTTCCCTCCAAATAGATCTGACCGGTCCACATAGGGGTCATATAGATGAATATGTGGGTAGAGTTAATGTCTGTCAATCAAACGATCGGCAATTCTCGTAGACGGTGCGGACACAGTTGTTTCCTATGTCTAGTCCAAACTTCCAACAGTGACAACTCCGTTCAAAATAAAGTAATTTGACTGAAATTTTCAATATTTATTTTTTTTTATCATCTATTTTTGAATTGGCCAAATCTTTATTAAACTCTTAACTAATGTATCTTTAAGAAATATTCCAGATCTCACTGTAGAGAAGACAAATAAAAGATAATACTTGAACTATATAAAAATTTAACGAAATAGGGTGTGTGTATTTATAATCAGACTGACATCCTGATTATCTCACGTCCGCTATAATGTAAGAATAAAATATGTTGGGAAAGATTGTAATACTGCTCCAAATATTTCAATATTTAATTGACAATGGTAATTATTAAAATTTTGAACATGATAACATGATCTACTAGAGTTTTAGTATTCTGCACTTCCTTGTTTAAAAGATCAAATAATATATATGTATTGTGTTAGTTTAGTATTATGTTATTTATTTGTTAGCTTTATACAAGTTAGTGTATATATTATATTACTTTATATTATCCTCATATCGTATTTACTAGGGAGGTTATATAGAACTGAAATGACATCATGGATTGTTCAACAATTTAAAATAACTGACTGTTATCTAAATGACTGATAATGAGCTAACTAGTTCAAGTAAGATTTGGTTACTTTCACTAGCTTTTTGAAAAATACTTGAAGTTTGAACTGAACAAAAATTTCCATAGTCCATAGATATTCTTTTGTCATTAATCTTGACCATACTCCTTGCAACGTACATGCGGGGAATCGAAATCACTCCACTTCTTAACTCAAGAAGACCTTCTGGCCACTCAATAACCGGAGCTCTTACCGCATACTCAATATTCCCGAAAGGTAAGCAAAAGTATTTTGGATTGAGTCACAGGTTTTATCCTATTACTCATTAATTCAAGACAAGGCCTTGCATTTGCTGATATATGTGTTAGCCTGAAATGAAGAATCTAGTCCGTATTTCAGCTTTCAACTATAAATTGACACGTTGTGTAGATCAACATGTGTGGTTATTAAGATGAATAAATAAACCTCCCAAATGTTCACTACGATATGTATATAGCACAGAGATTCTATAATATTTTTAGTTATACCTGACAAAATGTCAGACACTACTGAACTTTGTGCTTGACCTGTATTAATACTGTTGATGATAACACAAAAAAAAAAGACAAAATCAGGTCTGGAGAAAATGACAGGCACTGTAGGTAGTGTTCCTGACAAAGTGTGAATCTGAGCCTGACATTTTCTGTGAAAGGTGCTTTATTTCAAGGCTTGTCGACTATGATACTTAAACATACATTATGCAAGAGCTAAATCTGCCTATTGCCAGTCTTTCTTTAGGCCTGAAATTTTACCTAATTTATTAATAAGACATTAATTAAAGTAGCTAAGTCTCTAACGCAATATTATTCAAAATCTTTGACATTGAAAACACGATTTATTTGTCGGTTTAAATCAACATTGATGTTGTGATCTTACCGGGAAAAGATGCCCCTCTGATATTCAATATTTAAGACAAAATAAACATTTTACAATTGGTACATGAATCGTGTACAATAATGCATTTCAGCACTATTTGTAATAAGGGACTTGAATAACAAGGCTATGCATATTCCACAAGTCATGTCGAACGGTGACGCTATATTCTTATCTGGAGAGCATGCCCAATAAATACTATCGGCGTAGACTGGAATAACCAGAAGCTAGAGACTGAAATTCGATTGAGAATACTGGCGTATGTCGCCGAACCTACAGTAAAAACAGAAAAATTGAATGTAAATCAATTTATACATTCATATTACATTATTGTATGCGTTGCGACCCATTTGTGTCATTTTCTAGGTCCCAAATATTAGTGACTTAGCTCCTTTAACTTATCCAGACCATAATCAACTCTCGATGTCATCGCTAGCCTGTGATATTTACTGGATTAGGATCTGATCTCCTACTCTATACGCTCATTCATGATTATATCAAGAGATGGATAATCAAGACTATGTATTTTATTGTACTGACTTTAGCAATGATGATTGAGGCTAGGCCCAAAATTTAATCGCTAAATTCTCGGTTCAGAGTGGATCAATTTGACTGAAATGTTCAGCAAATTCCCATTACATTATCTAGTTTTTAACTATTATAGTGAGAACTGCCAGCTCTTCATCTAATCTCCCATAATGTATCTTTAATATATAGATTTATTTTTCAAATTTAGGTGTATTATGTAATCAGAGTCTGTTTTACATATTCATTGCCTGTGGCTATTCTTACTATATCTTAATATGTTGCTAATCAAATTGATTAATGAGCAGTAGATTTAGGTTTATAAATTAATCATATATTATAAGCTAGTGACAAGTCATGGTAAGCTACTTACATCTTTAAGCCAGTCTATAACCTCTTTTACAGACCATCTTACTAATACCTCATAAGCTGGTAATTGTTTTGACATTTTTAATTCCCAACTATCACTTTGACAAACTTTTTCTCAAATGAATATGATCTATTTTGATATATTTCTTCCTGGTTCAATTTTAAATGAAGAGTTGTCCCCCTTTAGTCCCCCACACACCCAAATAACAGCCGTACTTTTCGACATTCACAGTGCTGTAAATGGTAAAATAGTGTCACGGTTAAATGAATACTATTTATAAATGAAACTAAGGCCCTAATTTTAAAATACGTCCATTCTTTAGCTTAGGAACCCTGGTCCACTCAGAGCGTGGCACAGGCCTGAATTAGTTTTCTGTCTATTTTTAGTAGTTCAGATTGAACGAAAACACGCTGCCCTCGAGTCAAATTTTGTAGTGCACATGATTGAGATCTTAGCAATTGGAATTCGTTAAATCGTAACACTTCTGTGGGCTCCAATGAAATAAATAAATATATCTTGTAAACTTAGAAAAATGTTGACGAGACCCCAGGGTAGAAAACTGCCCTGTATCCCTTTCTCAATCTTCTGAAGGGAGCCTTAAACTCGGTGATTCGAGTTCGAAATTAGTGCTTCCCAATTTGGCTCCTCCTGGTGCACAATCCCCCCTAGTATTCCATCAAGAACCAAGTTATGTATCGCGTTCACAATGGGCATTTGAAATTACGCAGAGATTGTCGGTCGAAACATTGCAATCAATCTCTGCAATTATTTGTTATTCACCTTATCTGTATATTTTCTTAATATATTTAAACGTATATCGGCCTACCTCCCCATTGGACACAGGCGATGTATTTATTGTTTTTGTTTTTGTTTTTTTTATTATTATTTTTTACTTACCTGTTGGCTACATCGCTGAATGAAAAATCTACGTCCTCTTCTAAAATGAATATGATGGAACACTCGTAATAAATCTCTAAAATCTCTAGATGATGTAGAAATGGCAGATCTCTCGCTACGTCTTCTGGCGGAAGAATTATTCTTGACAGAGCTTCTCAGTTTTTGAAAAATCTGGTCAAGCATAGTGTCTTGCTCGTTGAAAGTTGTATTTTAAAATCAAAATAAATGTCTGAACATCGCTTATACATAAGTTAGATATACATATTTTAATACAATTGTTGTGTTCAGAACATCACGTCTCTAAGTATTAACTTGTCTTCTTTTAAAAACACCGTGTTACAAATTTTCTCCTATATAAGCCGGTTTTCTAGAAGATTAAAGAGACTTAGTTGTAGATTTTCCGTATAAAAAAAGGCAAAAATTATTACAAGTTAACAAAATGGTCCATATTTTCCAACATTTCCTGATGAACTATGCCATTTGCGGTGATTTTCTATATACATGATCACATTACACCAGTAATGAGTTTACGAATTAATTAAAAGTTCTGCCAACAACTTACTTTTTTTACATGAAAAATAATAAGCACCATTTTACAAAGAACCAATACATAATCCGCTCATCATCAGAGCTCTACATTCCTGTCATAGAACCGGATTAAAGAACTGTGGAAACGATCATTTTCAGTTGTAGTCCCTTTATTATGGAATCAAATCGGAGATAGATAAAAGAAATTTCAAAACGGTAGCCGAGAGAGCAGCTCACTGCCGATGATACTTTGGATATTTGACGCTATATAAATTAATTATATCATTATTATAGATCGAGGTATTTTAATCATGTTATTATATTCATTGATATCAGTGTGTCATAAATTTATAATTCCTGTACAAATGGTTAGTAATAATACAGCAATTATTACTACAGCAATCAGACGGGTCGGTAAAATAAAGTTTAATCCAAGAGGATCGGGATCCAGGAATTGTTGCAGGAGGTGGTTTGCCATGTTCCTGAGACAATGTATCAATTGGAGGCGGGGAGGGGGAGGGGGTGTCTCTCCCTCCGGAATTAAAAATGTTTCAGATAACATGACAACGATGAAGAAGATGAGAACAACATAATCGCCAATAAATATAGCAAAAAGTCATACATGTGTGTATATAATATATAAATATATGTGCACATTTAGTCATTTACCTGTCTTCTTTGTATATAATAAGTGAGAATTCACGACATTAATCGCTTGGAATTTAAATCTGCTTTGAATATAATCTAAATATATCCCATCTTAAAGAAACATATGTGATTTACACAATTACATAGAAGCTTACATAAAAACCGCACGCGAGCTGATTGCAAATCTGTGCAAATTTGAGAATCTTTGATGTTTTTTGTTGCATAGCCCTTTTACATTTTACTATATTATGCATAAATAGATTCCAGTATTTCTGTCTGAAAGTATTGAAATGTAATCATGTCCATATCAAAATTCTATGGATACTTTGAGCTTAGTTTTTGAATTATAGCTTATTGAGTGTCTGTCCCATTCAGGGATAAATAGCATTCAGTTTGCTTTTATGCAGGATAAAACAGAATTTCGGAAATGACCAGCGTGCGTGTTGAATTTATCGGCTTTTTATTTTCCGAATAGCGTACAATGTGATAAACTTACTGTCAAAAAGGTATCAGTACAGTGGTAGACAAATCCAATATTCAGAAAGGTTTTAAAATTTGGAAAATAATATAAATTCAAGGTCCCTTTCGGGACTTTTAAGACAGATGCGTAAATGCGAGTATTTTAGCCTTAACAGCTTTCCGTACTTGTGACCTAGTTCACGCACAGTCGAAGCTACCGATAAGGGAAATCATCACGTTTTCGTAAACAAGATTACCTTGTCTACTGATTTTATCTTTTTTTTTAATTTTTGAGATAAATATTGGATTGTACTGATAAACGATGCGATAGTTTGGGTTGTTACCATTGTGACTTGCCACCGAGCCCACAGATCGAATGTAATGTCACATTACATTCTTTAGTAAACATTTTATGCAATTGTGTTGGTGTAACCTATGGTAAGCCAAACCAGTCAAAAGTATGAACACGAGAGGTAGACGACGTATTGGTGTGGTTGGTTATGGCGAGTTAGGCCAGTATTTAGTGAAGGCCATACAGGAAAGTGAAAACCTTGAACTTTCTTTTGTTTGGAATAGAACCTCTTCGGTATTGAATGGTAAAATTGATGAAACACTTATACTAAAAGATCTTTCTGATTTCCCAAAATTGAACCCAGACTTAATAGTAGAAGTCGCCCATCCTTCTATTACACGTCAGTATGGAACGGAATTCCTGAAGCATGCCGATTTCATGATGGGATCACCAACTGCCCTAGCAGATAAGGAACTAGAGTGTAATCTTCGAACTGCAGCTGCTTCTCGTGGGTTGTATTTACCAAGTGGTGCTTTCTGGGGCGGAGAAGACGTACAGAAAATGGCTGATTTGGGAACTTTAAAAGCCATGTGTGTAACAATGAAAAAACATCCATCATCTTTGAAGTTGAATGGTGACTTAAGAGCTAGAAATGAAGCTGTAGTTGGAGATAGTGCTGTTGAACTCTACAACGGACCAGTGCGCCAGCTGTGTCCTTTAGCGCCAAATAATGTTAACACAATGGCTTTAGCAGCATTAGCTGCCCACAATCTTGGATTCGATGGTGTTCAATGCAAACTTGTCGCAGATCCAAAGTTAACCGACTGGCATATCGTTGAGGTTGAAATATGGGGCCCTGGAGATATTTCTGCGGGGAAGGCATTCTATTGCCATACAATTCGCCGGAATCCTGCTCAAATTGGAAAAGTAACGGGCTCCGCCACGTATTCATCTTTTTTTAGCAGCATGAATAGGGCTTGGGGAAAAGGACATGGTGTTCATTTGTGTTAGAAAATGCTGAAAATGTTTGGTCTCTTTAATGGTTGTAAATGAATATTAATAAAAGTAAAATACATGAAACGTTTATTATGTGGTTGTTTAAAGATCCATTGTGGGAGATTAAGAGTTGGTAGTTCTCACTATAATAGATAATGTAAAGGGAATTTGCTGAAAATTTCAGTCAAATTGATCCACCCTGAACCGAGTATTTAGCGATTGAATTTTGGGCCTAGCCTCGGTCATCATTACTAACGTCGGTACGATAAAAAACATAGTCTCGGTTATGCACTTTTTGATTTAATCAGAAGCAGCAGACGGGGTTCTAATTCAGTAAATATCGCAGGCTAGCGATGCCACCAAGAGTTGATTATGGTCTGGATAAGTTAATTAATGTCTAATTAATAATTTAGATAAAATTTTAGGTCTAAAGATAGACCTAGGGTTACAAATAAAAACAAAGGCAACCTCATGAACTGTTTGGGCGAGTGCAGCCTAATGCCATGGCTAATGAGACCTCCGACTATACGTTCAGAGCTGACTAGGGCTAGGCTGAATCCCGACTTTTTGGTTGCACGTACTACGATACGCTCGCTTCAAATCTATATTAAAATTCTCAGTTTATTGTTTGAATAATATCAAAAATAATTTGTGTATCCTAAAGGCCGCGAACAAAAGTTCACTAACTTTGCCTTATTTACACCCCTCTTCAACAGTGATAGAAGCGGCCGGGCGAAAATTTACTGCGGATCAGTTTGGGTAAAACAAAGGTCATTATTTCGGTGCATCTTCAGCGCAGCGGTGTTCTAAATATGTAGGCCTATAGGCCTATAAGTCACAACTGAAGTATTTCTCAGACTAAAAGCCCTTCAATCTAGAACATTTGAAGTAAAGACACAGCGAGACAGAGAATAGTTTAGCCTCGGGCTTCTAAGAACGACTGAAGTTACGCCTTCGGCTAAAAGATTTGGACTCTCGAGTCAAGCTGACGTCACGATAATGCCCAATTTTTAGTCACATATTTTGTGATTGATACTGATAGGCAATCACTAGGTATATGCCTAGTTCATACATGTTCAGTTGCAAGTTTTTAAAACTTGGTAATATAATGACACAAACTTCTGGGCTACGTACTGCCTGATTGGATACGAAATACGAATTGGACTCTCTGGGTCTATGAAAAAAAAAGCCACAATAAAAAAAACAAGTAAAGTTATAGTACTTATAGCCATAAGATAGGCATAGGCCTACTTATTATTATATAAAGAACACAGGGTGCTTATGAGCTAGTACCCACCGAACACTGGGATTCAAATCGAATAATTTATTTGTTATTACCATCATGTATGGCAATTGGTAATTTTTTGTCCATTATGATGTTTTAGGGAGAATCTCAAAAGTAAGCTCATAGTCATACTTTAGACTAAGTTAAAGTTGGCTACTGCACCCAACATCACTAATCAGAATCTTATGAGGAAGCAACTTTGTCTAAACTCAGGAGTCAACCAGGTTTCTATATTCAGTGAATTTTTCAAAAGGTTATGCCTATAGGCCTATCTAGTTTTTAAACCAGCAAAAGTTCATTCTTCCTCAAAGTCAAAGACAATGTAAAAAAAAATAATAATAAATTGTGCGAGGTATCATGAGGAAGAAACATGATTTAAAATTTTGACTGTTACAGTGTTAAAGCTTGTGAACAATATACAATTCCTAATGGAAGTCTTTAAAATTTGGTGGGGTTGTTCATTGGGGTCTATGCTTATGGAGAAATACTATTGAAATTTTCCCCATTTACTTAAAAATTTATGAAATTTTGAGAATGCAATGAAGACAGAATTCAAAACAGAATTTTTGTGAACTCTCTACAGGTCACAATTTTTATCCAATTTCAATGAAACTTGAAATATAGGTTTATCACCCCAAGATCTCGGTTCCTTTGGATATTGGCATGTATCGGACAGTAACTTCATGGATTATGGCCCCTGATTGTACGAAAATTCACTTTTTTGCTTGTTCTCTGCCAATCTTTTGCAAGATGGGGGTGTATCTTGCATGACAACCGTTTGTTTTCATGACCCCTGATTTTACGAAAAATCATGTTTTTAGCTTGTGAACACTGTAGAGGTCACAATTTTTATCCGATTTGGTTTAAACTTGAAATGTATGTTTATAACCCACAGATCTTGATTCCATTCGATATTCGCACATATCAGACCATAACTTCCTGAATTATAGCCCCTGATTGTACGAAAAATCGCGTTTTTAACTTGTGGTCCCTCTTGAGGTCACAATTATTATCCGATTTAAAAAAACTTTTGAATATATCACCTTTACACCATAATTTTATCTGAGTTTGAATTTCATGAAAATCGGACCAAAACTGACAGACAAAATGACCGCCCCTCGTATGCAAATAGTGTAAACATCTGGTATATCAAAGTTTTGGACCATCTAGAGGCCACAATTTTGATCTGATTTTGATGAAACTTGAAATGCAAGTTTATAACCCAAAGATCTCGGTTCCTTTATCGGATCGCAACTTCCTAAATTATGGCCTCTGATTGTACGAAAAATCATGTATTTAGCTTGTGGTCCCTCTAGAGGTCACAATTATTATCCGATTTAAAAAAACTTTTGAATATATCACTGTTCCACCATAATGTTTGTTGAGTTCGAATTTCGTGACAAAATGGCCACCCCTCGAACGCAAATAGTGTAAACATCTGGTAAATCAAGGTTGTGGACCCTCTAGAGGTCACAATTTTGATCCGATTTCGATGAAACTTGAAATACATGTTTATAACCCAAAGATATTGGTTCCTTTTGATATTTGTGCATATAACGGATCGTAACTTCCTGAATTTTGGCCCTTGGTTGAACAAAAAATCACGTTTTTAGTTTGTGGTCCCTGTAGAGGTCACAATTTTTATCTGATTTAAGAAAAACGTGTGAATATATAACCATTACACACTAAGGTCTTGGTTCCTTTTGACAATCGCGGATACCTGAACTTAACTTCACTTCCTGGATTATGGCCCCTGATTGTTCGAAAAACAATATTTTTAGCTTGCAGATTCCCTAGAGGTCACAATTTTTTTCCGATTTAAATGCATCACCATTCCACCATAGTGAAGGTTGAATTCGAATATCTGGGAAAATCGAAATGGGGTTTAACGTCCACTCGACACAAACTAGGCCATTTCAGGATTAACATATGGTTTAATTTTATTTCAATAATTCGCTTGCGCGTAGGAGTCTTTAGCAGTGGGAGGAGGACCTGGAGAAAACCCACAAGGTTGGACAAGCGACCCTACTCCTTGTCACGTACAACCGGGGATTCGAAACCATGCCAGTTGACTCAATGATAGGCTTTATGGTACAGCGCGCACATGCCAATCATTCGGCTATCCAACACCCCCTACGAAGGTTGTGGACCCTCTAGAGGTCACAATTTTTATCAGATTTTGATGAAACTTAAAACCTATCTTTATATCCCAAAGATCTCAATCCCTTTTGATATTTGCAGATTTTAGGCCTTAACTTTCTGGATTATTGCCCCTGATTGTTAAAAAACTAGCATTTTTTTTTAGCTTGTTCTTTATCCATCTCTTGCAAAATGTGGGCGTATCCTGCCTGGCTGCTGCTGGTCTTTATTATAATAAAGAAGATTATTTTTTGTGTGTCTCAAATATGTTACATCTTAAATCCCAACACTTATATATACTATTCAAAAAAAGTAGGGGATATTTGATTTTTAAGTGTTATTAAAGTCACCTAATGAAACTGACGAAGAAACAAATGACAAAATGAAATGAAGTTCACATTCATCGATTTATTCCAAATGATCGTTATACTAAGTAAGGCGCAGACTGACCATTATAAGGGTAAAATGATACCCGGGGTCAAACAGCAAAGTTACCACAGCATCACAACCATGTCAGTAACGGGTAAATCCTCCTCTGTTTGCCAAACAAGCATTGATCCGACGTGGCATACTCCTAATGAGACGTCTAAGGTCATTTTGGTCCAGATTGTCCCATTCCTGTTGCAACGCAGCAGCAAGTTCTTGGACATTGGCAGTACGTTGTTGACGTTGACGTAACCTCTGTCCAAGCATGTCCCAGACATGCTCGATGGGGGAGAGGTCGGGACTCAGTGCTGGCCAAGGTAATGTGATGATGTTCTGTTGTTGGAGGTAACCTGTAACGATCCTGGCCCTGTGACATCTTGCGTTGTCATCCTGGAAGATGAAACGGCGGCCATGACGTCGTGCGAACGGCACAACATGGACTGCCAAGATGTTGTCCCGGTAGTACTGGCCTGTAACACGCCCTGCAACAACATGTAAAGCCGTTCTTCCAGCAACAGTGATGCCTCCCCACACCATAACAGAACCACCCCCAAATCGATCATGTCTGATGACGTTAACGTCTTGGAAGCGCTTGTTTCGACGACTCCACACCCTCCTACGTCTGTCCAAAAAATCAACAGTGAACCTTGACTCATCTGAAAACATCACATTGCTCTAGCGTCGATTATCCCAGTGTTGACGATCCCTACACCAACGACGTCTTGCCTGAATGTGATGATCTCTCAAACAAGGGATCACGCGAGGACGTCGGGCGCGAAGGTGACCCCTATGCAGTCGATTCCGAATCGTCTGGCCACTCACTCTCACATCAGTGTCTGTTTGAAGACGAGCGCTGATCTGATTTGCTGTGATGACACGATTTCTCAAGGCCAAGGTACGGATAAATCGATCCTGGGCTTGAGTTGTCGCCCTTGGTCGACCTGAGCGTGGTCTGTCCTGTACAGATTGTGTATCACGGTATCTGGACCATAGCCTGCTTATGACAGACTGAGAAACATTCATCGTCCGCGCCACAACCGCCTGTGTTGTGCCGATCTGTAGCATGCCAAGGGCACGTAACCTTTCATTTTGGGTAAGCCGACGCATATCAAAATTTGTTTTCTGGTCACTAAAACAATGAAACTGATGTTTCCACCCTGGAATTCAATGTCACAATGACTGTAACATTCAAAGTCAGAGTCGTGCAAATCTTGGGTTGGACCCCCATGATGATCCCAAGCATCACCTGCATTCCATGCGGTAGCTATTGGTGCGTTTGGGCGTCACATGTAACTGGAAATGTTTCTTCTGTTAGGTTCTATAGTGACTTTTTTCGTAGTCATTTGCATATTTTAGTATTATGCCCCCAAAATCAAATATCCCCTACTTTTTTTGAATAGTATACATTGGTGTTGTATGCGAAAAAGCCAGAACAAACAGAAATTCATCACCCCTACTGTCCCCTACATCATGTAGTTTTAACATTGAAATTGTATGTAGGTGAAATTTAGAATTATCAAGGTAATTTGGATTTTCTTCTTTGTCAGTCTTTTATGTATTAACATCAACATCATTTCTTCTAACATCCCTTAATAAATTCTTAAGTATTTATACTTTGGTTTCATTTTATATCACAAGATTTTATTTTTATCTTGTGGGTTACTACTTCTAATAATGATTTATCAACTTGTATGTGTCTTCAGGCATGACAATTGTCCAACATCATTGTGAATTATCTTGGGTCTGTCAAGTAAGTCCTTTTGATATGGGACCAATCCATACAAAGGGCCTGTGTGACTGTAATTACACTCGACCAGATAAGAGTGTAATCTGCTTGTGTTAATTGGTCTTTGAACTGGCCCAGCTTGACTTTTTATAACAAAAGCCCTAGCTTGAACTATAGAGTGCCTATTGGGTGCAGTGAGCAATTTCTGCATGAAAGATTTATTCAATTGGGTTAGCTTGTACTATGTCTAACAAGTTGGAGTCATTTTTTAGGGTTAGACAGTTAGACCACATGCAGTAAAGTGTGAATAGAAAAGCAGTATTTTTGACCATTTGGAGCTGAAACTCACGTTGAGCTTTTGATCTTTCAAAGTTACAGTATCTGCATGGTGCTACAATTAAAACAGAAAATAGTTTTACATAGGCCTACACTAGATTGGACTACATAAGGATTTATATTTCCTAAGGTAGGTAAAAGATTATAGTAAATCTATATGAAGTATAAAGTGAATAAAAGTTACATTCAGAACATGTCACATCAGTTTCAAAAATGAGAAAACAGCTCCCGTAAAAAAACCTCTTCTTAATTATATTGTAAGAATAATTATACATTTTCTTGAATTAAGGAGAACCAAATTGTATTTATGCTTTATTCTTCTTTAATAATTGGTGAATATGGTATTTGTAGATACAGAATTATCATGGAAACTAATAGCTTGAACATTTGCTGTTTAAAAATAAACAAAAACTGAAAGTAGTTTATTAATATCACTATTTATTTAGGAGAGCGATTTAGCTAATTTGCAGGTGTCTTTATGACTCTTATGAAGGAAAGTCGAGGTTCTTCGAGAGGAGCAGGAGCAAAAGCGCATCTTGAACGTGAAGGACTGATGTAGTTAGTTAACATGTCAATATAAAAAAAAAGAATTATTATCAAATGACAATATCAGATGAAGTTGTTGTCACTCGGATTCAGTATAAATCCAAAAGCTTTCTTACAAGATTGGATTTAAATACTTTTTAAAGATCAATTTACAGGTAATATGTTGCCAAATAATTGAAATTAAAATGTTCCCAAACAATGTTATAAAAGTAGTAACAAATATAGGCTTTTCATAAAACTTGTGAACTAGTTGTGTTCTATAACTGTTATCAAGGGCGTGGATTAGTCATAACTTTGGGGGGGGGGGGGCGGACAAGCCCTGGAACCTGCAACATTTCATTACCAAACGAAATAAATAATTACGAACAGTTTACTGTACCCAGAGCCTCGTTTAATATGGTGACTCGGCAGCCAAACTGCCGCCTACTGAGCCCAAAAGTTGAAGACTGGGCGGCAACATACGTACGTTTTGAAAATCGCTGACAAGGATTTTCCCATGTGCCAATACTATATCATGGTGCGTAGGTTTACAAAATCGTCTTTCTGATTGTTTTATGGGTATATTTCTGTCTGCGGGTCAGCCACAGCAGTGTTTTGATCTCGATTTTACAGGGTATTAACCAATCCATGGTTTAACAAGATGCCAAAACTAATAGTGTATCAAATCTCCGAAACTATTTTTTAAGTGCTCAGAAATCGAGTCTAAGGGAGTCAATTTTCAAAATTTTCTAGGGAGAGGGCCCCCCAGACCCACTGCGCGGGCTCTCACCTGTGGTTTTCGCGTGGCTCGCACCTACGGTGCTCGTGGGTCGGGCTTTAAATATTTCTACATTTTTATTCTGCATCAATATTTTAAATTGTTGGGAATCATTCAATTTAGAAAGATATGAAATATAAGTAACTGATAATTTATAAGCTTTTATAATGTTATTCTTGAACCTTTTTTTGGCAATTTTTAGGTTTGAATTTAATTTTGATCTGTTTCATGCTCTACATCATGTCTACCAAATCAACAAGATAAGCACATCTTTTGTAGGTGTTTGGGACAAGGCATCTGGTTTGAACAGTATTTATTTAACATACAATTACCCACAATATACAATACATAATAAATTATATGGTTTAGGACATAAGCTATAAAGCTTATATTAATCTCCAAATGGTAATAAACAAAATGAAATAAGAATTGGCATCTAGGGTCACTATATCACATTTTAACTTACATAAAGTCACACATAGTTTTAGTGCATGCTCCTAAACAACACCTTACTTGAAAATGAGTGAGTGGTCGGATTTTATATAAAGTAGAGTTTTAGGTAATGTTTTGAATATGTTGTTAAAGATACATTATGGGAGATTAGATAAAGAGCTGGTAGTTCTCATTATAATAGTTAAAAACTAGATAATGTAAAGGGAATTTGCTGGAAATTTCAGTCAAATTGATCCACTCTAAACCGAGAATTTAGCGATTGAATTTTAAGCCTAGCCTCGATCATCATTACTAAAGTCGGTACGATAAAAAACATAGTCTCGATTATCCATTTTTGGATTTAATCATGAATGAGCGTTGAGCAGCAGATCGGATTATAATCCAGTAAATATTGCAGGCTAGCGATGACATCGAGAGTTGATTATGGTCTGGATAAGTTAATTAATGTCTAATTAATAATAAGAAGAAAGACCTGCAATTGGCAGATATAGCTCTTGCATAGTGTATGTTTAATTAATAACATTTATTTTCTTGAAAGTTTTCATGCCTCTAAAGAAAAATATTGAAATTTTAACTTTCTCATTTACAAGAAATGGAGGATTTCATTGATACCATATTGTAGTATTTGTTTAGATAGGAAATCTGTTCAGGGTAATAAATAAAAATCACAGTCTATGTTATCAATTAAAGGAGACTATTTATTGCGTGTCAGTTCTTGCTGATGTAAATTAAAGGTAAATAAAGTTAACCCATTACCTAAATTTTGGCTTATCATGTAATTTTATGGACACATAATTGTGATTAATCTTTGATTAGAAAAAGTTATTGAAGACTTAGTTTCATAATAAGTTTATAATAGTTTGCATGGTATCTTAAGTTGGAGAAAAATTTTAAATGAAATTGGAGAACAAACTAAGCATTTTATAAAAGGTAGATATTTGCTGCAAATTTTTAGATTGATGGCCAGTGTAGTGAATAAAATAGTTTTTATCATTATCAGATATCAGTTGTGTCATAATTTTTGTATGAAACAATATTTTAATATAGAATAAGTTACACATTTGTTAATAATAATATATATGAATGAGGATTTATTTGTCTTTAAAGAAGAAAAGCATTAAAGTCTGCAAACATTGTTAAATTCAGGTTTTCTGTATTTTAACTTAGGTTATGTCTTAAGTCAGGCGAGTTTAGATGAGAGCAAGACACTCTGTTTGTAGATAAAATTTGAATTTCTAGGATTATTAACCAGGGCCCTCACTAGCCTATGTGGCACCCCAGGGCAAAAGTATCAGTGCCCCCCCCCCCCTCCCCTGTATACTGTAACTTCTTTGATCAGTGTCTGTGCTTAGATGATTTTCTATGATTAAAGAAAGTTTAAAATACAATCTTTGTACCAGGTTTTTTTAACAAGAAATTTAATGGTGTTTGTTTTGTATTTTATGCAGTATTTAATGATGAAATTGCTAATAACAATAATGATTGTGTTGTTATGGAAACATTCTAGAACCATACTTTTATAGACTAAGCTATATACTTCTGGAAAACTCTTTATTTTTCTGACGAATTCTTAATGGAAAATCAAAACTATGTAGGACGCACAACCCTGTGTGAGTAACTAAGCTAGTTAAAATATAAAATGGGTTTCATGACTCTGTAATTGGTATTTTCTGAATTTATTTCTCATCATATATTTATCATGTCATATTGGCATTCATTTCTCAAGTTATTAGATCTGTTATAATGTTTCACTGTCTTTATGATGAGAGAGAATCTCTCCTCATCAGTTATTATCATGGCAAGATGCCACCATGCCATTAAGCTATGATAATGGTAGGCTGGTAGTTGTGGTCACTCATTTTGGTCAGATTATATTACCACCTGTCATGTACTAATCTGCAGCAGGTAACATGCATGCAGATAGATTAGGCCAACTTAGAAAAGTTATCTGTGAAATATTAGATGTGGGAAAACATTGTAATTAGTTATTGTTATTGCATCTTTTGGACAATACATGTATCTAATTTTTTTTTTTTACATCTCCCAGGATAGATTCAGTCAAATTAAAAAATTGCGAAATGAATTGGGGTTTAACTTCTACCTTTCTGCTCAGGCTAGGCTAATGAAAACGGACATCCGCCATGTAGTGTGCTGTAAGGGAAATTTTGCCCACATAGGGGCACTACAGCCAACGCTTTTATCAAATTACAACTGTCAAGGGTTCATTAATGTGCATGCCAATGTCTACACGGGACCTTGTTTTTTATTCCATCCAAATGACTATATCCTGTGCCTTGCCAGGCACCCCGTTCTTCACCACTGACAAAGGAACCATCACGGATCGAATACGGGACCTCTAGGTTAGCAAGCCATCATCCTACTCCCTGATCCATCACGACTCCCTTAAAAAGAGGCACTTCATTCAAAAGATTTTTAGCTTATAGGTGGTGCTGGCTTCTTTCAATCATATATTGTTTATATCATCTGCAGAACACACTGAAAGTTAACAAACATTGGTTAAAGCACTTTCTGACAAATTAAAAAAAAGGAGCTGGAGTTATGCCATAGACTTCTACAGAAATGAAATGAAATGAAATGGGGTTTAACGTCCTACTGTTCTGCTCCGAACTGGGCTAATTAAGACAGGACTTCTACAGAATTATTTGTTTTGAGTTATCAGTAAAAAATGTGTCATGGAAACATTTATGTTTTTTGTTTGTTTTATGTACTGAAGAGATTAACAGAATTATTTTATTTATTTTAAAATAATGTGTTCTTACAATTATAGTACATAAGATTGTCAATGATTTGTAATACCTGGATCTTGAATTTTTACTTGGCTACATGTCAGATATTACAGTCACTAAGTGGTTTCTCACTTGTTTTAGAGACTGGTTGTGTTTGTATTAAAGGCTTGTTGTATCAAGTAGGAAACAATGAGTTTATTTGTTTTGACCTTACAGGTATTATATTGCTTCATTTCTAGTGAGTGGGCTTTAAACCAGTGATAATGGCCTTGTGAATTTGGACAACAATCTAGTCTACTGTTAACAATGATAAACTGTTGTTACTCTTAAAACCATTCTACTCTAATAGTTTGTATCTTTACCACTGGTTTGATGGTTTACTGGGGTTTTTTTTCTCATACCAGTCTGATCTTTGCTTGGATATTAATAGCTGCATGTTCAAGTTCTGCAAATGCAAATGAGTATTTTGAATGTTTACATAGTATACACTGTAAGTTGACATTGTTATTTATTTATTAATTAGCTATGCAGTCTATTGCTTTATTGGGATAAATATGGGATATAGATTAATATTTATAGCTCTGGTCATGTTAATGATTGCAAATCACAGCATGCAAAATTCTCAAC